GGGAGGGAAAGAGAGGCAAGGAGGGAAAAAATTAAAATAATGAAGATTGCACAAATACCTAAATGAGAGGTTTAAAATATTTATAAGGACACAAGTCCCTCAATTTAAGCTATACATTTAATGTAATTTAAATTAAAACCCAAGAAAGTGTGTATGTGTGTGGTTTTTGGTGGGGGAAGGGGAAGAGTTCAAAAAGATATTCTAAACTTCAAGTAGAAAAATCATAGAATGACCCTCCCCCAACCCCAAACACACATACAGAAAAAGGGGGAAAAAATACAGTAATAAGGGAGACTTTACACTATCAAATTAGAATATTACAAAACCTCAAAAGTTAAGACAGTGTAATTCTGGTATAGAAACATATAGATAGATGAAGGGAAAAATATAAAGTCCAGAAACAGATCTCAGTACATACTGAAGAACTGCATCTTATTCAGAGATTAGATTATAAAGTTACCACACAAAGTGAAAATTCTCATACAGGCAAAAATTACCCAAGAAAAGTCCTGGATCATGTCAAAATCAGTAGAAACTGAACCATAGGAAGCTCAAAAGTCAAGAACTAACTTTTATTGTTTCTCTTTACATTTCATCTCCCTCACCTCCACAGTCTTTAGTCAAAATGCAAGGATGATATACAGTGCTATTACAAAGAATTAAGTATTTGATGAGAGCTGCTATCCTATTTAGTGAGACCACAATCCTATATAATAAAAGGCTAATATGCAAATAGACCAAACGGTGGAACAACCAAACAACTGGTCACTATGACGTGCGCTGACCACCAGGGGGCAGTGGGAGCTGGCCGCGGCGGGATGGTGGAGCAGGTGAGTGGGGGTGCCAGACCAAGGCGGGATGAGCCTCTGGTGGTTACTGAAAATTCTTTGCTCCCACGGCGCTCACACCTGCTGCCGGCACCAGTCCAACTCACACACACTGCCAGTGCCAGCCCTGCTCGCACCTGCTGCTGGTGCCTGGCGCTGGTCCTGATCACTCAGAGCCATCAGCAGGTGTAAGCAGTGGCTGTCGGCCCCAATCACTCCTGAGGGCTTCTCTACCTCTCCCTGCTCCTGAGGGGCAATTGGGGCAGCAGCCACCGCTCGCACTCACTGACCGCACTGCCCCCACTCACTCTCACTGCTGGTCCCAATCGCTCTGCGCCATCAGTGGGTGCGAGTGGGGCCAACACTGTCAACGCGTGGGAGCAGCAGTGGCGGGAGCGGGGCTGCCAGCAGACAGGGGATCAGGGGCTGCAGCAGTAGAGGCCAGGCGGGGGCGTGGAGGATGGGCCGAGACCCGCCCCTGTGCCTACCACAGCCTCGCAGCCCACAGTTCAAGGTGCATGAATTACGAATTTGTGCACTGGGCCCCTAGTAATATAATAAAGAGTATGGAATAGTATGTAACATGGCCCAGGTAAGGATGGCACCTTTGCCCTTTTCCATCATACCAGGAAAGAAGCAGCTGTGGGAGAGGCTGCAGGCACTACTACCAGACACATGCCCAGCCTCATCCAGGCAGCTGAAGGTCAGCACTTTTGCTGTATTTGAGGAAGGTAATGAAAACCTACAGATCAAGCCTTAAGCATCTAAATGAGAATACTCTAAAAATTTTAAGTAGCAAAAATGTTGTTCAATAGGATCAAGATCCCATTTAGGGAGCCTTGACCTAGGGAGAGAAAGATTTCATGGGGTGATGTCACTGAGCACCACAATTAGGAAAAAAATTGTTTCAACTTTTCTCAACACCCAATGCCCCTCCATTAATCAACCACACCTTCATATATATGAATGCTTTTGAAAAGTGAAATATTATAGTAGCAGATTTTGTATAGTAAAATTGGGAATAATTTCTCTAACTTTTACATTTTCCATACTGACCATGTACTTCATTTGTTAAAAGAAACTTGCAATATTATAAAAAAGAAAAAACATAATATGAAAGACCACCTCCATTCAAGTTAAATGTTAAGCTAACATCTACATGCTTTCATTTTATGTAAGATTAATCTACCAAAGTTTCTAGCAAGAAAAGAACTCACAGTAGGGAGGAAAATATGACTTTTCTGTATTGTTAATGTTAAAGAAATTATTTTAAAAGGCTAGAAGAAACAGCAAGCATATAAACCATTCATTCTGTAAGATGATTCATGCAAAATCACTTTGTACAACATAACAGTTACAAAAGTTATCCTAATGCACTGAAAACATCAAAACCTGAAATATGGTAAAAATTATATTTTCCTTGTCAAGGAATTTTTCAGTGTTGCTAGTTAGTCATGATTTGTGAATCTCATTGCATCAAAATAAAGGTGACCAAATGTTTTTGGAAAAGTAATTTCACTCTAAAAACCCATGATAATTGAAGGTATTTACTCATACACTCACAGCTAAACAGTAATATCAAATGTTAAGAGCTCGGGGGTACAAAGGACTGAATTCCAAAACTAAGGAACATTTAAATAGGTCAATGATTAAAGTACATTATTCAGTATTTTTTGTAAAGTACAAAACGTGGTAAGACCTTATAAAAACTCTGGCACGTGTTTCCCTCACATATTATGAACTTCATTGGCAGATTAAGTCAAAACATCATCACAGGTGAAATTAGTAAAAATGGTGGAGTAAAGAACTCCAAAGTGCAGCCCTCCATAAAAGCAACGAAAAAAAATGGCACAATTGTCACAATCAGCTTTCTTGGGATTCGGGAAACTAAAGCTTGCATCAGCCAGGAGAGCACTTTATGAAGAAAAACCAGGACATTTCAGTAAGAACAGAGAGTTTTGTGGTATATTACCTTACCTTAGTCCCATCCCCCAGCTCTCTAACTCAGCAGTAGCCTTGAAGTAAGACTGCATTTCAGCCACCAGTACCAGAGGAGCAGAACGGGGCCTCATTCTCAAATAATTTTAATTATTTGTTTTGACTTGTCTGGTGGCTTTTAAAAACAAAACAAGTCCAAAAAAAGTACTTGGCCTATTTTGTCCAACTCAGCATTCAACCAGTGCTAAAGGGACCATATGGAAGACATTTACCAGCGAATATGTTCGTTGCTGCTGCCTGAGTTCATGGGTAATAGCTGGACTGAACAGTAGCCTAACTGACAGCTTCGAGGAAAGGGCGGGGAGGGAGTAAGGGCTTTAGGGAATAAGGGCTTTGAACAGCTCTGACATATTCCTGGGAATCCACAAGACCACACACATGCTGAAAGACCCAAAGAGAGCTGGGTGGCCATACAAATATCAGAAAACAACACGCCTGAAGACAAAAATTGTTATGTGAGAGAAAGGACATTTTAAAATGACTAGAGGCCAATGCATGGATTGGTGCACCGGTGGGGTCCCTCGGCCTGGCCTGGCCTGGCCTGGCTGCCGTAATTGGCCGAAACCAGCTCTCTGACATCCCCCAGGGGTCCTGGATTGCGAGAGGGCAGTTCTCGGGTGATGCACCCAGGAATTGGGCTCCCTCCTCTCTGGTTCTGGGTGCATCACCCGAGAACCGCAGCTGCCAAGTCACCACAGCTCGGCAGCTCCTGCATTGAGCGGCGTCTGCCCCTCGGTGGTCAGTGCGCATCATAGCTACCAGGCGGAGCCTCTGTCCCCTAGTTATCATTGCGTGTCATAGCTACAGGTCGGACGGTTGAAGGGTCACTTAGGCTTTTATATATATAGATTTTAAAGAAAGGCAATCCATCAAGAATATCAAGCAATTATAAATATATGTAAACCTAAGACAGAGTCCCAAAATACATAAAGCATAAATTGATAGAACTGAAAGAAGTAGGAAATTCAACAATAATAGTTGACTTCAATACACTACTTTCAATAATGGATATAAAACCTAACAGAAGGTCCAAAGGAAACTGAAAATCTGAACAACATAAACCAAATAGATCTAACGTATCTACAGAACATTCCACCCAACAAGAGCAAAATATACATTCTTCTTCAGGGCACCTGAACATTCTCTAGGACAGACCATATGTTGGGCCACAAAACAGGTCTCAATAAATTTTAAAAGATTAAAGTTATACAAATATGTTCTCCAAACAAAATTAGAAATCAATAACAGAAGGAAATTTGGAAAATTCACCCTGGATATACTTGCTTTTCTCTAATTTTGCCAAGTATGTACCCTAAACTTTATAATAGAGGTTTTGGCCAAGGCAATTAGGCAAGAAAAAGAAATAAAATGCATCCAGATTGGAAAGAACAAAACTATATTTATAAGATGGCATTATCTACTATATAAAACAAACAAACAAACAACAACTAAGGTATCCACAAAAATATCTATTAGAGTTAATAGAGTTCAGTAAGTTTTTATATTCTATACCGTTTTGGAAGCTTTATAACCTGGAATTACTGAGATTTTTCATATCAGTGATGCTCTTTGCAAATACCTAAGTAGTTTAAGATAAAAATTCAATTTACCTTAAAATGCTTAGTTTAACAGAATCAATTCTATGTTAAACATGGCTAATTCTGACATTAGGGGATCAGAGTATCATTTTGTGTCAACTGCCTCTAAGAAACCACCAGATGAGTCACAGGAGAAAGAGCACAGAACTTGGAATTGGCCACTGGCAGAGAAAGCCAACCTCTATGGAACGCTCTAATTAACAAATTTGTAATTAACAAGTGTAACCTAGGCAAAAAGATAAATCACTAAAAACCATTTCCCCAGATTAGACAGGCCTAAGCAAGCCTCAAGTCAGTCAGATGTTTCAAAACAATAAGGAAAGACTCTAAGGGACTTCATGTTTCAACAATAATGGACATTCTAAAAAGTCTGAAATACCCCAGTAAGGGGTGGGAATTAAAATAAGCTCCAGGAAAAGATTAGCTTTAATAAACCATTAAATTCAGTAAGATCTGTCCACTATTATCAAATCAATAAATACTGATATTTTTCACAATCAACTAATCCTCCCAAAACCCATACCTCAACCCCCCCCCCCCCCCCCCCGCCAAAAAAAAGGAAAAAAAAGGTATTTACCTCTTCTAAGCTAGGGAGCGAAGAAGATGATACTGTTCGAGATGACAATGAGTGAAATGGCTCTTGACCAATAGCATGTTGATGATTCTGTATTTGTACAAAAGGGTTTTGTGGTGGCCTGTGAGGCAATGGAGGTAGGCCATAGGGAAAACCTGGCCCCACTAGGTGATTCTGTTGTAAGTTAGCAAAAGTCCATGCTCCATCAGATGCCAGGTATTTCAAGGGAGGAGGGGCAAGGTGTTCAGATGGCAACGAGAAAGGCGAGCTGAATATCTGGGGTGGTAGTCGCTGTGGAAATGCTGGGTTGTTGGCTACTTCAACGTCTCTGCTATTGTCGTTAAAGTTAGAAAAATGGCTACTGTGGTCTGTACTGGGAGGGGGAGAGGGGACTGCTGGTGGGCTCCTAGTCTGAATTTGTCTATACTGCAAAAGTCTTGATTGAGGTGGTGGCATCTCAGCTAGTTCCCGTGCTTCACTTTGATCACGATTGGACAGTTCTCTGAGTAAGTCCTGAAACCTACATGAAGACGATGAAATGTGAGGAGGAGAAAACAAAAGAAAGGCTCCATCATGTTAAGAAGAGCTTAGTCAACTACGTGTGCAATTTCTACAAACAAAATCATAACACATAACTTGAACTAACATTAATTAATCTCAAATATAAGCATTAATACTCGACAGATGTGGAATTAAAGACACTAAATATGTTCAAGTACCTGATTTCTTTCTTCTCCCTTTGTATTAAAAACAACTGTCCTAGTCTCTACATGCCCTTGATAACTGGCAGTGATAAAAGGTCACCATAATGGTGGGCCTTAATCAGAAGGGATTAGGAAACACTCCGGTGCATTCACATGACACTAGACTAGCCCTAAAAACAAATTTAGAGTCAGTAATGAAAACTCATAAATACCTGTAGTTAAAAGAAGGAAGAATTCTGTGCTACTAGGAAAAAGTTAATAACAAATTTATAATTTTTAGCCACTGATTTACTTCTGTCTTCATTCATTCTTTATAAGTATTATTACTGAGTAAGAAGAAAAAATAAATTACTGAGTAGGACAGTATGTTTCTCTTTTAGAAGAGACCCCACATCACTTCTCGGCCTTTCGGCTAAGACCAAGTGCAGAAGAGACCACGAAGCACAGAGCCATGTTAGCTTAGAGTTTACAGCAGGCTGTCCATACCCAGATTTGCAGAGTTAAATTGATTCTCTATATTTCAGGGTCAATCAATAGAACTGTGTAGTATGTGCCCAGAAGGCCAGTATCCAATTTCTTTGGGACAATATTCCAACTTAAGGCTAAAAGGATAGCATTCAAGAATGAAAAGAGTAGGTGGGTCATGTTTGAGGCTGGTTTTAGTTGCTAAAATACCTTGACTCTGTTGTTTCTGCTTCACCTTCGGCACTGCTGGGAGGCTTCCAGTCTGCCCTCACTGGCGGCTGATGTAATCCAATGGGCGGCTGAGGAAGATGCTGGAGGTGAGGATGAGGCTGTTGATGGTGTGAGTATGGAATACTGCCCTGACTCAGGTAGGCGTGATGCTCATTCCACTGCTGTAACCGCACTTGCTGCTGTCGTAATGTGTCCAGGGCTACACTCCCATGCATACGATCTGCAAAAACATTTGCGAAAAGTTTAAGTTTTCATGCATTCAGGGTTTCCAGTAACTTTTTTCAAGAGTTTTTACAACCAGATTTTCTCCACAAAGAATTGGCTACAGTTTGGGCTTTGGAGAAAGCAAATGTTTTTTAAATTTGCCAGTAACCAGAGTTACCATAATGATGATGATGATAATCACATAACCTGCCATCGACTGGATGCTAAATGTTATATATAGCATTTAGAACTAGATTCTGATTATTACACTAAGTGATTGATTTTTGCTGGCATTATTTAAAGAAATGAATCAAACCTGATCCACATTAATACTGCAAAGTACATGCCATTTTAAGTAAATAAGCTCTGAATTTGTCACATTCGGCAGTGACAGGGGAACTTACCTAAAGCCTCTCCTATCGGCAATCCTGGGGGGTTCTCATCAGTGAAGTTATTCAGATGTGAAGGAAGAAGGGGGCCAGGCTGTGCAATGGCTCGCAAGGGACTGTGGCCTTCTTGCAGCATGGGAGGGGGCTGCTCAGGGATCACAGCCTCTGCAGGAGGGGACTGTGGTCGATGAGAAACTGCATTATTAAAAAAAGCATTGTTGGGCCCTGCCTGATAGGCAGGAGAAAGCTGAGGAGGTGGCTGTGGAGGCAGCTGATTCAAAGGATTCTGCTGCTGGACTACCTGATTTGGTTGGGGTGGCATTTGGTTTGCTTGTTCAGGCAAATTATTCTGCTGCTGGTTTAACAAGGCATGCTGCTGTGGAACTGGAAATGGTGCTCTTGGTAACTGGGGGAGGGGATGAAAATGGCGACCGGGGATGGCATACTGTGCAGGGGGAGCAGGAAGGGGAAGGTTTATGTGTCTTGGGTTGAGATTATCTTTGCGATGAAATTTGGTATTGGGATAAACAACACCAGGACGTGATTCAGGACTTCTGTTCTGTGGATTAGATTCCAAATCAATCTAGGAAAAAATGAGAAGTCTTTTTTAACAGCGGAAAATCCAAGTCTGGTGGCTCTCCTCCTTTCCCCACCCCTAGCACATCTTAAGGATATTATACATTCTTATCAGTAATAGCAGGAGTACAGGGTACCCAATCAATCACTTTCTGACAATAAAATTAGGGAATAAGTATTTTTTAAATTAAGAAAGGTGAAACAGATAAATAGCATATTAAATCTGAGTCATAAGAAGAGATATTGCCATTTTATTAACATATCCACTTTAATTCCTTCAAAAAACATTATTTTTAATTTCACACTTTCTTCCTTAGAAGATAACCATTTCTTTCTTTAGGATATAAATCATTAAAATGTGTTCTTTCCCTCTGATTTTATTATTTTTATATCTCTTTCTTCAAACATACCTCTATTAATTTAAAAAACGTGAAGTGAACAAATAATTTATATATCACCTTTGTATAATCAGTTTGGTTATCAATTTTTGCCATTAGTTACTGACATTTATTTATTCTTTCAAGAAACAATTTTTGAAGGCTTTCCAAGGGCATTGTACCTGGTGCTGGAGATTAGACAGCAATAAGAGGATTCAGTCTGTGCCCACAAGAGCTTAGAGCAGCAGGGGTTGACCAGCAATGGCCCCCAAGCCATTTCCAGCCCAACAGACTTTTGTAAGTTTTGCTGGAACACAGCTCATTCATTTACATGCTGGCTATGGCTGCTTTCTCACTATAGTGGCAGAGTTGAGCAGTTGCAACAGAAAACATGACCCACGAAGCCTGAAGATTTACTATCTGGTCTTTGGCAGAAAAAGTTTGCTAAGCCCTGGCTTAGAGTCCAGTAGAGGACACCAACACGTAAATATAAAATGAGAAGTGCTGTAATGGAAATGATGAGATCCTAGTGCCTGGAAAAATTAAAAGTGGCTTTACACAGGCTACGGCAATTCTACTGAATTTTGCATAAAGAGCTGGAATTTTCCAGGGAGGGAAGGGCATTCTCGGTAAAGGTAATAGCTTATACAAAGGTGGAGAGAGGATAAAAAGTAGGCACATTTGAAGAGCATGAGAAATTTTGTGTACAGAGAGGTGGAACTTCACTTGTTTATGTGTTAGTTTTCCCCTTCTTGACAAATGAAGATGCAAGAGTTCAATTACACATGACCTCTTGAATGATTCAATACTGGGCATAAACATTTTTTCAATCCTGTAAATTGTGACAAGTTCCAAAGGCTTATAAATAAACTAGGGAATGCAGCCATCCTGAAACATGAGTCTGATTGTAAGTGGTGGCAACGTGAAAAATGAAATATAAGGCGGAAAGAAGCAATTTTTGTTTTCCATCTCTGACAGAGCACTCAATGAGCTCCTTTGGTACATCAATGTCCTTACAAGTTTCAATGTTGAAATAGTCACTGAAGATTACCTATCTCACCAAAGGCTCTCAAGTTAGAAATGGAAATGGCCACTCCCAAGAACATAGAACAACTAGCTTGTTCCTGAACTGAAGCTGAGGTACACCTAGTGAGCAAGCTATGGCAACTGATGGTTTCAATGTGCCAATCCAATCCCAAGTGCACTCTCATCTCTAATCACTAGCTCTAATGGACTGCCATTACATTGGGCCAATAAGTTCCTTAAGATTACGAGGTGTATACAAATTGTCTAGAAAATGAAATGAGCAGGATGACCACTCTGTCCCAGTGGGCCCACGCTGCTGCAATACCTGCTTTTCAAATGTCTCAGAGCTTGATTAAGGTTCTTTATAAACAAACATTTTGCCCCATAAATTTTTTTATTTTAATTACTGACACTACATTCAGATGGGATGTACTTTTTCAAAGACTGTTGATATGCACACTTTGATTGCACGAGAGAGACCATGATTAGATGTCAAGGTTGTTTGTGGATAAGAGCTGTTCTAATTGCCTCCTTCACTTCTAACTTTGACATAGACAGGAAGCTAGGCCAGTGCCAGAGAAATTTAGATCAAGACGTGCTACTTTATGATAGTACAAAGGGCTAGGAGAACAGAGAACTGTAAGGTCTGAAGGAGTCTGGGTCTACAATTATCAGAATTAAACAATCACTTTCCTCTTAATAGTGAGTTCCTGACTCAAGGAGAACTAGGAAGTCCTCCCCCCCACCCCTTTGCAGGACAAAGCATCAGGGTAGGAAAGAAAATAAAACATGTCTATTGGGTTGCCTAGTCTCCTAACAGGGAAGGATCATAACGGAAATTTTAAAACAAGGACCTAAAAGACACTTAGCTATCCTGGCTTCAGTTGCTCTGACAGCACCTAAAACTCTTATCCTGGATTTTGACTACCGCTACACTGTCCCAACATGCCCTGTTCTCTCCCTGCTCCTCTCCCAAATACACATGACTTCCACTTTCACTGCCACAGCCCTCTTTCTCTATTGGGAACTTCCCTGGCTGCCTCATTCCCACTGCAGCCCCTCCAGGGGCACTGAGTCCTCCCAGCTGTTGAAACTGAGTGAGAGCTACTTATGAGACATAAATAACTGACTATAGAGAGCAGTTGCTCAAAGCAAGGCTGGGGTTGGAGATCCAGATTTGGAAGTCATTATCATGGAAATGGACTAGTGTACAGTAAGAAACCATAGTATGCAAGGAGAGGTGTGGGGCAGTGACAGAACCCTGAAAACCCTCAACTTAAGGATTAGGAAAAGATGGGAAGGAGGTGGACAAGAACTTATAAAAGAGACAGAAGGTCATGTTAGAAAGAACTGTGAAAAGTAAAAATGTGTGTCACAGAAACCGAAAGAAAGTAAGATGGTCAAAATGAAAGAAGTAGAAAATAGTGCCAAATACCAAAGATAAGTCAAATAAGACTACAACTGAAGCATGTGCATAGCATTTGGTCCCTTAGAACCCAACAGTTTTGATGAAATGTTGAGGCCTGATACTAGACTGTGCTAGTTAAGAAACATAAAAATAAAGATGACGTAGGAAGGAGAAATTAGGTAGTAGCTATAAGAAGATGAAGATAAAGAAAGTGTCTTTTTAAAAAACAGTCTATCGATCAATTTACTTACGGACTGAGGAGGAAGAACCTGTAGCTAGAAAGAATCCAAAGATAAATGAGAAGAGGAAACAAGGTCGGTGAGGTGACCAAGAGAGAGATTAGTTTTAATGAGAACTTCTTCTCTAAGCCTGGTGATAAGGAAGCAAAGATGTTCAAGGATGTAGAAAAGTGCTAAGTTTAAGATTTTAAGTTAACAAGGTGAAATCCTGATGACCGAAGTCTAAGGCAAAATCGTCTCCTGATCAAAAGGATAACAGAAGTTGGAAGATAATCAGGCATGAGAAGAGCTGCTGAGAAAATTGGGCAAAAGAAGCTGGGTACATGTAAAAGAAATGTGGGAGAGCACCTCGGGTTCCCTGAGGTTAGACAACATAAATGTGTGATGGCACTAATTCAGTCAATAATTTGGTTTTCCCTAACTAGCTCACAAGCACAGAAGCAGATAAAGTAGATGAACAAATGGATAAAGAGTTAAGGATTTATACAGTGGGTCTGAGGCGAGAACAAGGTGAGTGACTTGAGAAAGTTGTCTTCCTCTGAGGAAGTTAATTTTTCCTTCTTCTTCACTATACAGCTTCTCCTATTCTGAGAATTATTTTTTTAAGACAATTTTTAATGACATATCTATTAGCCGTGTCTTCGCTGACTACTTTATCATGGAAAGTCTCTAAGTTCAAGTCTATCACCGATATCATAATTTGAGAAAAGTATACTGATAAATTAATAATGTAGCCAAAAAAAAAAGATGGAAGGAGAGAAGGTAACATGACCCGCCAGACCACTGTGAAACAAAAACATTAAAAATACACATAAAAAGGTAAATTTTTTATAAAACATTAAGATTCCAAGATGACCAATCAGACTAACTCCATTAAAACAATGCAGTCACTAAATGTAAGCAGCATACCTGTTTTGATTCTGTAAGCTTTTTCTCTGGTGTTCGAATCTTATTAATTTCAGGTCCAGGATTATTTGTATCACTTTTACCTAAGAAGATATTTTAAAATTTTTATAAATAGTCTCCAGTAAGGATGTTATATTTCCAATGACTACCCAATATTAGACAAAAGAAAATACTTTAAACATTTTTCAGCCATTATTATCAATTTGTATTACTGCTTGAGTTTTGTTCTTAAATTTTCAGAGGCAGTTTCTCTGCAAGAAAGAAAATTTATAAATATAGCAAACCACATTGACAAGGCAAAAGCTTTATAAAAGGATAATCTTAAAACATCAAATAATTCCAAAGATAACAGCCCAATCTCCAGGTATTTACAGCCTAATTTTTCTTAAACTAGACATAGAAAAAAACCTGGCATTCTTGCTTATTTATAAAGGTTCAAAAATTTGATCATTTATAAATGCAATTAAGCAAAATCCAAATAACGTGTCAATCTAATTTAGTAAAGGAATCTAAACTGAGTAAAGATATTCTGATGCCGAAGCCGGTTTGGCTCAGTGTATAGAGCGTTGGCCTGCGGACTGAAGGGTCACGGGTTCGGTTCCGGTCAAGGGCATGTACCTGGGTTGCGGGCACATCCCCAGTGGGAGATGTGCAGGAGGCAGCTGATTGATGTTTCTCTCTCATCGATGTTTCTGACTCTCTGTCTCTCTCCCTTCCTCTCTGTTAAAAATCAATAAAATATATTTTTTTTAAAAAAAGATATTCTGAAATGTACGTATGCTATTTAAAAGTAATAGATATTGAACTAAATATAAGTGAAGGAAGCAAAATTAAAGTTAAAAATATCACAATTATAACAGACAATGCCATTTCATGCATGTGAAAGGCTTTTACTATATAAGAATTAACTGATGGAAATTTTCAATTCCTGAAAGAATCCTTGATTTGGGTTCTTGTTCAAAAACATAGGGCTGAAACTTTAAAATTAATTACTACTAACCTTCAAGAAATAAGAATTACAATGTCTGAGATGAAACACACACCGGATGAAATTAGCAGCAGATTAGACAATGCAGAAGAAAAGATTAGTGGAGCTGAAGGCAAAATATGCAAAATAAAATACAAAAAGAAAATTGATTTTTTTTTAAATGAAAAAGCACCTGTGAAGTGTGGGGAAACTTTAAGCAGACTAATATACGGGTAGTTGGCATTCCTGAAGAAGAGAGAAGGTTAAGACAGAAAAAAAAATCTAAAGAAATAAAGAGTTAAAACTTTCCAAACTTGATGAAAACTGTAAACTATCCAAGAAGCCCAACAAACCCCAAACACAAGAAGCACGACGAAAACTATACCAAGAAGTGTTATAATCGAATTACTAAAACCAGTAAAAAGGAACTCTTAAGCCGAAACCGGTTTGGCTCAGTGGATGGAGCGTCGGCCTGCGGACTGAAAGGTCCCAGGTTCGATTCCGGTCAAGGGCATGTACCTGGGTTGCGGGCACATCCCCAGTAGAGGATGTGCAGGAGGCAGCTGATCGATGTTTCTCTCTCATCGATGTTTCTAACTCTCTATCTCTCTCCCTTCCTCTCTGTAAAAAATCAATAAAATATATTAAAAAAAAAAAAAAAGGAACTCTTAAAAGCAGGCAGGGGAAAAAAGACACATTTCATACAGAAAACAAACATAAGGGTGATTTCAGATTTCTCTGAAAAACTTCACCACCAGCAGACCTGCACTACAAGGAATGTGAAAAGAACTTCGGGCAGAAGGAAAATTGTATCAGATGAAAACATGAATATATAGAAGAAAAAAAAGATTACCAGAAATGCTAACTACATGGGTAATATAAAATATTATTTTTCTTATTAAAAACTCTTTAAAAGTACATGGATATTTTAAGAAAAGTAACAATGTTTGGAGCTTATAACATATGTAAAAGTAAAATGCATTATAACAATATGATAAAGTCAAGAAGAGAAAAAAATGAAATGTTGTAAGGTTCTTTTACTGTATATGAAGTGGTAAATATAAGTGGGAAAGTAGACTGTGGTAAGTTTAAGATGTATACTATAAACCTAAAGAAAATACTAAAATAATAGTTATAGCTAATAAGCCAATGAAGGAGATAAAAGGGAATCATAAAAATATTCAAGCAATCCAAAAGAAGGCAGAGTAAAAGAAAAAAGGAAACAAAAAAACAGTTTGGACAAATTAAAAAAACCGATAGAGCAAGATGATAAAAATCAAGCCTAACTATATTAATAATCACCGTAAGTATAAATGGTCTAAACAATCCAATTAAAAGAAAGAGATTATCATATTGGATTTTTTTAAAAATCAAGAGCCAACTATATGCTTTCTAAAAGAAATACATTTGAAATATAAATACACTAATAGATTAAAGGGTCAATAAATGATATACCATAATAACAATAGTTAAAACAATTATTGATATTAAGCAAAGTAGATCTCAGAGCAAAGAATATTACCAGGGATAAAGAAGATCATTCCATAATGGTAAATTAGTTAATTAATTAAAAGTACAGTATTTTATTTTATTTTTTAATATATTTTATTGATTTTTTAGAGAGAGGAAGGGAGAGGGATAGAGAGTTAGAAACATCGATGAGAGAGAAACATCGATTCAGCTGCCTCCTGCACACTCCCCACTGGGGATGTGCCAGCAACCAAGGTACATGCCGTTGACTGGAATCGAACCTGGGACCCTTCAGTCTGCAGGCCGACGCTCTATCCACTGAGCCAAACCAGTTAGGGCAAGCACAGTATTTTAAATGTCTACGTACCTAACAACAGAATTTCAAAATTCATCAAGCAAAACTTAAAGAAAAATAGACAAATACTAATTATATTTGAAGATTTCTATTTTTATTTTATATACATATATATATGTATGTATGTATGTATATGTATTTACATATATTTTAATATAGAATGCTTCACAAATTTGCATGTCATCCTTGTGCAGGGGCCATGCTAATCTTCTCTGTATTGTTCCAATTATAGTATATGTGCTGCTGAAGCAAGCACTTAAAGATATCTTTTTTATTGATTTCAGAGAGGAAGAGAGATGGAGAGATAGATAGAAACATCAATGATGACAGAGAATCACTGATAGGCTGCCTCCTGCACGCCCCCTACTGGGGATCAAGCCCACAACCCAAGTATGTGCCCTTGACCGGAATCGAACCTGGGACCCTTCAGTCCACAAGCCGACGCTCTATCCACTGAGCCAAACCGGCTAGGGCATATTTGAAGATTTCAATATTCCTCTCTCAATATTTATTTTTTTTAAAGTAGGTAGAAAATCAGCAAGGATATAGCAGACTTAAGCAATCCTATCAACCAATTTGACCTAATTAACATTTATAGAGCACTCCTTTCTTCTCAAGTGCACAGGGAAAATTTACAAAGATAGACCACACAGTGGGTCATAAAACAAAACTCAGTAAATTCAAAAGGATTCGATTCATATAAAATTTGTTCTCTTACCACAATGAAATTAAAGTAGAAGTCAATAATAGAAAAATTCTTAGAAAATCTCCAATGATTAAAAAATAAAACTCGCCTTCCTAAATAATCCATGGATCTAATTTGAAGAGAAATTAAAAAGTGTACAGAATAAAATGAAATAAAAATATAACACTGTACTACTGAGGAGAAAAATTATAACACTAACTACCTGTATTAATCTTTCACCTTAAAAATATATATGCAAGAGCTGTATACTGAAAACTTTTTTAAAAAATGAAAAAGATTAAAGATCTTGAGAGAGACATGTCCTCTTCATATATCAGAATACTCAATGTTGTTTAGATGTCAATTCCCCCCATATTGACCTACAGATTCAACACAATCCCAATCAAAATCCCAGCAGGCTTTTCTGTTCTGAAACTCATGAGCTGATTCTAAAATGTATATGGAAAAGCAAAGGACCTGGAATAGACAATTTTGAAAAAGAACAAAATTGGAAGATTTATACTACTTGATTTTAAGGCTTATAAAGCTATAGTAATCAAGACAGTGTATTTGGAATAAACACAAACATATGCATCAATAGAACAGAACAGACTTCACATATGTAGTCAACTGATTTCCAAAAGAGGCACCAAGTTAGTTTAATGGAAGGACAGTGTTTTCAAATGGTGCTGAAACCACTGAATATATTTACTAATATATGCAAAAACAAAACAAAACCACTTCAATTCTTACCTCACACCATATACAAAAATTAACTCAAAATGAACCTACTGTAACAGCTAAAACTATGAAACTTATAGAAAAAAATAGATGATCTTTGTGATCTTGAATAAGGCAAAAAAATTTAGACTGTTATGAAAATGAAAAGGCAAGCCATATCCTGGGAGAATATATTTCAAAACATATGTTTAATTAAAGATTTGTATCCAGAATGTATAAAGAATTCTCATGATGTAATAAGACAAACCAATAAAAATGCGGGCAAAAATTAAGAATACATGCTTCATTAAAGATATAGATATCAAATAAGCCCAATAAAAAAAATATTCAACATCATTAATTATCAGGAACATGCAAATTCCACAATCAGATACTATCAGATAACCACTAGCAAGGGTAAAGTTAAAAAGACTGACAATATCAAGTGCTGACTAGAAATCTCATACATTACTAGTAGAAATGAAAAATGGTCCAGTCACATTTGAAAATAGTATGGCAACTTCTTATAACATTTCACTCCTGAATGTTTATCCAAGAGAAATGAAAATACATGTTCACACATATGTTCATAGCAGCCTAGGAACCAAAAATTAGAAATAACTAGGGTGTCCATCAATTGACAAACAGATAAAAATACTGTAATGCATCCATGTAGTGGAATATTAATCAACAGTAAAATGAACAAACAATTGACACAGGTAACATGAATGAATCTCAAATGCATTAAGCTAAGTCAGTGGTCAGCAAACTGCAGCTCGCGAGCCACATGCGGCTCTTTGACCCCTTGAGTGCGACTCTTCCACCAAATACCAACTTCTGCGCATGGGCCACGAAGTTTCAATCACACTGTACATGCGCGCCTGCACGTGGTATTTTGTGGAAGAGCCACACTCAAGGGGCCAAAGACCCGCATGTGGCTCGCCAGCTGCAGTTTGCCGACCACTGAGCTAAGTAAACAAAGCCAAACACAAAAAAACTACTTCCCCTATGACTCTATTTATGATTACTAAAGTAGAGACAAAAATCAGATTAGTGGTTGCCCAGGGCTGGGAATTGGAGGAGACTTACTGCAAAGGGATATGAAGGAACTTTTTGAGGTCATGTGAATATCCTGTATCCTGATTAACAACTCTGTATATTTTGTCAGAACACATCAACATTTTAAAAGAGTGAATTTTACTGTATATAAATTATACCTCAATAAACCTGATGTTAAAAATAGAGTAGGCCCTGGCCGGTGTGGCTGTTAGTTGGAGCATCGTCCTGTGCATGGAAAAGGGTTTGATTTCTGGTCAGGGCACATACTCAGGTTTCTGGTTCGATCCCCAGCTGGAAGGTATATGGGAGGCAATTGATCGATGTTTCTCTCTCACACTGATGTCTCTCTCTCTCCCTTCCTCTCTCTTAAATCAATTAAATAAATGTCCTCAAGTAAGGATTAAAAAAAAACAAAACCACCAACATATATATATATATGGTGGCTAATTTTCCTTTATTTACAATTCTAGGAGACAAGAGAGTATGACTTGCATAAGAAACAACTAGTTTAAATCAACTATTGCCACAGTAGTGTTAATGTTTAGTATACAACAAAAATATCTTGGACTAACAAAAATGTTTAACAAATAAGGGTTTTCTGTCTCAATATTAAATGACTACCATTTGAAATACTTTAAATATTAAAATTTAATATTTTTTCAGGAAATTGGTAATGCCAATCATAGCTGGTAGGTTACACACAAATTTTATATCTGCGTATCTTCGAAAGAGAATCCACAGTTTTTATGTCAGATTTTTCTCAAAGAGGTCTATGACCTATAAACAAGTTAACAATCATACTGTTAAAGGAACTTTCTATGTTGATACAGGTTGGCATATCATCAGTTTAGGAACATGAGACCAGCAAAGCAACTCACCATTTCGATGTTGCTCATGCTGATCCTTCTCCTGATGTGGGTTCTGTGGCTGCCCTATGCTGACAGGGGGATGATGCCCAAGGCCATAAGGTAGAGGAGACCCCCGTCCATGCGTCTGTAAGAGGTTCATATTGTAGGCCATTGCTGCCTGATGTGTAATGATTCGAGGATCAACTGCAAACCTACCCTGGTATCCTGTCCATGGTACCTAGGTTATTACAAAAAACAAAATAACTTCATTATATACATTTTGGAAGGCAAACTGCTATAGGAAAAAGCAAACTCACACAGAGAGGTGTTAATTTTATCAAAATGAATAACTACAGTCCATGCTAATGCTAACAATTGACAGAATTACTGCTACATCTCAACTAGCCTGAAATGGCTCCCTGAATCTTTAGTGTGTAAGGGAAAATTTATCACTTAACAGGTTAGAAAGAAACTGAGAACTTAAAATTGTAATAATTTTTTGAAGCATTAAATCATCTTATAATCTTGAATCATTTCCCCTCAATCTGAATGTATACATGTCACAGATTATCCTGAAAATTATCTTTTAAAGTCCTAAGTGAATTGTTACGGTGTTTAATAGACTGAATAAGAGAACAGGGGGAAAAATTAAGAAAAAATTTAGTCTAAGGAGTCTCAACTCAAAAAATAGGTACTCCAACTTAGTATAAATAACCCAATCATTTAATGTTCGTGTATGATATAGGCAAAATTTTAAAAGGTCATTAATTTAATCAATGCTTTTGATTAGTTCAATTCTTCCTTTAAATACAGAAACAGAAAATTTCTTTAGGTGTGTGTATATATATATAATCCCTGTATATTAACATAAAAGGGATAAATACAAATGACATCTGAGCTACCTCCCTATTATTTTATTATAACTGCTAAATGCAGACTCTGAGAAATCTTATATAATAAAAGCCTCTTTGACCTAGTAAAATGAAATATAAATCCTAAGGGACTTACTATTTAAAGCAGATGATGTATAATGTTGCCAGGCTGTCTGGGAAGAAATAACTCAGCTAAAATTGAAATCTGTGGGGAGTGGGCATGAATTACGTATTTCTTACTGACAGTTCTTCTCATTGGCTGCTGTGATTGTGAACTATCATGATCAATATGGCTAGAAATGTTTGCAGCTTGACATTTTTCCACTTTGGGGGTGTGGGCAGGGGTGCCAAAGATCCTTGGCAATGATCACCTCTGCCTGAAATTACAGCACTTTCCTTAAATGAAAGAAAGGTTTTCTAGGCTAAAATTCCTGAATTTGGAAATATTAGTATATCAGCAAATTAACAAAATTATTAAAATATTCAGTGTGTTAAGGAAATAAAAATGGGGTTTTACACAAGATGGAAGCTCTCTAAAGATTACAGTCTTAGGAAGGAATTAATAATGTTTTTAAGTACCAATAACATTTCATAAGGTGTGGAATTTCTCTGATAAATTTAGATTCAAGGGAGTTAGACTAATCTAACCTTCTTTGCCTCCTCCAAAGAACTGTATTTCTTAGGAAGAGTTAGTGAATTATCTATATATATAAAAGCCTAAGCGACCATAATGATCGAACAACCAGAATGACCAGTCGCTATGACATGCACTGACCACCAGGGGGCAGATGCTCAACGCAGGAGCTGCCCCATGGTAGTCAGTGCGCTCCCACAGCCACCCTCCCCTGGCTGGCCAACCTCCCGTGGTCTCTCCCCGACACCCCGGGCTGGGACGCGGAACTGGGAGTGGGTGGTGGTGGATGCGGCCCCTTTCCCAGGGGGGCCGAGGGCCAGCTCCCTCCTCGGGCCGGTGGCCAACCTCCATGCCCCGTCCTTCCCCCAAATCAGCCTGCCGCCCACCTGCCGCAGTGTCAGCGCAGCGGGGAGGGAAGGAGGAGGGGGGGAAGTGGGGAACCACACGTTGACGGTGTCAGCGGCAGGCGTCTGTTCCTTCCGCGCCCAGACCAGCGACCATCACCTCCTCTCCTGACCCTGCCGGGGCCTTGGGGCCCTGATCACCCCAGCCCTGATCACTGGCCAGGCTTAGGGACCCCACCCATGCACAAATTTCGTGCACCAGGCCTCTAGTACAAGAATAAAATGCAAAAGATCCAAGAAAAACATCACTTTACAAAACAAGAGACCAATTTACTAGCTCTGTTAACTTTTGGCTCAATTTCCCAGTAAAAATATTTTAAAAGAATACAAAGGCTTCTCAATCAAAATATCCAATTTACAGATTTCTTCATAGCCACTGATAATCTAGTAAGCAAAAATTCACATTTCTTCGGTCATTTCAAAATTAGAAGGTTAAAGATAATAACTGCTTTAAAAGAAACTTACAGGCATTGAAAAGTTTTTATAAAAAGAAGCTGGTAGGACACTATATGGGACAGTCACTACTTTAGTGAAGCCTATTTTATTTTATTCAATAGAAAGTATCTCAAACATCCACTTACAGGTAAAGGCACCGACATAACTACATTCCCTCCATAGACAGCAGGTACATAAAGAATACTTGTCCCAGTGTGAGGATCTATTCTCTGGACAGGGCTTGGAGATTTTCCCAAATTTGGATGAGGTCCAAGAGGGGGTGGAGGAGTATATGCTCTAATAGGATTGCCAATAAGAACGGAAGGATTGGGTTGAACTGAAAAAAAAATAGAGAAAGGGTATACTCACTAGCTGTACATATTCACCTAGACAAAAATAATTCAAATCATCCAACAGCAAAATATATTTCCCAAGTTTGCCACGAGATATCTTATAATCAAAGAATTATTAGTGTGGAAGAGTAAAGCATATTAAAAAAACATAACATAACCATTTTAAAATGTTCCCTAAAATTAGCTTGAGATATGCAAAGTATTTCTTTTATAAACTAGCATATTTTTAAATGTCTTCTGAGGCTGGAGATGTGTCCTTCAAGAGAGAAAACCATGCGCACACCTACACTCTCAGTAAAAATTCTTCCAAGACTAGGAAAATATGTACAAGTCTTCAGAATAAAGTTTTGACTTGCAATTGTAATAAAGCCACATACAAAATGAAGGATAAACAATTATTATTTTAAAAGCATAATTCTGCAACATTTTAAATAACTGATATAAACTTTATCTTGAATTTTGTATGACCCAACATTTGTAGGATATAAATATGTTCCAAAAACTTAGGTTACATAGAAGGCTTAAATGTTTTTCCTGTTTCTGGATATGTACTTTGGTACCTACAAAATCACCCTTTGTGAGAAATGACATATGAGCCCTGGCCATGTGGCTCAGTTGGTTGGAGCGTCATCCTGTACACTAAAAGGTCAGGGCACATATCTGGGTTGTAGGTTTGATCACTGGTGGGGATGTGTACAGGAGACAACTGATCAATATTTCTCTCTCACACTGATGTTTCTCTCTCTTTCTAAAAATATTGCTCTCTCAATAAAAATATGTCCTTGGGTGAGGATTAAAAAAGAAGAAAGAAAGAAATGACATATGAATAGAAGAGTTAAATGAGTTCCAAAGTGTCCATGTGTCCGTGTGTCCGTGTGTGTGTGTTTCCCTCTTCCTACCTTTCTCTTTCGAATGATGAAATCTGTGGTAAATACCATATCATAAAAGTGAGTTTTCATAGGGCTGTTTCCACTTACCAATTCCATCATTCTGGAAATGATCATTCTGGGTATGTTGGAGGCTTTTCCCCTTTACAGAAAAAAAAACACAAAACACATTTAATATTAGAGAACAATACCAGTTCCTATGCAAATCACATGTATACAGCAACAATTAAAATCTAAAGACTACAAGCTCGTAATTAATAACTATTAAATTGTTCTGAACTTTTTTTTTAAATATTAAAGTCATGGTGTTACATGTCCTCAGCTCCAAGTTAAGGATATCTAAAATTCTTTTTTCATAGTAATCTATATATATAAAACCCTAATATGCAAATAGACCAAACAGCAGAACAACCAGTCACTATGACGTGCGCTGACCACCAGGGGGTGCGCACGGACTATGGCAGACGTCGGCCATGGTGGGATGGTGGAGCAGGTGAGCGGGGGCGCCAGACCAAGGCGGGGGGCCGGTCTCTGTCATCAGGGCAAGCCTCTGGTGGTTACTAAAAATTTTTTGCTTCCACGCACCATGGTCCCGCCTGGCACTTGCACCTGCTGCCAGCGCCAGCCCCACTCACACCTGCAGCCGATGCCGGAGCCACTGCTCATACCGGCTGCCGGAGCCTAGTGCCGGTCCCGATTGCTCGGCACCACCAGTGGGTGCGAGTGGCAGCTGCCGGCCCTGATCACCCCTGAGGGCTTCTCCACCTCCCCCTGTTCCTGAGGGGTGATCGGGACAGCAGCTACCACTCGCACCCTCTGACAGCGCCAGCCCTGCTCGCACCTGCTGCTGGCGCCGGCCCCAATCACTCCGCACAGTCAGCGGGTGCAAGCGAGGCCAACACTGTCAGCATGTGGGAGCAGCGCGGCGAGAGCAGGGCTGCCGGCAGAGAGGGGGCCGGGGGGGCAGCGGCAGGAGGGGCCAGGCAGGGGCGCAGAGGATGGGCCGAGACCCGCCCCTATGCCCATCGCAGCCTCGTGGCCCACAGTTCCTTTCAAGGTACATGAATTTGTGCACTGGGCCCCTAGTTTTTTATAAAAAGAAACATGCAACCAATACAACTTAAACCTAAATTCTATTCCTTTGCAGTTTCTCTGTAAATTTTGTATGAAATAAATAACAAAATGTAAAAGTTGTATTTCAAGGAGAAAATATTAGTCTTCAATTCTTGAGGATGAGAACCTTTAAAACATGGCCCTAGCTGGTTTGGCTCAGTGGATAAAGCATCAGCCTGCGGACTGAAGGCTCCCGGGTTCAATTCCAGTCAAGGGCACATGCTTGGGTTGTGGGATCAATCCCCAGTAGGGGGCGTGCAGGAGGCAGCCTATCAATGACTCTCTCTCATCACTGATGTTTCTCTCTCTCTCTCTCTCTCTCTCTCTCTCTCTCTCTCTCTCCCTTCCTCTCTGAAATCAATAAAAATATATTTTTTTAAAAAAACAGTAACATGAATATAACTATAGTTTGGGATTGACAATAATTTGAGTATGATCCAAAAAAAAACCAGACAGACACACTGATATAATGTACTTAAGAGAATATACAAATTTTCCAGAAAGCAATTTGGCAATACCTATTGAAAGCATCCAAAATGTACATACACTTTAACCCAGTAGTTGCACTTCCAGAGATGTCTCCAAATGAAATAATAATGGATTTGGCACAGATGTTCACCACAGCATTGTTTATACATGGGATGATATGTTAACAACCCAAATGTCCATCAATGAAGGATTTACTAAGTAAGCAATGGCAGATTCATATAATGGTATACTAGTCTACTGTTAAAAATGATGACTTTGGGGCTGAAACAGTATTTGAAGAGACAATGGTTCTGAATTTGTGGACTTGGCTAAAAAAATTCTTTCTCTTTCCATTGGCTAAATGTAATACATAAAGCCTTTAAAAAACACAAGTAGCACATTATACAATTTACCCTTAGACACACACAAATTGCCATTTGTACATTATATCTGAAAACTAAAGGGGGAGATAATAATATCTATAGCAAGAAGAAAAATCCATTCTTGACTAGAGCAAAAGTACAGTGATGCTTCATTTATCTCTGTCAGCAACATTAAATATTCAGATCAGTACTAAACATCAAAGGTCAGTTGGTTAGTTATGAATGTGAAAGGACAGCTAAGTTCTAACCTTAAAAAGTAAAAAAAAAAGTCAAAATAGAATCATATTTGATTCATTAGCCAGAAGAGAGTCTTCTCAGTGATTGCCACTAGCTATAAAAAACAAACTTCTGAGGAACAGAGAAGTGATGAGAAAGGAGGAAAGTGAGAGGAGAAGATGGCAGGCAGCAGAGCTGGCTGAGAAGGTGGGAAGATCAGAAGCAGAGCAATTAGAAGTGACAACAAGAGCAGTCAGGGGCACACACACTGACAGAGGAAACAAGAGCCGAGAGCCGAGGACACAGAAGATAATATAGTTCTAAGAGGGTAATAAGCCATTTAGATTTCTTAGTCTCTAAGGACCCATCAATCAGGGGCAACTGTGTAGTATGTGAAGAAAACATAGTGATTTAGGCAGGGTGGGAGGCAGAATGGCCCCCCAAAGATGTCCACACCCTAGTCCCTAGGACCCTTGAATATGTCATGTTATGTGGCAAATGAGACTTTGCAGATATAATTAAAGTTATGGACTTAATATAAGATTATCCTGGAGTATCTGGATGGACATAATCTATTCACATGAACCCTAAAAGTAGAGCAATTTCTCCAGCTGGAGTCAGAAGATGCAGCAGAAGGAAAGGAAAGATGAGGTGGAAGGGAAGTCAGAGAGGTTCTAAGGGAGAGAAGGCTCTGAGATGCGGGGCCACATGTGAGAACTGGAGAATAGATAATATTCAGAAATGGAGCCTTTGAAAAGACCAAAGCATTATTTTATAGGTTTTAGTTTGTGAGTTGTTTTTCACTATCTATCCTCTGAATAGTTTTTATAGTGTATGAATCTGTTCGATTTTATCAAAGCTTCCAAACATTGCTCCCAGCAAGTGCCCTAGGAGGAAGCAGAATGAAGACAGGGATATTGGTTTTCTCCCTGCTAATTCTGCAGGTGCCCATGAAACAGACATTGTTATAAATGATTCCTGGAGGGAGGGAGGCAATGAGGATTGGCTAGATTACTCACTCCTGGATCCCCTAACATTTTGTACCTTTGCTAAACCTTATCACAGAACTGATATCTTAGTGAGGAGAATAAAGTTATTTGCTAAGCAGCAAAAGGTATGTTTTGTTGACAAACACAGCCCTGAGGAAGCAGTTCCTGGAACATTTTTAACCATGATCCAGTCTTCTGATTATTTTATCTATATGAAATTTTACTTGGATTTTAAAACTTAGTCTAACTTGACAATACTAATTTTTAAGATTTCTTATGCCCAGAACTGTGTTGAAAGTTAAACATTAAGGAAATCTAGGGGGAAATCATATAGCTTAGTATCATGTTTTCAGAAATAGCACCTTTTTCTAACAATGAAGTAAGTTTTCCTTTATCAAAAGACTCCAGCACATAAAATAAATTATCTAGGATTTGTTTCAAAATTTTCCAGTGGGTGTATGTGGTGGTGGTGGAGTGGAGGAAGTAGAATATAGATGAAACAAGATTAGGTTAATAATTAATGAAGTTGGATGATAAGAAATTTGTTATACTATTCTCTCTATTTAAGTAAATGTTTGAAATTTTCTATAATAGAAAATTAAATAAAAAGGGACACCAGTGCAAATTCAAACCTCAAAACAATTTCATGGAAATAAAAAAGAATACGGGGAGAGGAAGGAGGTAAGGTGATAGAAATAACCTTTGGTTCACAATACCTCAGTTATTTATACTATTGATTATTGCAGATGACGTAAATAATAATTTACAATAACCAGGTAGGTAGATGATTTGGTGAACCACTGTGCTATTGATATAAAAATAACAGATACTATCTACTGATTCAGTGAACATTCTCTAAAAAGTTTTTAAAATTGGGGAGGTGGCTGCTTTGGACTTTAATTACACAATTTTCTCATTGAAAGAAAAAAGCCACACTACTGGCTGCATCATACCCATTATTCACTTATCAGATACTTACTGAGCACCCACTATGTGCAGAAAGTGGGGCTAGACTTCAGGGAGTTTATGGTTTTGGAAGAGCAAGTGGATTCAACATATATTTTCCTCACCTTTCAAATAAAACCAGCCCAGCAGTTTGGCTCAGTGATTAAGCATTGACCTATGAACCAAGAGGTTACTGGTTCGATTTCTGGTCAGGGCACATGCCCGGTTTGCTGGGTTTCAGGCTCAACCCCAAGTAGGGAGCATTCAGGAGGCAGCCGATCAATAGATGTGTTTCTCATCAATGTTTCTATCTCTCTACCAGTCTCCCTTCCTCTCTCTAAAATCAATAAAAACATATTTAAAAAAAGCAAATTGCAGGATCTTGCTTAGGATCAGCAGACATTTGCTATGATGGCTTGAATCTAGCTGAATCTAAAGCACATAATTGATGCTCACTTTGCTCAATTAAAGAAAGAGTTTATTATCTTAAGAATGTGCAAAGGGTAAAATGACTTTGCAACATTTTAAATAAAAATAAAATGTAAACATTTCTACCTGGGGTCCTTATTCCTCACATACTCAAAGCTTAAAGCCTTTTGCATAAACTCTTTCTTGAGCTTCACTCACTCATCTAAAAAATACTTCAAAGCACCTAAGATGAGCCACATGTTGTACTAAGCACAGAGGCTAGAGAGCGGTAACTAATACAGGCAAAAATCTCTGCCCTAATGGAGCACATATTCTAGTTTTTGACATGTCTCCCCACTACCTCCACCCACTCAGTAGACCCCTAAACAAGATCTGGCCATTACCCTCCAACATCTGCCACTGGAGGCTAATTTGCTTATCTCTACTTCTCTAGCACCTACCATAACGGCTGGCATGTAGAAGAAACTTAACTGTTTGATTAAAAAAATATATTATTTATTAATAGTTTAAGCTTTAGAAATCTAGAAGGTTCATTTAAGTAAAATTCTTAATCCCCTAGTAACCCCAAGTCACTAACGCATTATTGTACACTAGAGGCTCGGTGCACGAATTCATGCACCAGTGGGTCCCTCGGCCTGGCCTGCGGGATTGGGCAGAAACCGGCTCCCCAAGGGGTCCCGGATTGTGAGAGGGCGCAGGCCAGGCCGAGGGACCCCACCAGTGCACAATCGGGGCCAGGGAGGGATGTGGGAAGTTGGCCAGCCAGGGAGAGACTGCCGGAGGGCTCTAGGGCATGTCCGGCCCATCTCATTCAGTCCCGATTAGCTGGACCCCAGCAGCAAGCTAACCTACCGGTCAGATCGTCTACCCCCTGGTTGGCAGTGCACGTCATAGTGACTGGTCGACAGGTTGACTGTCTGCCCCCTGGTGGTCAGTGCACATCATAGTAAGTGATTGAGCGGCCTTAGCATATCATTAGCATATTACGCTTTGATTGGTTGAACAGCCGACCGGTGGACTGGACACTTGGCATATTAGGTTTTTATTATATAGGATTAGGTTCATTTTTATTAAACTAAGAATATACAACAGTATATTAACATAGAAAGTAGTTCTATTTTCGGCTTAATACCTATTTAGCTAAAAAACTTTCCAGATAATAAACCATTAATTATTGCTTACACATTAGGTTTTACGTTTTTTAAATGAAGCCCAAAACTGACATACTCTATTAAATTTAAAACCATGCTGATAGCTATAAATACACCAAAACACTGGAACAAATACTAAACATGTCATTCTCACAACTTTCTGTTCTAGATGATGTGAATTTTTTTTTCAGGCAGTATAGTAAATAAACCAGCTGTCTCTGCCCAAAATAACTATGGTTCAAAAGTAGAAATGGCTTTGACTTTCCCACCTCCACTTCCTCTGACTGGATTACTTCTTATACAACAAATATAGGTCAAAATCAACTAAAGTAACCTTCAAGAAGTTGGCCAAATTTTCTCACTGTGGCAAATACCACTTGAAATGAACTAGTATTGAAATGAACATGTCTAGTATTGTAGAACATACAAAGTGTGCTCTCAATTAATTTTGGCTGATCAATTGCAAGTAACATGGCCAATGCTCAACTATCCACATGGGCCTAGAATGATGGTTTTTGTTATCCACATAATAAATAAGGATTTCAAAACAGATAACTCATTTTATAGAAGATTTGTACTTCTAGGCATACTTAATCAAGAAAGGATTAGACCTATTTTCTTCACACAGATATCGTTATAATGTTATTCCTTACAAAAATATGTTTTTAATAAGTGTGCTAGTCTAGTCTTTTAAATTTGCTTTGTATTATTCACATCTTGCTAAAATAAGTCTATCAGTAGAGAGGACTAGGATATTATATTATTCAAAGGACACAAGAAGACGTCAGGTAATTGAAAACTTTTTGAGGATGACCATGACATTAACCATGGCTAAACACCACACTCTATTTCCACACTAGACAACTTCCTTTCAGAAACTACTTGCTGAATACCTAAAGTAACTAGCAGCTCAATAAACCTTTGACACCTCTGCACTTTTCTCTCACTTTAGCCTCTTCAATTTCATTAACAGGTTTTACCTTGGGGGGTGATTGCTGCAGCTTGTTGGCACTTCCTGAATGCTGCAGTCTTAGGGCCCGGGGGATAAATTCGGGTGCCAGTGGATTCAACACATATGTCTTCTTTAGTTCTAAAGCCTCAAGTTGAGCTTTGATCTGTTCAAAAGTGATTCCGTGTAGGCTATTATTTTCATGACACAGGGCAATAAACCGCTCCCAAAATTTCCTACAGAAAAGATTGAGAAGATCAGTTTACTATTTCAGTGGGTGAGAGCACAGAAATAAACATAAGCTACTGAAGATCATTTCAAATTTCCTTCCCCCACCCTAACTCCTCAGGTTCGATATTCATCTATGATTCAGATATAATCTTCCCACTAAATCATAAAACTTCAGAGGTTGATTCTGAAATGAGAGCCATGTCTAGTATGCTCTCAATTAATTTTGGCTGATCAATCGCAAGTAACATGGCCAATGCTCAACTATCCCCATGGACCTAGAATGATGGTTTTTGTTATCCACATAATAAATAAGGATTTCAAAAAAGATAACTCATTTTATAGAAGATTTGTACTTCTAGGCATACTTATATATACATATATGTACACAGATACATTATATACACATACACATATATATATCACACACATACACATGCACATGCAAATTAAACTAGTTTAAATTATAGAGCCAACGTAGCCTGGTGCTGGATAACAAAGAAAAGCCAACTCAGGACATAAATCTGATACACAAAGTAGATAAACCCCTCATGAGGATTCTTAAGAAATAACTAGCTACTCCTGTATTTTTCTCTTACTTAACAAATGCTTGTCACAAGCACAAGTTATCATATTGACTAAGTTGAGTTAAATTAATTATGAAAAATACAGGAAGTTGGAACACTAATTTTAATGCTGATTATTCATTTCCTAATCACATTAATAAATATTAAAGGAGAAAAATACATTCAAATCTTGTTGCAGTTGTATATTGTTGCTCCTAGAGGTGTGAAAATTGATCTCTAATGTAAATAAAATATTAAAAACAGATTATAAAAGACAACATATAAAATGTTTAAAAATTTTAAATGACTATTGTAAATATGCATGCCTATCTTTAATATGAGGTTCAAATAATGTTTTATTATGCTATAAAAGATATATGAAATGGATTCCCAGGTTGGTATCCTTGTGTCCATGTGGATAGCAGGTAATCAAGATGGCTTCAAGAAGCATAAGTGAAAAGGTTTATATTATAAAAGTTAGCATATGAATGAAAATTAGGTTATTAACATATTCATAAAACTTTGCAGTTTGATTTCAAAGTATGTTTCTCTCACCTATGTCTTCTACCATCTTTTCTAATTTCTTAAAGATGAGTTTAAAAGATGGGTCCTGAAAAAATTTCAGGCCCAAATGCCAACAATAGGAAAAGTAAAAAATGCTACAAAATATTATTATGTATTCTTGACAATAAGTCATAAAGGCTAACAATTTAGTCATTCAGTTACAGGATGTGTGTGTTTTTAACACACACACACTAAAATCTGCTCTTTATTTTTTATTCTTAAGCACTCTTCTGAAGGAATCAAGAATTTTTTTCCTCATAGTCTAATAGCTAAGGAAGGACTACCTTTAATTAGCACTCAGGATCTAAAAACCCATAAACTTTCCCACCCTTTTGATTTAAAAAGCCACAATATTCAACTGTATGAATATTTATCAACACAATTCTACTACATGCTGTATTCAAAAGGAAGTTTTTTTGATCTAATTGATAAAGTATCAGTTTTATAAGAGTGTCATTTCATATTTGTATGAAACCTCAAGACACTAAAACAACAAGGAGAGAATGGATTGGCTTTTATTCTAGCTCAGTTGTTAATATCAATTTCTTACAATATATTTTCAGCTTAGTTGGCCAAAATACTAGAACTTTGCTCTATTTTCAAGCTACCTTTTTAAACTCCATACTTTCTTCCTACACTGCCCTCACTGACCTCAAACGCAAGGAACAGGAGTTGAAGTCCCCTTCAAACCACCTCAGACTCAACAAGAAGCCAGTAGCTCCCTCACAGTCTTCGCAAAAACTCAGGAATCTCAAAGCAGCAGCCTTTACACTGAAAGTCTCCAATTCAGAAGTAATACTAAACACTGTAAGTTAATCAAGTTAAACTAGTTCTGAAAGTAACCTGAAATTTCCATTTGAAATCTCACTTCTATTTTATTGCCCCATTGATATAGCAAAATTGGTCAAGAGCCTGGATTCCAGAACTAGACTGCTTGGATTCAGGGTGGCTGTCATTCATTCAGTAGCTGTGTGATTCAGGCAAATTACTTAACTTCTCTTTGTACCTCAGTTTCTTCATGTGTAAAATAGGGCACCAACAGTATTATTATTAAACTTTTTATTATTGAAATATTTTATTATCAACAGTATTATATTTTATTATTGAGAAGACTTCTCACTTTTAAACTTCTCAGAAAAAAATTTTTATTCCTTTAAAAATTATTTGTTTTAAAGCTAAAATTTTTCATTTTTTCTCTCTTTGTAAAGGCTCAAGACTATTTGCACTGACCTTGAATTCCTTAATACTTTAATGAAGCACTATGCATGGCATCATAAGACATTTCTGAACACTTAACTGAAAGATCAATTGAGAATTTCATCTACACTCAAAATGAGAATAAGAATTCACCACTAAGGCTTCACCAAGTCTTAGACCCTTCCTAAAATATGAACCTATTTTTTATGTTAACAATTTTTTCAGGTGTGTCTCTACACTTTAAGTATTTCAAAAGACATAACAACAGTTTTAATCACTACATGGACGCAAAATTTGGTTTTATTTTTTATGCTTCTAGGATCACTGATAAAACATTGAAAAATCACTTGATGCCCTTAGGTGACAGAGAGTGTGAATTGTGTGTGTGTGTGTATGCGGACACACATACACACACCTCTACACATATGTGAAATACATTTATATCTCACAGAGTAAATGGAACTTGCAAATAAAGAAACTCAGCTAAATGGAAGACCTTCCCCAAACACATTGGTTTGGAGACATGTATGACTCCCCTCCTTGCCTCTCTCCATTTACAGATTTATCCTGGGAAAGGCAGGGTAAACCAGTGAGAAGAGCTTGGGTTTCAAGTCAATCTTACATCTTTGTGAGTGAACCACTTAACAGCTATGTGACCCCGGCAGTAATTTCAACTCTCTGAATCAGGCAGGCCATCTAAAATGAAAATAAAACACCCACACTGCAGGGCTGTTGGGATGACTGAACATGGCAAAGTGTGCAAAACACTTAACCTAGCACTGGCACAGAGAAAGCTATCAATAAACAGCAGCTATCCTATATAATAAAAGAGTAATATGCAAATTGACCCTAACGAAACTACCAGGAACGACGGGTCACTATGATGCACACTGACCACCAGGGGGCATATGCTCAACGCAGGAGCTGCCCCCTGGTGGTCAGTGCACTTCCACAGGGGGAGCTCCACTCAGCCACAAGCAGGGCTGATGGCTGTGAGCACAACAGTGGTGGCGGGAGCCTCTCCCACCTCTTTGGCAGCGCTAAGGATATCGGGCCTAAGCCATCAGTCGGACATCTCCTGAGGGCCTAAGTTGGCAGGTGGACATCCCCCGAGGGGTCCCAGTCTGCGAGAGGGCACAGGCCGGGCTGAGGGACCCCCCACCCCAAGTGCACGAATTTTCATGCACTGGGCCTCTAGTAAATAAATAAAAGTACAACAAAAAAGATTATATAGTCAGTTGCCTTCTAAAGTAATAGTATATACACAGTAATTATTCCTTGAAAACTTGATCACTATTTGGAAATATCATATTAGTGTTTTTTAAAATATCAAATGGGCTAGAGGGTGAATGATTAACTCAAATTATAAAAAATGTATGCCTCCACTTTTATAGTACCTAAGAATCATATTATGATCTCCAGATTTACTTGTATTGTGAAATTAAATTTCTAACAAATTTAGAAAGATTAAAGCATAAATATCCATAGTCCTCAACCATCAGCTCTTGGATGCAGTGGTTCTCAACCTTCTGGCCCTTTAAATACAGTTCCTCATGTTGTGACCCAACCATAAAATTATTTTCGTTGCTACTTCATAACTGTAATGTTGCTACTGTTATGAATCGTAATGTAAATATCTGATATGCAGGATGGTCTTAGGCGACCCCTGTGAAAGGGTCGTTCGACCACCAAAGGGGTCTCGACCCACAGGTTCAGAACCGCTGGATTAGAGCCATGATTAAACAATCCAAATAGCATAGATAATCAACATTCCCATTTAGCTATTGGTCACATGACTTTTTTCTCCCTACACAATATACTTACTTCTCTGAAAATATTTTGCTTAGCTTACAAATTAATTTGTAGTCTCTCGCATACCCCAGCTTAGCAGTAAGAAATAAGCAACCAGTAGAACTGGCTTCAAGTTAAAAATTAGCCCGGGATAAATCTGACAGCATGGCCTCAGAAAGAATCATTCACCCATTTGCTCTGAGAAAGTAACGGTTTATATCAGAGATGGGGTGAAAATGCTGATCTCATACAATTCACAGTCCTCTACTCTATAGGAAGGGGTAAAGATTTTTAAAAAGTGTTCATGTTGGTAAATATTTGGGGTTACTTATAAGGAGAATCCAAAACACATGCGGCTCAACACTATTATTTTACATAACAGTTTTTAGTTAGTTTTAATACATGCCATCCCATTTTACACATGTTTTAATCTATTAAATTCGAATCAAACTATATGTATTCTCACATTTATCAAATAGTAAACAGAAGAAAAATGATAAAATATCACAGCAATATTCTACCTACATACACTTTCAATAAACAATAAAGTAACTAAAGTAAAATTCTCGGGAGGAAGGCCAAAGTAATATGCTTAATTTTATTAATTTGTAACTTGAAACTAATATATTTCCTTCCCCAATTCTTTGTCATTGCCAGCTAAAAATAAATGGAAATCTATATTTTAAATATGAAATTAAACGTATTTTACAGAATTGTTTAGCTATACATTCATAAACAATTCAAGTTGTGTGTTTTTTGTTGTTGTTAATCCTCACATGAGTATATTTTTCCACTGATTTTTAGGGAAAGTGGAAGAGAGAGGGAAAGACAGAGAGAAACATCGATGTGAGAGAAACACATAGACTGGTTGTCTCCTGCACGAGCCCTGACTAGAGGAAGAGCCTGCAACCAAGGTACGTGCCCTTGACTGGAATCAAACCCAGGACCCTTTGGTCTGCAGGCTGATGCTCTATCCACTGAGTCAAACTGGCTAGGGCCATTCAAGTTTTAAAAGGCTATTTTTCATAATGTAACCATAAATTAAAGCTCCTCTTGATCCCTTTGTTAATGGTTTTCCCTATAAAGAATATTAACTTCTTTTGGAGTCCTAAACTCTAATACTTGCAGCTTATTCTTAATGGTCTCAAATGGTTACCCTTTCCATAGAATGCTTTTTTGCTGCTGAAATAGAGAAAAAGACAATAAAATATTGCCATATCTATATTGCAACAGAAAACCTAGTTTAAAGAGGGCCACTTCCTACTTTAATTCTAACATATCAAAAAGGCATATTTAGAACTGTCTATATCACTTTCTACTATTCTGAACTCATTTTGACAGGTACTACAATACTTAAAAAAATTTAAGTAGACCTGGCCGGTTTGGCACAGTGGATAGAGTCGGCCTGCAGACTGAAGGGTCCCAGGTTCGATTCCAGTCAGGGGCATGTACCTTGGTTGCGGGCACATCCCCACTAGTGGGTGTGCAGGAGGCAGCTGATCAATGTTTCTCTCTCATCGATGTTTCTAACTCTCTATCCCTCTCCCTTCCTCTCTGTAAAAAAATCAATAAAATATATTTTTTTAAAAAAATTTTTAAGTAATCCCTAGCATTTTTTTTCATAAAATATTATAAATTTCTATTCTAATGATTTTTTGTTAATGTTAACATAGTTTTTAAATACTGCAAAGGCCAAGTCTTATATTGCTGGCTTCATGCAGTTAAAATCCCTGTTAACTGGTATAAATCAAAAGTGTATAGAGAAATTTTTTATGTTAACATTTTAACAGCACTTTAGTAGAAATAGTTACTATGACTACAATCTAAGGAATACCAACAATGATATCCAAAGACAAGTAACAAACAACTTTTAACCACCCTGATTTTCAGAACCTTTGGATTAACCAGACAGGAAAAATTATTTACATTAGGAAGCCTTGAGAGAAAAATGAGTGGAGAAGGAAATTCATCAAAAACGAGCTGAAACAATAATGAAGGGAAAAAATACAGTATCGATATGTCATTTCCATCAAAGAGACACACGCACAAAACACCCACTCAGGATCCTTGTATTAGCTGTTCCCTCTTCCTGGAGCACTTTTACCCCAGGTCTGCACAGCGCACTCCCTCACCACCAGTGTTAGCTTCTCAGCGAGGCCTCCTCTGACCACACTATGACAATCACAAGCCAGCCCACCCCACCAGACCCGTCATTCCTAATTCCACTTAATGTGCTATTTCTCTTCCATTGAACTTCCCACGTAAAATACAACACTATCTTATTTTGTTTATTGTCAGTCTTCTTTTCCTCCCCAATAATATGTAAGCCCCTCAAAGGCAGAGATTTTTGTCTATTTCATTCACTGACCTGTCTTCAGTGGCTAGAAGAGTGTTTAGAACATAGTAAGCACTTGAGAAACATCTGTTGACTGATGACTGAATGAATGAATACACAATTAAGTATAAAATAGACTCAAAGCAATATATTTTTGTGTTCCTTCTGTTTATCAGGTAAAGTTAAACTTGATTTTAATTAGCCAAGAGGTCATATAAATAAATGTACACATAGGTATACAAATTACTCTACATTTTCCCCTTTAATTTCTCAAATCAGGAACACATAATTACCTGCATCTTCCAATGGAGCACAGAGCAATGGGATCACCTACCACAGCAACCAGGGACTGTGCTCTTGTGATGGCAGTGTTGAGAAGTTTGTAGTTAGATAAAAAACCATAATCTAAGTCCTCTGTGGAATCTTCCAGCAGTTGTTCTTTCTTTTTAATTGGTGTCTGTTTATGTTTACAAGTATGCCTTGTCCGTACTGTGCTAAGAAACAAAACTCTGAATTGCTTTCCTATTAAAAACAAATAAAAAAGACTTAAGATTGTTATTCTGAAGCACTGATAAAATAAAAGCATTTCCTTCTGCCTTTTTTAATGTTATTGCTAAATGATAGGTATTGGCAAGGATGTGGAGTAACTGGAACTCATGCACGGCAGGCAAGAATGTAAAATGGTATATAAAACACTATGGAAAATAGTATGGTGGTTCCTCAAAAAATTAAACATAGAATTAACATGATCCTGCAATTCCACTTCTGGGAATCAATCCAAAAGAATTAAAAGCAGGGACTCACACAGATATTTGTACACCCATGTTCACAGCAGCACAATTCAAAATAGCCAAAAGGTGAAAGCAACCCAAGTATCCAACAACAGATGAACACATAAATGTGTATATACATATATACATATATAAAATATTACTCAGCCTTAAAAAGGAAAGAAATTCTGACACAGGCTACAACCTGATGAACCTTGAAGACATTATGCTAAATGAAATAAGCCAGTCACAAAAGGACAAATAGTGTATTACTGCACTCAAATGAAGTACCTAGAGTAGTCAAATTTATAGATAGAAAGTACGATGGTGGTTGCCAGGGGCTGGGAGGAAAAGGGAAGTGGAATGAACACATAAAAATGGTTAAATGGTAAGTTTTTTTAAATTTTAGTATTGCTGGAACCAGCCTTAGTGATTCCGAAGTCCCACTCAATACAAGGAACCTTCATTAAAGCAGGGTCATCTAACCTCTTGCTGATTCCATAAGGAACCCTTATTGAATATAGTTCGTACAATAAATTTCTAATGCTCTTTCTTATAGTGACACGTATTATTCCCTCTTTCTATGACAGACCTCCAAATATTTGAACACAGTTTTCACATTAGTCTTTTCTTCTGTAGGCCAAACAATCCTACTTCTTTCGACCACTCCTGACTCCCATGTGGCAGTTTCTATAGCCAGATCTCCGTTGGGTGCTTCCTAGTTTACTAGTACTATTCCTTCTAAAATGCACCCAAATTCTGTGTGATCTGGACAACACGTGGTACAAGGGAGTTATTTTTCCCCATGATTTAGAAATTTTATTATTCTTACTATTGTATATTACCATGAAACCTGAGATTGTACTAGGCTTTTTCAGCATTCACATCATAGTGTTGTTTCATTATTTAAAAGCACAAATTTTATAGCAACTAGTTGCTGGTAACCATTCACTGAGGAAAGTCTGTAGATGGAAAACAAGCTGTGCCTTTAAAAATGCATTTAAGCAGAACTTGCTTGCCAGGTACAAGTTTGTAAAAATCTTTATGAACAAATTAGTCCTCAGAATGTAACAACAGTAGGCGTATGCTACAGATAGCGTGTGTAATTTATACAATTACAGTCACAGAAAAAGTTAATTTGTTCATGCTTCTTTTATTTGGATATAAAAATCTAACAAACATATAAATGAGCTCAACCTTTAATTGCCAAATTTGGCATTAAAGAACTTGATATGAAATGAAGACATAATTACTTCTCCAGGAAAGAGATCTTGAGAATTAAAAATCCAATGTGCACACACTTTAAGATTTAATCATCTGAATAACTTAGTTTGTTTCAATTAATACTCACCTTGAACATTTAGCACCCTTTCTACATTAACATCAGATAATCTCTTTTTTCGAAGTTCAGCACGTATCCTAAACACTTGATCAGCATATGGAGTCACCACACCGATACTGCCATCATCTAACTTCCCCCATGCTACTGGCCATTTCCTTCTTAACTCTTCCACACGTTCCACCACTTCAAATACCTTTAAACAAACATACATACACATAATAAGTTACGCAAGTGTTTAGAGAAAAGAATATGGTAACTGAAATAGATGTATAAAGGATTCCATTTTATCATTTTAAAATTACCTCTAAATAAGAATAATGCTTTGCTTTTATAAACACATTGAGAATTAAAACATTTTATTTACATTTCAAACAGTAAATTCTATAATGCACCCAGTGAAAACATGAAAATGAGACAATGTAATGGCAACTGGCCCCTCCCTTTACCCAGTCTCCTCCATTCTTAAATAAGGACAGGTTCAAGTTCCTGTGTAGGAAGAAGGACAAGGATATGGCCATAAAACTGACAACCCCATTTAGGGAAACAGAGAAGCAAGTCCTGACAGTCTCAGTAGTTCTCAGTCCACTCTCTCCAGATCAGGCAAAAGAACCTAACCACCAACTAGAGATGCCTAGAGTGAGTGCCACCATTCAGTCTCAGCAGTGCAAGGCCTAGCACTGCCCTTCCTCCACTGATATAACTAAGCAGAGCAGCCAGCAGCTGGTGCCTAACCACTGCTGGGACTAGGACAAATTTGGATCAGAGACAGACCTTCAGAATTCACTGTTACCTAACAGTACAACTTTGCCCAAGCCATTTCATGAACCTTGCAATAAAGTAATGGCATATTTTACCCAAATGAATATTTTAGATGCTATTTATTGGGCTCTTAATGTAGGTCAATCTATTTTAATTCAATGAATTGATCAAACCGTTTCAATGCTTAGCACAGTGGGAAATACAATAATTAAGAAAACATGTTCCTTGCCTAAGAGATTACTGTGTATTTAGAAAACAAATTCCCAATTAAAAAATATATATATAACACAAGCTCAATAGAGGATCAGACAAGAGTCTAGAGAGGAAGGAGAAATATTTTTAATGTCTTTTAAATATATTTTTTATTTATTTACTACTAGAGGCCCAATGCATAAAAATTCATGCACTGGAGGGCGAGGGGGGTCCCTCAGCCCGGCCTGCCCCCTCTCACAGTCTAGGAGCCCTCAGGGATGGGAGGCGACCCGGCGATCAGGGGAAGGTGACTCCCCCATCACACCTCTGCTGCTGCCACTGCCTGCAGCGCAAGCCTTGACCAGCCCTGTTTACCTGCGCCTCGGGCCGGCCGGGCAGCCGCCATCGGCGGTTTGCCTGTGCCTTGGGCCGTGCCTACTTGCCTGAGCCTCAGTCAGTGGGGGGTGCAGGAGGACCCAAGGTCCCCAGCAGGGCTGAAGGAACTAGGCGTCACCACCTTGTGGCTGTGGGCGCCGCCATCTTGTGAGGGTGTGATGGTCAATTAGCATATTCCCTCTTTATTATATAGGATTTACTAATAGTATATAAACTGACAGCATTAAATATAGTGAGTAAAATTTGACACTTTTTATTCCTTTCAAGAACTTGAAGATTATTGAATAGAATGTAGTTCCCACTTCCAGATACAAATTCAATGGATGATAGTCACCCTACTGTTATGATGATATAACAGCAAGGGCATCAAATACACAGACTGTCCAAGGATTCTGAAGAGCAAACTGGGCTGAAGACATGGTGATCTCATTGTAAGGAATAAGACAGGTGGGTCTGAGTACAAAGGAAGTGAGTGAAAATTGACAGATGGTAACTCAAATCTACAGAAAGAAGTTAAAAGAACCAGAAATAGTAAATAAGAAGGTTAATACAGCAAACTCTCAGAGTCCTTAAAGGCATAAAATTATATAATTGTAACAATGTATTGTTGAGTTGTAATATACATAAGTATAATACAAAAAACAATAATAGCACAAAAAAGGGAATAGAGAAATGTAGGAGTAAAGTTTCCATATCTCATTAGAATTAAGTTAGTTTAAATCTGAAGTTGATTCTGATAAGATATATACTGTAAGACATAGAGAAACCACTAAGAAAACAAAAAATCATTAATGAATAATTAAAGGAATTAAAATATGACAAAAGAAAAATGCACTTAATGCAAACAGTGGTAGTAAAAGAGAAAAGAAGGGTCAAAAAACACGATATAGAAAACAAAAAGCAAAAGGCAGAGGTTAAGTCCATATCAATAATAACATTATTAGTAAATTAGTGGCCCGGTGCACAAAACTCGTGCACATTAAAAGGAAATTAATTAGCCGAACCGGTTTGGCTCAGTGGAAAAGGGAATTCATTAGAGAAAACATTTTAATATTGCTATTTGCCCTTTCTCTATAATAGAAGTGTCAGAGATGAGAGAAAATTAGTAAAATGTATTTGAAAATCTCCCTCCTGTCAGAGTCCGGGGTGTGCCGCGGGACCCAGAGTCAAGTCCCCACCCACCCGCGCACGCCTCGAAATCATGCGAGACCCAGACCCGGCCAGCCCCACTCCGGTCAAGCCCCGCAGGGTGGGGGGGCACAGCCTCAGGTCACCCATCAAGCCCCGCTGGGCAGGGGGTGCGGCCTCAGGTCCCCTGGCCCCAGTGCCAGGGTGGGGGGCATGGCCTCAGGTCCTCCGGCCCTGGCGCTGGGGCGGGGGGCACAGCCTCTGGTCCCCCGGCCCAGCCTCAGGTCCCCTGGGGCGGGGGGGGTGGCCTCTGGTCCCCCGGCTCTGGCGTGAGGGCACGGCGACCATTTGCATATTAGCTCTTTATTATATAGGATGTAAGCGATTTAGACAATTTGATCAAAAGGAAATTCTTTTTAGACTAGAATTAAAATAAAAAACATAAAAACACGATGCAATGATTTGGTCTATAGGAGACATACTTTAGATTCAAAGGTAAAGATAAAAGGATAAGAGTGAAAGGGTGGGAAAACATGCCATGCAAACAGCAACCATGAGTTAGCTGGAGTAACTATGCTTATATTAGACAAGTTGACTTTAAAACCAAAAACAAAATGTTACCAGAGATATAGATGGACATTTTAAAATAATAAAAAGGTCAATCCACAAGGAAGATATAACAATTATAAATAGTCCCAGTATATATCAGGCAAAAGTCATGTCCCCTCTCTGCCATAAGTTCCATCATAGCTGGTGGATTTATCATAGCTGGTGGATTTGTTTTTTAATAACTGTACAAGTCTTTCTCCCTCTCACTTATCCCATCTTAATTGCTCAAGGTTAAGAATCATGTATTGGTGCTTAGTGTTTAAATTCTGCTTCCCTCCATCCACCAACTTGGCATTATATTGAGACCATTTATCCACCAACTTGGCATTATATTGAGACCATTTCATTATTGTAGGATATGAGTTCAGTCAGAATCAAGAAAAAAAAAAGGGATGACCTTTCTCACTCTTTTATTCTGCCATGTTAAGCGTGTGAAAGACACAAATTCATATAATAGACAAACACATGATATAAAACAAAAAAACATGTTCCCCAAACAAAGGACAATTATACACAACAAAAATACTGTAAATATTCAACTCCAGATTCTTTACTTTTCATTTCATCCTCTGTTCTAAGATCCTTATGACTGTAAGTCTGTGTGAGTCAAAAGTATTTTTATAATGATGAAATCTAAACCATTCTCAAATCTCACAATGTCCTCCTAAACTTTAGTCAGAACCTCTATACAAGAAAAAAATCTCATGTTTCCCCTATTGATGTAACTGGTACCACTTGCTTTAGAACACTTGCCTCTCTCTGTCAGCACTCACCCTACCATGGTTGGTTTCCTAGATCTGAGTTTCACCTATACATACTCTACCCTCAAAAAAAGTCCAAGCATGCCTACACTGGTATTCAAAACTTGAAAATCTTGCCTATAAACCAATGAGCTTCTACTCCCAGCCCAAGCAATATCTATCCCACTCTATCAGCCCCAGTGAACAAGGATTAGTTTTTGCCCCTTGAAGAAAAAGCCTCCAGGCTCTTTTCACTGGAGTAACTCACTGGGCTGAAGAAAGTGACTAAACAACCATGATCTAGTGGTGAAGTTCAAGGTGGCTTCACATTTCTCTAAAGTTACATAGTTAATATTTAAAGTTCACACAAATCTTTGTGTTTAAAATATGAAAAATATTTCTTTATCCACCCCCCAAAATTTTTTTAGTATATTGACAGTCTAGGGCAGTGGTCGGCAAACTGCGGCTCGTGAGCCACATGCGGCTCTTTGGCCCCTTGAGTGTGGCTCTTCCTAAGCCTTAGGAGAACCCTAATTAAGTTAATAACAATGTACCCACCTATATAGTTTAAGTTTAAAAAATTTGGCTCTCAAAAGAAATTTCAATCGTTGTACTGTTGATATTTGGCTCTGTTGACTAATGAGTTTGCTGACCACTGATCTAGGGTGATGCACCTTATTTACTCTATAGCTTGCAGGTTTCTTGGGAAACACACATGTATGTCCCCATGAAGGAACAAGTGGCCCTGGCTGAGAAGCTGAGCCTCTGGCAAACACCAACCCTGCCTCAAGATTACAGTTAGGGCTCAGCTCTGACCCCTGGTGGCAAGGCAGGACCACCAAGCCTGCTAGAGTTCAAGCTTGCCTCTCCCTGTCAGCACTCACCCCACCATGGCTAGTTTCCTAGTTTCTAGGCCAGTGGTTTGCAACCTGAGAGTAAAAGTAATAAAGAAAAACCTAGAGTTATTTGTCAATATTTCAAACATTTAAAGAAAAGTTTACCTTTTCTTAAAATTAAATGGCACAGACTAACTGAAATGTCAAGTTTCTTTGCTTTCAGCTAGGATTTTATCAAGTGGGTGCTATTGATTTTCTTGTACTAACTTCTAACTACAGGCCTCTGATCAATTTTTTAAAGAAAAATGAATTACTATTACATCATAAAAGCCATGTCTTTGAAAATAAAATGAGTAAAGAATGGGACTTAAGGAACAAAGCAAGATGGATATCGTAGATCAAGAGCAATTCCCCCAATGATTAACCAGGAACCTCCCCCCAGCCCTCCTCTGGGTTTCCTGAAGTCCAAAACTCCATGCACTGTGATGACCAGAACTTATCTAAAGGGTCTCTGGCTTGCTGGCCCCTAAAGACTTCACCAACTTTTTGTCTGCTGCCTGATCTGACCCCTCATACTACTTATACTCTTCTGAAATTAAAGTCACATTGTAAGAGGACCATACAAGTTGTAGCACATAATGGGTTAGCAACATCATCACCTCAGTCTGTGTGATCTCTCTGGAGCACAGAATTCTGCAATTCAAGTCTTACTCACTTAAAATGATATGTCATTTGAGTATGCACTATAAAATATAATCATAGTCTATTTTAGATGGCTAACAATAATCCTATATAATAAAAGGGTAATATGCAAATCGACTGAATGGCCAAACAGCAGAACAACCATCCGGACAACCATCCAGGACCACACTATGACACCCACTGGTGCCAGGCCAGCCAAGGCAGGTGCCATGCAATTGGTCGGGGGCCCAGCCATCACCCCATGATCACCCCGCAGAGGGAGGCCCAGGCCACCGGCCAGTGGGCGGGTGGACAGGGCCTGCCTCTGTGTAGGAAGCTCGGGTCCCGAGTGCCCGAGACCAGAGGGAAGCCCGGGTCCCAGAGGGAAGCCGGTGTCGGCAGCTGGGGGGAAGGAAGGCCTACTCTTGCACAAATTTCATGCATCGGGCCTCTAGTAATAGATATAAAATAACACCAACTTTTCTTTTCAATGAAGTCATGTATTTTGTATTTTATCATAAGACAACATGTAAATCAAAAGTTTTGTTTCCTACAGGAGATTCATCTTAACCAATCAGTTACACAAGAAAGAATGAACTTTACATACTATTTTCATGTAAATGAAGTCAACACCCAATAAGATGTCAACCCAAATTTTTAAATAAATGCTCTCAACAAGACCAGGCTATGTGACTGTGAAATATTAACAATTTTCAAAAGAACTAAGGTACCTCTGCATTATTATAATAAGCTGTGCTATTTTTTTCTTGTACATCTTCCCCTCGAGCTGTAAAGAAAGTGAGTGGGTAGAAATCCTTGTGTGCTGGTTGCTTTCCACTGGCCATCAGTTTGCCCTCGTAGAAGAGCTCAGAGGTGTAACTGCAGAAAAAGACCAAAATAAATAAGTAAAGAGCAATCTATTATCAAAATTCAATTCACCCATAAGAAAATAAATATATCAGTCAATCCTAAAAATGTTGCTTTATGTCCATGATTAATTTTAATCCAAGCATCTAATACCAATGAGGCCAAGATTTTCTCCAAAATCACAGCAATGACATCAGAATAGGCTCCGAATTGCTAAATGAATTGATTTGGGTAAGGTACAAAGCCAGAATACAGAAAGAAAAGGAATAAATGACGACAGTTCAATACCAGATGAGAATCTTGCTCTGTGAGGAAATGTGCTAGCTAGTATATTTTCCTGGTTAATAGATTTAGATCATATATATGCAAACAAAGATATTCAGATATTGAAACAATACACACAACTGAAGGACAGTCAAGTCTTTAACAATAAAATGAATACATTTTGCAGAAGAAGATACCAGCTAGTACTTGATTCATCAAGGACTGCAGTAAATGACTGGCAACAATCAAAAAGGAAGCACATACTGAGATATTAACAAAGCCACAGTTAAATCTAAATTTTTATATTTATTCTATTGCTTTCAGAGAAACCTAAAAATGGTTTTCACATGACTGACATAATCAACATTATTAAATCATACTAAACTTTAAAATATTTTAAGTTTTTGGTTGAAAGAGGGGCTTTCCAGAGTGCTGGCAATGTTCTGTTTAATGATCTGGGTGCCAATTACATGGGTGTACTCAGTTTATGACTATTCCCTGAGCTGTCACTTATGATATTTTTATTTTTATGGATGTGGATGTGTACTATATTTAATAGAATCCTTTAAAAAGTTTATTACTAAGTTTCATGGTTTTCCTTCCTCCCTTCCTTCCTTTCAAACAGATTCCTTGTATAAGACGGACCAATAAGCAAACCATTATGTAGTTTATCAACATATTTATTTATTACATCATGTAGTTTTACATGTATGCTATATATTCAGTCACAGAAAAATATATCATAGCTAGTAAAGCCTAAAGTGTTAGTTTCCAGAATTGCCCTATTCTGTGAAAAATTATAGCTCTGACTTCTGAAGTTTCTTTTACAAACATAAAAGTAAACATAATCTGCAACTCAGGAGACCATGTAACACTGCTGGGAATAATTGGTCCCTAGAAACAGTGCTGTTTTGAGTCCCCTCCAGCCAGATCACAGGAAGTGTGATACAGAAAGGGCAGTTCACACCTACTTGATGATAGCTTCATGGGACCGGTAGTTCTCACAGAGGAGGATCCTGCATGGGAACTCAGCGGGGTAATGCTCATAGAGTCGATCAAGTAATGAAACATGAAGGTTTCTCTCCCTGGCAAACTCGCTGTAAACAAAAGGACTGAGCTGTAACAGACAAACATACAGAGAAAACTTAATTAAATATATGAGTAGTATTTTTTAACCTACTCATTAAAAAATCCACTATGCTAGCCCAGCCATTGTGGCTCAGTGGTTGAGCATCAACCTATGAACCAGAAGGTCACGGTTCAATTCACAGTCGGGACACATGCCCTGGTTGCAGGCTCGATCCCCAGTGTGGGGCATGCAGGAGGCAGCCAATCAATGATTCTCTATTATCATTGATGTTTCTCTCTCTCTCTCCCTCTACCCTCCTCTCTAAAAATCAGTAAAAATATATATATTTTTAAAAATCCACCATGCTGAAGCTTCCGATGTACTAAACTTCAACATGCTGAATGTTAGAACAAGCAAAAGAAAATATATTTTCTATGAACAATTTTACTACTATGAAGAATGAGGCTAAAATTTCTAACTTTTCATTTCACTGACCTAGAGTTCCTACACATAGGTTAATAAAGGGCTCCTCCAACATACTAAATAGCTACTACTCAATAATTTCAAGAATGCAACCCATTGCATCATTGGGGGAGTCAGTCAGTCAGTTATTTCACTAAAATTGATGAACTATTCATAATGGTGAGCTGGTAGGACATTTTGCATATGAACATAATTTTTTTAATAATTTGTAAAATAATCTTTTTCTCATGACAAAGTATAAAAGGAGCTATTCTTGATTATACCTCTGGCAGCTAAAAAACAAAATTGAATTACTTTTGGCAAAGAAACAAAAACAGAATTTGTTCCTCTACACATTCAACTCTTTGCTGGATGTCTTGACAGCTACAGCACTATATAGGTTCAATCTTATCTGTGGCAGAAGATATTGTAAAACAGATTTTAATAGAAAAATTATATTTCTCCTTCATGTATAGTATGCAAATACATAAAATCAGACCTCGTTTTGAGACTTTGACCATTATTTTTAATTAAGCACTTTGTTATGATAGCAAAAAATTAACCCTGCAGGAAAACAAATGTAGGAACAGGACTTGGGGAATTGTAAAAAAAATAATTTGGATTTAAATTTGCTTTATAAAAAAAATAAGACTCAAATATTCATACTACAGAGAACTGAACTTTAAATTAACAAACATGAAAATGTTGTTATACATTGTAGTGGGATTATAATTTTCCTTCAAAAATACCAGTCTGTTTCACTATTAGTGCAGAAATATTTAAAGTACTTAAAGTATAATACATGGCACAATTTCATTGGGTATTTTAGAAAATAATATTAAACATCAACATATAATTCAAAGTTCCTTTGAATATGATGATGCAGAGGGCAATTACCTGCATGTGGTCACCAGCCAAGACAATCCGAGTGCTTTTAGTTGCTAATGCTAGAGGCATAATGGTTTCACACTCCATGGCCTGGGCAGCTTCATCTAACAGAATGTGCGTAAAAAACCCTACAAAGTACACAGTAAACACAGTAAAGTATATTAAAGCAGCAATAGAGGCCAGAGCAGTTTTGTGTGTGTTTTTTTTTCATTTCTGCTAAAGAAAGAGTTTAGTGTGCCAATTTAAGAGTTGTGAATCCTCAATTTAGAAAATCATCCATTTAAATTATTATTTAAAAACCAGAGATTAAAAGGAGTAATTATCTTGCTCAATAATAGATACATAAATGGCATCTGGTGCTAAAGCCCCCAATACTAACAGCTGCATCGTTATACTTAAAGATATTTTAAAAGTACCAGGTAGCAGCTCTTCACCAAAAAGAAGGGCTGGCAACTAAACACTAAGGACCAAAGTCCTTTCACTATGTATTCGATGAAACATCAAAAATAAAACAATGGTAGCTCATAAGTAACTTTAACCTAGATATGCGTATTAGACATTAAAATAAAGAAAATCACACTCAAAATCTAATATAAAGAAGAGTTACAATTTAATTTTAAAATCTAAGATTATCTATTAGCTTATTCACTAATTTGATTAGATTTAGAGTGTGGAGGCAAAAGTAGGTTTACAGTTGTGAATATGCAAAGTTTATTCTTGTATTATTAATTATTGTATTATTTTCCATACAAACAACTGTAAGCCTACTTTTGCCCACTCTGTATATACATATAAGATAGATATAGATGATATAGATATAGATATAGATATAGATATAGATATGTTTTTTAATCTAAGACCCTACAATGAAAATATCATGCCTGGGGGAAAAAAGACCAATAACAAATGTCAAAAGTACATTATCACAAGTCCCCCAGATGCAAACACCTACAGTAGGAGGCATCCTACATCTTGGTTGCTACTGCCACTCATACTGGGGCACAGAAATCTGTGTACAGAAAGGAGGAAAAGCCCCTTTTCCTCTAAAAGGGGGGAAAGAGGCAAAAATCTCCTTGCTGTCTCAATGTAGAGAAGAAAAAAGTTGTCCCCTACTGCCAACTCAATGAGGTCGGAGGGGACCCTCTTTTTACTAACATAGCAAAGAACAGGAAGTAGTTTCTCAACAGAATGATGACATAAAACTCTGAGTTAATCAGCCCACTGTGAGTTGGCCCAAGAACCTAGCCTCTATTTCCATCCCTATTTCTATAAATATCAACAAATTCCAAACAATCTGTTCATACAACTTTCTAATGCAGTAATAACTCTCAAAATCATCCATTTAAACAAATAGCTATGGTTGACAATACAAATATTAATAACTGTTGTCTATTTACCCACAGTGGCCCAAGCAAGATATGGACACATGCATTTTTCTCCCTGTTGAAAGAATTGTGCTTCTTGTTCCACAAGACTAATTAAGGATGGTGATTACATAAACACAGAATTAAATTAGAGGGAAACACTGAGACCAGTGAAAAATACCTACTGTTTTCATTATTATAATTAAATAGAGCTAGGTTTGAATCAGGAACTAGATAAATCATTAAATTATTATACCTATTGCTTAAGCTAATAAAGGAACTTGAATTACTCAAACTGAGCCTTGGTTTTCTTATCTGTAAAATAACCCTCCACAGGGTTAATATGAGAATTAAACACCCAGAACAAAGCATAGTTGACTTCTACTAAGTATTCTTCTATACGCTCACTCTTCAAAGCCATTCTTTAGTCCTTCACACAAACCTATACTGTTTGGGAGGTTTGGGTATTTAATCTGTATGGCAAATATGCGGAGTATAACCATAAAGTAATGAGACTGATTGTTAAATAAACATACCAAAATTTACATTTCAAATAAGTGTTGTTCCATTCAAAGAAGTCAGTTGGGAAGAAATATAACTCATTCCAATGATGCAGTCACTGTTCAAAACATTTTTGATACTCTGCTTTTGTAACTGCCCTCACCAGCCAGCTATGAGCTGCATGCACAAGAAAATAAGTCTCATTACTGAGAGGCACGTCTTTTTTTTTTCTTTTTTACCGCTAATGGAATTGCTCAGTTTGATCACCTACCTACCTTATTTACCAGTCTCAGAAAGACTTACATGTCTCAGAAATATTTGAAGCTTTTCTAAAATTAAATCTACCTTCAAAAAAAAAAAGTTGGCCACCATTCATTATTTAAGATAAAAAGAGGTTTATCAAGGGCCTCCAGGTTTCTATATCCTGGGCCAGGTGCCAGGAATACCAGATGAACAGAATAGTCTCTACCTTCCAGGATGTTCAAAAGAATTTGTCACTGGCTCTGAAAGCAATTCCAAAAGGAGAGAACAAAAAAGTGTTGAGCCACGCCAACAATTATAATATGGCAGCAATAAATGAATATTCTTCCAAAGCAACTAATTTAAAGTGATACCATTTTTTGATGGTTAAGTTCTGCCATATTTATCAGAATTTCTTATCATTTTATATCTGTACTTTGTATAACATTAGTTTAATTTTATTTAGCTCCTGTCTTATAACAATCGCAATAGTATGTAAAAAAACAACAACAATTGTGATTGTTGTGTCTTCACTATACAAAAGTATTTTAAAGCAAAAACTTGAGAAACTGTAAAAAACACCAACATTGTCCAAATTTGAATTTTTCATATAATCAATAGTAAATAAATACCATCTGATCAATTAGAGAATAAATAGAATAGCCGTCATTAAAATGTCTAAAATGTCTAAACTAGGGGTTGACAATTTTCGTTTTTTTGTAAAGGACCAAACAATACATATTTTAGGTTTTCTTGGCCGGACAATTTCTTTTACAACTATTCAACTAAGCTGTTGTAGCACAAAAGCATCTATAGGTAATAAATAGGTAAATAATTAGGCATGGCTATGTTCCATCCAATAAAATTTTATTTACAATAGACAACAGGCCACAGTTCGCCAACCCCTGGTCTAGACTGAATGCAGAAGCCCTAGGCATTCAGAAACCCCCTATCTGTGTCTTGAGTCAGCATACCAGGTTCAAGGTCCAACTGACAGAGGTACTGGGAAGTATTCAATGTAACAACCACCACTCGGTGCTTAAGAATATCTTCTTTCTGTGGCATCTGAAAGGTGGAATGTGCGCTTGAGATCAAACAGTACTGATGCACAACTGGGTGAACAGTCTTTACCCAGCGATTTCTGAAATATACCCTATAAAAGAAGATAATATTTCCTATTTGTATTTATTAAGTTCTTACCAGTGTTTGATTATCAAAATAATGACATTATTATTTAAGACTACAATATCTGGAAATTAGCAAATAAATTTGATAACCATTAACACTCTACTGGATTAGAATTTCACGTACAACTGTGACTTCCCCCTACCAAAAAAGACTCAAACAGAAAGAATATGCACTACTATAAAATAAACATCTAATAATTTTTGTGTTCAGATTTTCTTACAAACAGAATGACACCAATTTCATAAGCATCAAATTTAAGTTCAAAGCACTGCCATTTAGGAATTACTTTTTCCTAGAAAATTATTAAAAAAATACTTATTGTATTTTAATTATCTATGCTAACAACAGAATTACATACATACAACAGAAATTAAAAAGTTAACTGCATTTCACTTCAGAATATATTCTTATAGCTATATTTAAATCAACCTCTAATGTTCTAGAAATTTAAAAATCAAAATAAATTTTGGACAACCAGAAAATCTTAAAAAATAGGATCTCTTCCATTAATTGCAAAAGAAAAATATTAGTAGGCCGCATGCAATAGGTTACTAAGATGGCACGAAAACAACCTTTCCACCTATCCACCCACTCACCCTCATTGAAACACTGTCTTCCCTCAGCTTCTATGACTCAACCTTCCGCTGCTTTCTTTCTCCCTCTCCAGGGTCGGTCGGCATCCTCAAGTCTTAGTCTTGGCTCTCTCCTCTTCTCAAGCTCTGTTCTCTACCCCGACAATCTCATCCAGGCCCTTGGCTTCAATACCCTAATGACTCACACATCCTTCTCTCTCCAACCAAGACCTCTCCTCTGACCTCCAGGATGCATATCTAACTCTTTATTCAATACTAGAGGCCCGGTGCATGAATTTGTGCACCAGTAGGGTCCCTTGGCCTGGCCTGCGGGATCGGGTCAAAACCGGCTTTCCGACATCCCCTGAGGGGTCCCAGATTGCGAGAGGGCACAGGCCAGGCCGAGGGACCCCACCAGTGCACGATCAGGGACTGGGAGGGATGCGGGAGGTTGGCCAGCCGGGAGGTACCACAGGAGGGCTCCAGAGTGTGTCCAGCTCATCTCACTCAGTCCCAATGGGCCAGACCCCAGCAGCAAGCTAACCTACCAGTCAAAGCGTCTGACCCCTGGTGGTCAGTGCACGTCATAGCAGTTGAGTGGCCTTAGCATATCATTAGCATATTATGCTTTGATTGGTTGAACAGATGACCGGACATTTAGCATATTGGGCTTTTATTATATAGGATCTGTCTCCTCTAAGATATTTCACAGGCAGCTCAAATATAAAATGCACAAAAACTAATCTCATGATCTTCTAAAATGGATTGTAACCCTCTATGAAACACTTAAACTGGCTGTCTTATTTTAAGCAAAGTAAAAAAAAAAGTATTTAACAAATGTCCCTAAATAACCAATATCATTTCTTAAAGATGCAAAAATTTTAAACATGTTTTAAGTGTTAGTTTAAAAAATGTTAATCAGATCAGCAAAGCAGAATTTACTTTAAAATGTATAAAAAATCTCATTTTACCAGCTACCTAAAAAATCACTAATAAATTGATTACATTAATTTAATTAAAGTATATGTATGTAAATACATAAATTACTAAAAACTAAACTCTAAAATGTTAGTAGTATTTATCTACAGCTGATGAAATTATAGTTTTTATTTTCCTCTTTGTTCTTTTCTATATTTTCCATATTTTCTTAAACATTTCATGTAAAAGCGAAGTGATTTTTCAAATTATTCATTAAATCTAACTCCAAGCACTGCTTCTTTTTCAAAGAAAAGACAGAAATTGAAATTCTAAGTCTCACTAGTAACTTTTTGGTCATCACCATAGAAAGCTACCTCATGTTGAAGCTAGTAAGAATACAAAGTTTGATCATTAGGTCTATCTTGCCTTAAAAGTACAATATTCTAGTGCTGGCTTCAAAAAGATTTAAATATTTTCTTGGTACTTTCATTTTGTGCAACATTTAAGGGAGACACTGTCTATAAGATTATTTAAAACACATCAAGAACATTTTCCAAAATTAGAGAATTGATAGTTGCAAGTGACACTTTCAGGTTCATAGTATAAAATGAACCAAGTAATTTACTTATCTCTAGAAACAAACCATTCACATATCCCACAAAAAGTATAATGATACTTAATATAGGAACCTGCCTGGTAATATAAAATTTTAATTCACTGAAATTTTATTCATATATTGAATTCATATTAATAGCTTCCCCCAAAAAGTTATCACTTTAAGATACTACAGAATCAGAAAGACCTGATCCGAGAAGAAAATCTGCTTCTTTAAAAATCTATATAAAACAAATAGCTTCTATTTGCCCCAAAGCAGTAAATGCACACTTTATCCATAATCTCTATCCACTAAGTGATAACTATTCCAGTGCCAGATACCGATCTTCAGAACTATACATAGAACAGAACTGTGCTTTCCTCTCTAGCCCACTTTAAAATCTAATTCTAAGGAAGTAAGAAGTAAAACTGAAACTAAATGTAATCTAAAATGGTTTCTACAAATATTTTAACAATGACTCCTGGCAACTAATAGAATTCTATGCATTTTAACTGTAAGGATGCATATTTAAACATTTTTACTGCATTAACTATTTAATGTTTATGAGTATTTTCACACTTAATCACATTTACCAAGCCTGCTCTAAACTATACTGTGAAAAAAGCAAACTCCTCGTCAGTCCTACTCCTTAGAGACACCACATCTTCAAGGTCATATGCAGACGCTTTGTGCATTCTTGTGTTCTTTCCCCTGCATTTTGGGACAATTCAGATAAAGCTCATCTCCCCAGAGTGCTCAGCCATTCTAATTTTCTCTATCACATCTCCCAGACCTTTCAAGTTTATTGTCCATTAGGAAAATTATAAATAAAACTGAGTTAATGTAGTGATAGTGCTAATAAATCCTAACATTTCAATGCATTAATCCTCATAGGAAATACATTCATGAGTTAATACCTTTCCCCAAGAGAAAAACTATTGTAAAAATGTAGGGCCACATAAAAAAAACAAAAACCTGGAGAATTCAAGCCTTTTCTTTTTTTTATTCCATTATTAAAATGAACTAACATAAAATTTGTATTTAAGTATACTTAAATATTTTTCCTTCTTAACTGAACCACTCCTGAGATTTGTGGGGAGGTGATAATTTTCTGCTTAGATGGCAAATTTCTGAATTGGGGCCATTACAACTACACATGTACCCTATTGAAACATAACTTGTGCATATTTAGATGCACTATATTTTGAATCATAACTACCAACACATAATAATTTTACAAGGGAAAGCTAAGCATAATGACAGTCAAACGATGGATTTTAATGTTTATCAACAACAGTTCTACTGCCTCACAAGTCAAATGACCTATGCTAGGCTGACCAACATTTGAGAAGCTTTTACTCCATTATTTCCAAGCCAAGTAGACCATGATAATTGAGATTGCCATGGTTCCCACATAACACAAAAATAAACACACATGCACACGCTCTACCAACAATAAAGCAAACAAACATCTCCATTAAATAAGAACACTCATAGCAAAAATGCTGCTAGCTACCCAATTGTCACTTATGAGCTAAAAAAGATCAGAATCTGAAGCAAACTAGCTTTGACAAATTTTAACCACCGGCAAATACCACATTTTCATTTATAGTGATTGTATACATGTGATATTTTCTTATTAAACACAACTGAATTATACTGAAAATAATTCTTTCTGCTCTAATTTCCAAGGGTGAAAACAAAGTATGACATAAAAACCTGTGTTCACAGGCCATGCCACTTTTTTGTCATTTGTTCTTTTTAATGCAACTGCAAAATCATTCAAATGGCTTGGGTTATAAATAGTAAAGAATTAAATAGCAAAATCTCATTTTCCATGCCTAGGCTCAACAAATAAAAAGTTAGTAAGTTATGATTCAAAAGAGTGGTTAGAAATTAATTTTTAAACAATAATTGTACTCAAACAACACAGGGCATGATATATTAGTTTATAAAATGGCAAACTAAACATTAATTCATATAACAATGAAAGCAAATGGTATAATAAACAACCATTTAATGATTCTTTATTGTTTTCTGAAGAAAAGGATTTTATTCCCCCATAATCCTATATTTAAGTACTTCCATCTCCATATACACTGGAAGGACCTTTCTATATGAATCTAAAATTTTCTTGGACACTTTGTCTCGTAAATGATAAAAGTTGTAAATACCGGTCAATTACATTTTGTTGCAGAAATCACTTCAGTATTTCATGCTTCTCTAATGTGCAGCTTTTATGAAATTACCTGCATGATCACAGTCAAAATCTTATTTCCATAAAGAACTATCATGCATGACTACTCTGCCACACAAAATATGGTAAGATTTTAATTACATTTTATGTAAATCATATTTATGATACTTCATCATAGTAGCTTTTAGAGGTACACATCAAAATCAGCTCAGACTATAACAACATTTTTACATACAAAACTTAAAAAAGGATGTCTTTTTCTTTACTTAATGTTTAAGATGTGAACAGTCAAATATTTTTCAATTTTTCTTTAATTTTAAATCATTTCTTCAAAAGGCATTACCTCCAAATGCCAATGCAGAGTTAAAGATTTTGGTATTCTCAAAGTTACTAAAATCTTTACAGACACCTTTTCTTAAGAATAATAAAGTGTGATACAGATACATAATAAGCCTTAAAAAATACCTGAGAGGTCTTGCCTGGGGATTGCCTGCTTCTACATAGGGATGTAAATAATCCTTTATGTAGAGATCAGCAGCACTATTAGAATGGGTGCAAATGAGAATCCTGCTGAAATAAATGGTGCAAATAAAAAGAATGATAAAACACAAAACTATACAAGCAGTATAATACCAAAAAAATAAAAATAAAAAAGCAGTGGCCATCTTAACATTATACATTTCCCTCAACCTACTCAGTAACCTCTATCATATTACTGAATAATGCTCTTAAGCAAATTGATTACTCTTTATGCTATAACAGAAATAAGTCCCCTAAAATTACAAAATCTAACATATAAAATTACTTTTTAAAAATCCAATTCTTTGGCTCTAACATATAATCAAATTCTTTAGCAGACTTGGGGTTTTGCTGGCTATTTAAAAGCTATCATTCTCTATGTTGTCAATTTTTAAAACAGTATGTTTTAGGAGAATTCAAATTTTAGTGCTTTGGGGTTTGAATGTAGGTCTTTTTCTCTTTTGTATTTTTTAAAACGTTTACAAACTGGATGAAAATTTTCTTGTTAGCCCTCACTTTGGATTCCAAACAAGGACAAAGGCTGTGCCCTAGTAATGAGATCGGAGCACACCCCTCACCATCTCACCTTGTCTCCTGTTGCTGGAGTATGTGCTTTACAGCCTGAGCTAGCGTGAAGGTTTTGCCTGTCCCATAGGGTCCGATGATGAGAACAGGAGGCAGCTGTATTGAAAGTGGGGTTGTAATGGCTAGAACAGCTTCTTTCTGTTTTGCATTTAGTCGAGGATCCAACTGTTCATCCCACTGTCTGTAGAAAATAAAATTTTAAGTTACTTTAAACAAGCACACCTTATTAATAAACAGAATACAACATACAAGTATCCTGAATTTCACTGAACCATTAAAAATACTGAAATAAAAAAATACTGAAATAACATAGCGTCTATAAAAATCAATGCTTATTCTAAAATTACTTCTTAGAAAATTACCCAATTTTACTATGTTGATCAAAACTCACTTTAGTTATGTTGTCCTATTCCAAGTGCAAAAAGATAAGTAACTTAAAGACATCACACACTATTAGTCTAGTTTCTGCCAAGTCTCTATAGTAATGGCAATGTTAAAATGTAGATACCCTCTGTGACATAAAAGCATCAAATAACCTTTTTTTCTGGTAATAATGAAGTAGTAGTTTCTTTGCATAGCAAATAAAATGCAAAAGGGAAACTAACTGATTTCCAAATTCCAATCCATTCAAAGATCTCTTAGTAACGTTTAAAATAAGGGGGAAAGAAAAAACCTATATGTCTCTACTTAAGAGATACCAAACTTTTCCGAAGTTCTTAATTCAGAAAACAGCAGTTTTTTTAAAGGCTGAATAACATGAAATGTTCTCTAGTATTTTCACACGCACAAATATTATACATATGTCCTATTTTTCAAAGTAGAGAACACCTGTCATGGCAGCACAAATGGCTGCTGTAATGAGATCCAGCTTCCTAGTGTCCCTTCTATGACTTGGCTAAGTTTCGAAGATTTAAATGGACAGCAGATGCTGAAAGGGATCAAACCAAGTGGAGAACCAACAGCATTCTTTCCCATAACTAAAATTAAAATACTAAATATCGCAACAAGTATGGTAAAAATGATAGGGATGTGAACCAAAATAGGAAGGGTGTGTAAAGAGACTTAGAAGATGTGCAAAGTGCCTACAAAATAAGCCTGAAACGGGAGGACATTGTGTAGTGAAAATTCCCCCGCTGTGAGGCTGTACTCTACTTAAATCTGAAGCTAGTTATTTATGGGAAATCTTCTTAACACTTTCAGTTTTTAAAAATTATTATGATAAATCATTTCAAACAAAATTCTCCTTAAAATGTAAAACTTTAGAACATAAACATTGGACATCTAAGCATTCCATTACTTATTTTTCTGAAATTTAAACCTTCCTAAGTAAAAAACAAAAGGACTCTGACCAGCGGCACTCAATTTCCTATAAGCCAGTCACTAAAGCTCAAGCATTTTACTCCACAGAATTAAGCATTAACCAACTTATTTCCTCGTAATTCTGCCGGTCCCCGGAATGTTTCATCTTCTACAAAGAAGTTGCTTTAGATGATTGCTAAGTACAGATCTAGTACACGTGGCAGACACTGTGGAATGGTTATCCCCACGCCATCCACAGCAGCCTTTCTGCCTTTCCTCTATTGAACCTAGATAGCTAAATACTCCATTTCCCAGCCTCCTCTGCAAGAGACCCAATTCTGGTCAATAAGATGTAGGAGGAAGTTCTTCAGAAGAGCTTCTATACCCAATAAAACAAAAACAAAGCCTCACTAGAAGAAAGCTCTTTCTGCTACTTTGCCCTCCTCCTTCACCTGGCTGAAATGAGCTCGTGGCAAATAAAACTGCAGCAGCCATCTCCTATTCATGAGGCAATGGGCATCAAGAAGAAAACCAGTATGTTGTGTATGGCAGAGAGGAAAGGAGAACCGTGGTCCTTGGTGGCACTCCAGCTCCTGCACTAGCTTCGGACCACCTACCTCTGGCCTCTATCTCTACATGTTGATGCCACAGTTAGGTCAATACCTGAGTGACTATGATTCTATGATACCTGACCCCATGGTTCCTTTGTCTTTACATGGAGATAGCATACTTGCATCAGATGGTTATTGTAAAGATCAAATGAAATAACGCATACAACCTGATTAGAAAAATAATTGAGCAACAAGCGCTCAATTAATGTTTGTTTCCATTATTATAATATTTTCTAAGGATTTCAAAAAAATGGTGTATAAGTTGACCAGTACACTTTCAAAAAACAAGAAAAAGTTCTAAAATCAACCTCTAATCTTTCAAATTCAGGGATTTTAATGATTTTATTAATGAAGAGATATTAGGGGAGAAACCAAGATAAACACCGGAAATTGCTGCCTCCGACAACAACTTCAAAAATACAATGAAAAGACAAAACGGACATCATCCAGAACTACAGGAAGGCTGGCTGAGTGGAAATTCTACAACTAGAAGGAAAGAGAAAAGCAAAGTGAGACTCAGAGGAGCTGCGGAAGAGCAAAGGTATGGAGGCTCGAGCGCACTCGGAAAGGGGCTGGCACCTGAGGACGCGGCTGTCTTTTTGAATCGGGAGGGAATCACAAGCTCCCGACTGTTCTGAACTCCGGTTCCGGGAAGTCTCTGGGGACCCAGGACTCATACGGGGAGAAACTGGACTGTCTGGCAGCAGGCAGAACTCGGAACTCGAGGGCGGCTTTCCCTCAGAGGTGCTTGCAGCAATTACTGGGACACTGAGACTCGCGGCCCCTTATAGCTGCTTGCTCCACCCTGTTGATTCCGAGACCCGCCCCACCCAGGCTGCAGCAGAAGCTTTTGCATATGAATGCCCTGGCCCTTTGCAACCTGAAAATTACCTAACAAAATCCAGCTGGGCCAGACAGACCCAGAACTTCCAAGAGAAGGCCCAAAGCCCCACAGCAGCTTGCATTGCTTCACAGCTGGGCCTCATCTGGGCACCTCCAAACCCCCAATAAAGGAAGGGGAACCTGCAGATCTCTTTGTAGCTCCTGCTGGGTAACCTCAGGAAGAGGCTAGATTAGCACCTCCTTAGATCCAAGAGCCAGTGTACCCAGTGGTCAGAGTGGGACCATCCAGATTACAACTCCTCAGATCCATAAAGAACACACTCAGGGGGGCAGACTCAGTGAGCACCAAAGCCCCATTGAAGCAAGTCTTGCCCCAGAGGGGTGTCTCCAGCACAGAAGTTCTCCCACTGCAGACACAGCTGATTCGCACAGCCAATTGGCTTGGCGGTCAATTCCTCCCAGTGATACCTACAACAATCAAGGCTTAACTACAACAAGACTGTGCACAAAGCCCACAAGGGGGTGCACCAAGAGTGTCCACCTCAGGTAATTGGGGAGGCTGAGCCACTGGGCCCTATAGGACACCTAGCACACAAAGCCACTCTACCAACACAGGGAAGCTTAAAAAATGCGGAGACAAAGAAACAGGTCACAAATGACAGAAATGGAGGAAAGCAAACTACTAGATATAGAGTTCAAAACCACAGTTATAAGGTTTTTCAAGAATTTTCTGGAAACCGCCGATAAATTGAGTGAGACCCTGGAGGATATGAAAAAAGACCAACTAGAAATTAAGCATACACTGACTGAAATAAAGAATAATATACAGAAATCCAACAGCAGACAAGAGGATCCCAAGAATCAAGTCAAAGATTTGAAATACGAAGAAACAAAAAATACCCAACTGGAAAAGCAAAAAGAAAAAAGAATCCAAAAATATGAAGATAGTGTAAGGAGCCTCTGGGACAACTTCAAGCATACCAACATCAGAATTATAGGGGTGCCAGAAGAAGAGAGAGGGCAAGATATTGAAAACCTATTTGAAGAAATAATGACAGAAAACTTCCCCTACCTTGTGAAAGAAATAGACTTACAAGTCCAGGAAGCGCAGAGAACCCCAAACAAAAGGAATCCAAAGAGGACCACACCAAGACACATCATAATTAAAATGCCAAGAGCAAAAGACAAAGAGAGAATCTTAAAAGCAGCAAGAGAAAAACAGTCAGTTACCTACAAGGGAGTACGCATACGACTGTCAGCTGATTTCTCAACAGAAACCATGCAGGCCAGAAGGGAGTGGCAAGAAATATTCAAAGTGATGAATACCAAGAACCTACAACCAAGATTATACTTTATCCAGCAAAGCTATCATTCAGAATTGAAGGTCAGATAAAGAGCTTCACAGATAAGAAAAAGCTACAGGAGTTCATCACCACCAAACCAGCATTATATGAAATGCTGAAAGGTATCCTTTAAGAAGAGGAAGAAGAAAAAGGTAAAGATAAAAATTATGAATAGCAAATACATATCTATCAACAAGTGAATCTAAAAATCAAGTGAATAAAAAATCTGATGAACAGAGTAAACTGGTGAATATAATAGAACCAGGGGTACGGAAAGGGAGTGGACTGACAATTCTTGGGGGGAAAGGTGTGTGGGGGTTCAGGAAGAGACTAGACAAAAATCGTACACCTATGGATGAGGACAGTGGGAGGGGTAAGGGCAGAGGGTGGGGTGGGTGGAGGAAAGCTATGGGGGGAAAAAAAGAGGAACACCTGTAATAATCTGAACAATAAAGGTTTAATTAAAAAAATAAAAATAAATGGAATAGTGCATAAGCGAGTCTTTATGGGGTATCATAAATGTCTATATCTTCCATCTGGATGGCAATTACATATGTAACAATTCATGGATCTGTACACTTAAGATTTGTGTAATTTACTGCACATAAAGTATATCTGAATAAAAAAGAAAATCTTGTACTTCTAAAAAAATGAAGAGATATTAGGTTTATATATATATATATGAGATTAAATGACAGATTTATGGGTATAATTCTAAAATATGTCAATATTTATTTATTTATATAACCCATTCTACTTATCAATTGTTTCAGTGTACATAAATGCTTCAAGGCAGATCAGAAACTTTAACAATGTTGGTCAACTCTGAATAAAACAAATTGTCTTTATTGTGCCACCTACTAAATAAAGGGAAGATTTACAATATATATGCTGATAAGTCATCTCTAATTTTCACAATTTAAAACAATATAAAGTCTCCTCGAGTTTATTCTGAATAAAATAAGTGTTATTTTATTCCCTGAACCAAATTAATTCAAAGTTCTTTTTTTATCCTGGTCTAATACACTGTTATAATTAATTTTTTTGTTATAATTAATTTATATACCACATGCCCAAGAATAATTTCTCAACTTCTATCTTACTCTAGGAAAAATTTTAAATGGATAGTGATTTCTCAGTATGTCCCCAGACCCAGACATATTTCAATTACTATTTGTAATAATAGTGCTATGGACTCTCTTCCTACTTAAAAGTCTTCTGCCACTTGACATTTTCTTAGTTAACTTTTACAGTTAATACTTGCCGTCAGGGGTATTGAATACATTGTCATATGTTATATAATTTTCAGAACTGAGCATATACAGTAAATGCCTAATAATACTGGCAGGACCTCACATTTGAAACCCTAATATTTCTTTAAACTTGAAATTCTTATTAATTTAAATGTGCCATATATTAACAATGTGCAAGGCCCTGCTGGAGATTAAAAAATAAATAAGATGTGGTCTCTTCCTTTAAAAAACTCAGTGGGTACTAGACTTTGGGGGTGGGGGAGATCACTTCATGAGTTATACAAATGTGTAACAACTGTACACCTGAAATATAATAATGAATTTCAACTATAATTGAAAATTTTTAATTTTTTTAAAAGTTCAAAATCTAAAGAGAACTGTAGACATGTAAAAAATTAATGAAAATTAATTTGAGAGAAATTATGCTTAAAAACACAAAATTAACTGAACGTAGCACATAGTAGGCACTCAATAAATATTTGTTCAAATAATGAAATGAAAGGATAAGATTTATCTACTTGAAGGAGAGAGCATTTGAGATGGACTAAATCTTGAAAAAAAGACAAATATTCAATAGATCAACATTTAGCACAGATTACTTCAGGGAGAGAAGATCACTTACAGATGAGAAGACAGGACTGGGGAAGAGAAAATGTGGAGTTAAATGGGTATTAAGTTTCTGTTCTGCAAGATGAAAAAGTTCTGCAGATTGCACAACAATGTGAGTATACTTAACACCACTGAACTATACACTTAAAAATGATTAAGGCCCGGCCGGTGTTGCTCAGTGGTTGGGCATCGACATATGAACCAGGAGGTCATGGTTTGATTCCCAGTCAGGACATATGCCTGGGCTGCAGGCTTGATCCCCAGTTGGGGTGTGCAGGAGGCAGTCGATCAATGTTTCTCTCTCATTGATGTTTCTCTCTCTCTATCCCTCCTTCTTCCTCTCTCTCTAAAATCAATAAAAACATAGTTAAAAAAAGAAAGATAAGAAGGCAAATAAGCCAAAACCGGTTTGGCTCAGTGGATAGAGCGTCGGCCTGCGGACTGAAGGGTCCCAGGTTCGATTCTGGTCAAGGGCATGTACCTGGGTTGCGGGCACATCCCCAGTAGGAGATGTGCAGGAGGCAGCTGATCGATGTTTCTCTCTCATCGATGTTTCTAACTATCTCTCTCCCTTCCTCTCTGTAAAAAATCAATAAAATATATTTAAAAAAAAAAAAAAAAGAAGGCAAATAAGTGGAGGACAAATTAGGGGATTTAGAAGGAAAAAAAGGGTTTTAAGTAGAAAAAAGGAAAAGAAACTGAGAAGATACTGTTCGAAAGCACTGTTAATGAGACCACATAACAGAGTTTAGTATCAGCTGTTCAGACTTTATATACATATCAAGAGAAGCCTTCAAAGATATATAAGTAGGGAAATAAAATTATTATTTTAGTAAACTCACTCTAAAAGAAATCTGAGATCTGACCCAGAGAACAGAGACACAGACAGCAGGACAGAAGACAAACTAGAAAGGACTGAAATAGTCCAGCTCTAAATAAAACCTGGGCTATAAGGATAGGAAGAAAGGGAAGGATGCAGAGACGCTGAATCAAATGAGACCTGGGAAGTTGTCACTGAATTTCTACAATTAGTATATCAATGGTTACTTTCAGGAGAGTGAGGAAGTAAAAAACAGAAATTACAGAATGAATAAATAAAGAATATTGGAAATATGTAGACTATTCCTGCTCAAGAAATGTGGCAATAAAAAGGAAAATGGGGATAGAATAGTTAGGGCAAGTAAACAAGGGACAAATTATTTAGTTTTTGTATTGAAAGGCATGTTTTGTTTTGTTCCGTTTTTAGGACCAGAAGAAATAAAATGTGAGGAGAATATATGCCACCTCTAGGCCAGGCACATAAAATTTCCTATATGATGTTCTGTGCTCCGTCTTCCCCCGTCTGCCAGCTGGATGCCAATACCCAGGGTGACGTTGGAAACCACTTACTGAAGATACCAGAGCCTCCATCAGAGATGGGAGAACCACCCTACCATGACTGGATTGACAAGTGATAAATAAACTTGTATTGTGTAGAGCAACTGAGATTTAAAAAGAAAAAAAGCTGGAGTGAGCTGAGAGGAGCAGGGGCCACGAGGATAAAACCCAGTGAAAAGGACGAAAAGAAAAATGTAGTCATGCAGGCGTCACCGCTGTTATTCTGGAAACAAAATAGAAGTATCATATTTAATTACACTATGTAAAGAAGTGCCAAAAAGAATTTAAGCAGAAAAATATTTACACAACCATTAACTTGAGAATGGTGTCTGAAGTGATGATATCTTCTATGACACTGTTTCCATTTTGCTAAATTACAAAAATGTCTTCAATATTCAAAATTTGTTTGAAATTAGTTAAACACTATAGGAAGGCCCTAATTTTCCCATTCAACTACTCAGACATATTTCTAAATTGCTTGTTACCCTATAAAGGCTGCTGAGAAAAGCAATAGAATTCATTTAGATGCTGAGGAAAAGTAAATAGATGATGGACTTCAAATGCTGCACTCTTTTACTCTCATTTTTCAACTAATAAAATGTCTTCTGAATAATACAGAGAAACTTTCTTACAAAGGTATGCCTGAGTTATCTGGCACAAACATTTAATTTAACGTTAGCATAACGTCCTTTAATGAGATACCTCCTTTTTGTACCTGTTGGGACTCCAAGGTATGGTTGGAGTCATAGTGATGTCTGGAAATAAAACCCCATTGTCCTTGATCCTGTCTAGTGCATAATGCATTTCACAGAGGGGTAATCGATTTAATTGAAACTGAAGTTCAACCTGAAACATAAGATTAAAAATAATTTTTTAAAGCATGAAAGTAAACATCAGCACTTACAGCTTACTAGAATACTTTGTGAAGATAATCTTTTAGGGGAACCAAGTTTAGAGATTCTTTGAAAGTACAATTATATTCTAACTAGAGGCCCGATGCACAAAATTTGTGCATGGGTAGAGTCCCTAGGCCTGGCCAGCGATCAGGGCTGATCTGCAGGGCGACCAGCAGGGCGATCAGCGGGGGATGAGGGGGGCCAGGGGGCACCCGCCTTGGTGGGCCTGGGGCCTGTGGGCAGCTCCTGTGTTGAGTGTCTGTCCCCTGGTGGTCAGTGTGCATCATAGCAACCGGTCATTTCACCGGTTGTTCCGCCATTCGGTCGATTTGCAATTAGGCTTTTATTATATAGGATAATAATTATCATGGCTAATATCTGCTTAGTTTATTTAGTGCCTGGTACTATAATAAACACTTTACATATATTATCTCATTTAATAGTACCAATAATGTATATACTATCATTAACCACATTCTACACCTAAAGAAACTGAGGCACTTGGAAATTACTTGAGCTCTAAAGGTTATTTGATTACACTATTCCTATCAAGAACACATTTGCTACAATCAGTAGAACATCTGTGAAATATGATCTCTCAAGTGATAAAAACAGCCCTTAAGACACTATCAACTTCTATTAATAAACAATATTCACTATCTCATGGTTAAAAAGAAAAAATATTAGCTTTCCAGTTAAATATGGAACCTGAACACACAGTTCAGCAAAGAATCCAAAGATAAAGAGAACAGGAGCAGATACAACTTCAGATGAGAACTGTCCCAGGGTGTAAGTTGGTTTCTATCTGTTCCTCCATTGCTGATTTTAAACTCTAATCAGAAAACTTGACCTTGTATAAAACTGGAACATTTCAGATGTTACTTAGATTAAAGAGAATTGCTTTTCTCTGAGAGTTACCAGAGGTTCAATTCTCCACCCACTAGTATAATACTTCGGGTTATGGCAGAAGAAAGAAAACCAAACCAGAAAAGTATCAGCTGATAAGGAGACTGTTGCCACACTTGGAACATACCTGTGTGTCACAGTCAGGCCGAAGATTAAGTTCTTCACAGCATTCCCTGGATATCCTTAAAAATATATATTCTTTTGTTTTTTCTTCAATAGTAGCTTCATAAACCTTCTCTTTGGTTCCCTGGGTCTGTACTAACTTCTCTTTAGGGACTGGTAATAAATAAACAGCATTGACTTTGGTCATCACAAGCCGTCCTGCCAAAGTATCTTCAGAAAGTGTTTCAGTAAGCTTAAAACGACCAAAAAGTTGTCCATTCTGAGCATACTTTGCACCTCCAGAAACTCCAGTGAGCATGAAGCTTGCCAGAATCTGCAATTGCACTTTAAGATTGAACCTAAATCAGAAGTGGAAAACAAGTTTGAATATTCTACATCAAAAACTTAAAAATTAGAAGAGTAATAGAAAATAAATCAAATATAAACATACAAAAAATTAAAACTTCATGATCAATTCCACTCTCTTGGGCTACAAACTACATACTGTCCAACTTTAATCCAAGCTGGAAACAAAGAAAACTTTTTTTTTAGTGAATTAACTCTCATTCAGTAACCAGACACACATTAAATTGTGTTGAATACACACAATTTTTAAAGTATGAACATTTAAATGAAGCTAAGTATGATTTTTTTAATAAAATGAAATATTACATAAGTGTCTGACCACACCATTGGGACAAATAAGGCTTTAAAATCACCTAGAACCAGAAGGAAAGGCACTGCATGAAAACTCAATGGACTTTCATTAAACTGATGTTCTCCAAGTGGATTTTACCAAAAAATTCTAATCATAAATTTCTTTCTTTTTTTTTTAATATAAATTTCTCTTCCAATGATTAACATTTCTCTGTTAACATCCAAAATAAATTCCCATTCATGGCTACATAGAGGCAAGGTTCAACCTTTCTAAAGACCCTTATTACAAACTGCCAAACAGCCCTCTAGAAATAGACCAACGTTGTTTGCCACCAGTGCTCATTTTGTATTGCAGATACTTTTAGCCCCCTCTTAAAGTGGCTTGAAGCTATTCCAAGGTGCTCTTGCAGTAAATTTTCATCTACTTAATTTCTTGATCAGAATCTGACCTCCACAAATTTGTAAGGTTCATTCTTTTTTCATTCAGATAAATTTCTACTTAAAAACAATAATCCATAAGCTTATTGATATTTAGTTATAAGTTCTAAAGTAATGTATATGGAATAATTTGTAAACTTTAATAAAATATTAAACAAACATAAGTTAATTTATAATATCTTCTAAATTTCTGGTATGGTATTCCAAAATGATCTCTGAAGATTCCTGTCACCCAGCCAGTAGGGCTCTGTGGTTGAGCGTCAACCCATGAACCAGCAGGTCATGGTTCGATTTCTGGTCAGAACACAAGCCCAGGTTGCCGGCTCGTTCCCCAGTGGGGGGCGTGTAGGAGGCAGCTGATCTCATTATTGGTGTTTCTCTTTCTCTCTTTCTCTCTCTCTCTCTCTCTCTCTCTCTCTCTCTCTCCCTCTCCCTCTCCCTCTCCTTTCCTCTCTCTGAAATCAATAAAAATATTTTAAAAAACAAAAAGATTCCTGTAAGCTTGTAAGCTCTGTCTCATCCCAATATTTATGACTTACCATAGTGTTCCTTTCTCAAGGAAAAAGAAACTACAATAATATAAATAAAATACATGAATATTAATAATGTGAATAATGAATATGATACAAGCCACTGCCCTTGCTATTTGATAACTGATCATTTCATTAGAACTGTCTATAGAAACAATTGATGTCTTTTAAGAGACCATCAATGGGCCACAATTGAAAGTCTTAGAGTAATGAAAACGATATTCTGATTTTGTAAATCTTACATGTATTTAATTTGAATAAAATACTTTCCAAAAGTTAGATCATATTTAATCTATAAATAGAGTAACACAAGGTATCTTTTAAGTTTTCACTTTTCCTTTTCTGAATATATCCCTCAGTGAGTATTCAATATCTATTAATAATATTAATGATAAGGTATTGATAAGGCACCTTGGAACTCATGTAATTTTATTAACCACTGTCACACCAATAAATTCCATAAAAAGGGGGGGAGGGGAATAAGGCAGCTTGGGAAAGAAAGATGTGTTGGTTAGGGTATATTTAAAGGGAAAACTACTTATAAAAATGTGCTTGTGCCTCATAACTGTGGTTCAATTTTTAAGGTTCGTTTCATTTTATTAAAAAGCAGAATGCTACTACCAAATACAACAACTATTTCATTAACATCTTCCTTTACTCAAACTTTAATTTTTCAGATTATCTTTTCTATAATGATTCAAATAAGTTTTCATTTAAACACTTGGTCTTAATCTATGGAATATGGATAAAATGTAAAATATGTTAAAGCATTTATAAACTGCTATAAAGGTATTTTATTATCAATTAGTTTTCCTGAAGATTTAAATCATTTCATACTTAAAATTCCTTTTCAAAATATGAAGTCTCTTTCAGTTTTTGTACATTTACTGAACAAATATTCACTGAGTGCTTGCCCTGGCTACCATGAACAGAAACCTCCTAAAGAGCTGGGACCACATGTTTAGACTCCCAGCACCTGGCAGAGTCTTGTGGAAATGAACTATGTACAAAACGCTAGGACTACCAGGATGGGCAAGACACAGTTCTTGCCTCAAGAAGCTCATGTACAGCTACTAAATAACAGCCACTGAATAACAACCATTTTACTATCTGTCTTCACATAGGAACACCTCCATTTTCAAAATGAAAAATAACATCCAAAGGGGAGATAACCAAAAATTAAGAACAGTGTTTCTAATGTAACTTACTTGCTTACTTCTTTATACTGAGCTATCTCCTCAATATAAAGAAGGTCATGCAACCGTGACTGATAGTTGGTCTTGGTCAATGACTTGTCTAAAACGGACTGGGTAAATAGCTGGTCAGCAGAGAGAGGAATTTGGTATCTGATAAGAAGGCTCTTCTCCAAATCAGTAGTTTCATTAGGTTCAAACTCTATAATAGTCTTAGAAGAAGAATCCCAACGCTTAGCTGTGGTTACTAGCTGTTGTTTTGCATGCATCAGGTACTCAAGATCTAGATGGAAACAAAACACACATTTATAAAAGAGCACTACATTAAAATTACCAAATAATGCCCTGTATATTTGGTAAGAGAATTTTATATGCTAAAGCTCAAATTCTTAAAAACAGAACAATATATAAACCCATTTGACAGAGTATTTTTCCCCACATCAGAAATATTTTTTGTCTAGCTTAACAAAATAACATAAATAGGAATCCATATAGAAACATCTTTTTTAACACCAGACTAGGCCATTCTAGAAAGTGTTATTAACCGCTTAAAAATACAGATTAACATTTAGAACTTAACTCTCCAGTCAAGAGAAATGTGATCTAGGAAGAAGATATGATAAATTCCTCATAAGACAAAAATCTATCAGGTGACAATCACTTTTCTCCTTCTCCAACCAATACCTGTCCCATGATAGAAAGAGAAGATCAGAAAACTGTGAAAGGTTAAATCTCTTCTCGTGTAGTAAAACACAGTGAAACTCTGAAAGTCAACTTACAACAAACAAAACCCTTTTAGGAAATATTCATGAGAAACACCAATAATTCCACATTAAAATGAAATATGATATACCATTCAAATGCCATTTTTTTAAAAAAATTCAGTTTAGCCTAAGTTAAATTATATTGTAAGTAGGGCACAATATCGAAATGAATGACTGTTCAACTCTGCAGAATACCGGCACAGGGTGAAATACGTTGTAACATAGATTCTGAGCCCTGGGAAGCCTCCGTCTGTCTGCAGAGCAAGCACATTACTTTTTTATTGGGTGGAACATACATACACCTATAAATATGAAACTTAACCAAAAGAAAAAAGGTTCCTTAACTGACTTATCAGGTCGAGATTCAGTTTTCATCTAACGTAATTGGAAAGATGATTTCACAACTCAAGTTAAAGTTTTAGGGAAAAAATAACAAAAAATTTAAACAGAGATTAGTTAGCCTCCGAAGTACAAAGAAAAGTTATCGTGTGCTATCTTTGACATGAGAGCCTAAGGCATAATTGCCATGTTTTGCTTAGTAAGAGATTTTGCTACATTAAATGTTACATATAAATTATAAACACGTAGTCATCCACCAAGAGAAATTTCTCAATATTAGAAAGTAGCTTATCCTAGTATCTTAAGAATGATTACAATGTAAAGGCCCGAATTTAAAAATAAAAATGTAATAAAAAGAAAAACAGTAATTGCTCTAATCTCTAATCTTTGTTCCCTGAAAAAGCATTTTATTACTATATACCAGTTTTATTATTTCTCAAATGGCAACATAAATACAACTATAATCATCAAGCTCTAAAGATGGTCTGCTCATTAAACATTTGTATTTTAAAATACTCTGGATGAAACGATGATGGTCTATTTTGCAATAGCGTCACAAATACAGCTGACCCTGAACAACAAGGGTTTGAATGGTGCAGATGCACTTATACATAGATTTTTTCCAATAAGTACCATATATTTCTTTTTTCTTAATAACATTTTCTTAATAACATTTCCTAATAACATTTTCTTTTCTCTAACTTACTTTAAGAATACAGTATAGCCCTAGGAGGTTTTGTTCAGTGGTTAGAGTGTCGGCCCACAAACTGAAGGGTCATGGGTTTGATTCCCAGTCAAGGGCATGTACCTCGTTTGCAAACTCGATCCCTGATCCTGGTCAGGGCATGTGTGAGAGGCAACCAATTGATGTGTCTCTCTCACATCAATGTTTCTCTCTCTCCGTCTCTCCCCCTCCCTTCCACTCTCTAAAAATCAATGAAAAAAATATCCTTGGGTGAGATTAACAACAACAAAAATAGAATTCAAGATTAGAATTGCCAAAACCGGTTTGGCTCAGTGGATAGAGCGTCGGCCTGTGGACTGAAAGGTCCCAGGTTCGATTCCGGTCAAGGGCATGTACCTTGGTTACGGCCACATCCCCAGTAGGGAGTGTGCAGGAGGCAGCTGATCGATGTTTCTCTCTCATGGATGTTTCTAACTCTCTCTCTCTCTCCCTTCCTCTCTGTAAAAAATCAATAAAATATATTTAAAAAAAAAAAAGATTGGAATAACTAGTCTGGCACAAGATATGCTTCCCAACGTCCCTTGCCCTCTGATTACTGACAACAGCTCTCATTTCAGCCACATAATTACTATTCTAATAAAGCATCCAAAGGGTTGGTTTGTTTTGTCTTGCAGTAAGTAGTACAGAGCAGACTTGAAAATATCCTTAACAGGACCTGGAGAGTGGATAAGAAGAAAGTAAGGAGAAAAAAACCCAGTGTTCTACATACTCAGCACAAGAGCCGGCACAAAATAAGCATGCAATAAATGCATGTTAAATATGGAATTTGCTCAAAACAGCTATATTTATCTAGGACTTTAAAAGAATGAGATGAAATGTTTCCTAATTCCAAAATTAGGTAACACACTCTTATCCTTAGAAAACATTCTTGTCTGGCTTTATAAGTCTTGACTGCCCAAATTAACAATAAACTAAAATCCAAAAAATCCCAAACTACCATTTCTGGTATCCATTTATACATCACTCTTTTCACCAAAACTGCTACATAGAAGATAAACACTTCTGAGCTTTTCCATGTTGTCTGTCCCTATTTTCAATCTCTTTGCAAAGCTAATAATTTTAAAAAGTTAAAACACGAAAGTAATAGCATAGGAGTATTTTTATACATTTTACATGCTTCCACTCAGTTACATTTATCTTTTGACAAATATACAATTTTTAAATATATTTTTCTATTACTTTCTGATCACATCATATTAAATATTACATAACATGTTCTTAATTTAGCAACTAAATTTGACAGCTGAAGATCATTTTTAGGTCATACTAAATTGTAATGTTAGTGTTAACATACACTGCTAGACACAAAGTAGAAAAATGTGTGATACCAAATTTCCAAGTTTAAATATAAGAGTTAATCTTCAACATGTAACTTTCAGAGACAGTCAAAGCAGAATTCCAAATCAATTTTGCCCAGCAAAAATTTTCCATTACACAATTGTGGTAGAAGGCATAAATGCAGTTTTCTAAGTAAGGGGAAAACTCACTAACTTCCTTCTTTTGTAGATGTTTTTTACCACACATTTTTGAGAGGCACATCTTTAATCCAAAAAAGTTTTTTTGAGAACATATTGTATCCTTTTCTGAACCTAAATTGTACCAACAAGGGGAAAACACTGAAAAAAGCAAAGTTAAAGTTATATATGTTTCCCACTTTGCAGAATTGTCAAATGACCAGAGGGGGGAAAATTCATTCATGACCTGCAAACAAAAAAGGTTTGGATGCTTCGTGTAAAAGACAAACAAAAAAAACTGTGGAGTATTTTCCCAATTCAAATTTGAATCACCTAAAGTAGGCAGGCTTTTTTTAGTTCAGTAATGAGCAATAAATTAGAAAGGTGGCCAGCATGGCTCAGTGGTTGAGAGTTGACCTATGAACCAGGAGATCACAGTTCCATTCCCTGTCAGGGCACATACCCAGGTTGTGGGGTTGATCCCTGGTGTGGGGGGTGCAGGAGGCAGCCAACCATTGATTCTCTCTCATTATTGATGTTTCTATCTCTCTCTCCCTCTCCCTTCCTCTCTGAAATCAATAAAAATATTTTTTTTTAAAAAAAGAAATGTCTGCTATGTAACTTGATTTTAAGTTTCAAGGAGTAATAAATGAATATAACTAAGTTCCATGATCAAATCAGTTTGACAGACACTGAGCCCTTAATTACTGAGGTGCACTGGGAAATAAAGCATGCACCATTTCCAAACGTATTTGGACATGAAACTCTTTACCTATTATTAATGTGTATAACAACCCCTATTAATTTCTGTGGAACAGTTTTAGAAACATCAAGCTAATAAATAGATGACCCACAATGGCCCAAATTTATAACTTTATGGAAGAGAAATATATGTTCCCAACATTAATTTAAGGACAAAAACTTACTTAAATAATGAATAGCCAATCAAGTGGAAGAAGTGACAGAGATATTTCCTATTGAAATTCTAGTTTCACACCATTACTGCATTTTTGTGTGCGTAAAAACCAAATTATATTGTGATATAATTTATCATGTTATGAAAACATGATAAAGCTCAGACCTAATTTAATTCCCCAATTCCCAACTGCCTTTTGGCCAGTTTGTACATGGAATAACACTTTTCTCAGAATTCTAGGCCAAGGAAAATCAAATAATGAACTGGCTGAGGCTAGAGGTGAAATCAGCCCGACTGTCAGTTACATTGTCACCAATTTAACAAAGAACTTCTCTTGCTTTCAATGTCTCTGAATGTTATCCACACAAATATTCCAGGAAATGATAAAAATGGGAGACTCCATTTTACATTTTAACTATTTCAGAATGTTTTATAAAATTGTGATTACACATAAACAAATCTTTTGCCCTCAATTTTTTTGCTGACAAGCATTCTGCTATAATAATCAAAAAACACTAACTAGTACTAAGATAGACGCAGGAAACAAATATTGTTGTTTATGTCCTACTTTCATTTCTCCAAAATTCTGTTGGGACTCTGTACACAGTAACGCTGAAACAAATATAGTCACACAATAAAAAATTTAAGAACTTAACAAAAAACATCAAGATATTCAATGACATCAATTTTAACAGTATAAAAGTGAGGGGGAAAGGTGACATATGTAATACTTTCAACAATGAAGATTTTTTTAAAACGAATTTTAAAAGTATCTGACAAAGAAACATTAGTATAACCAGGTCAGCTAATTTAAGCAATGACAAAATAATCAACCAAATGTCACCCCGCTTGCCTAAACCTAGACTTGTTTTCCTTTTTATAATGTTAAAATCTCATATCATAAAATATATTTTGCACATTTTGCATTGTTCTCCTGTAATTTTATTTTTCCGGTCCTTGAAAAACAAATTTCATTATGTGAAACTGTTTCAATGTACCCAAATTAGTGCACGAAAATGTTTAACTTTTCTCAACTATTTTCCTTAACTATGTAGAAGTAAAATCTTGTTTAAAAGAAAATAGGCAGCCTGGCTGGTGTGGCTCAGTGACTGAATGTCTACCCATGAACCAGGAGGTCACAGTTCAAAGCCCAGATTGTGGGCTCAATCCCCAGCAGGGGAAGTGCAGGAAGTAGCTGATCAATGATTCTCTCTCATCATTGATGTTTCTACCCCCTTTCCTCTCCCTTCCTCTCTCTGAAATCAATAAAAACATATTTTTAAGTACTCATTAAAAACAATAGGCAAAGATATCAAACTGCAAAGAGGTCACTTTACAGTATTATTTTTAAAAAGGTGGGCTAGCCCTGACCGGTTTGGCTCAGTGGATAGAGCGTCGGCCTGCGGGCTGAAAGGTCCCAGGTTCGATTCCAGTCAAAGGCATGTACCTTGGTTGCGGGCACATCCCCAGTAGGAGGTGTGCAGGAGGCAGCTGGTCGATGTTTCTCTCTCATTGATGTTTCTAACTCTCTATCCCTCTCCCTTCCTCTCTGTAAAAAAATCAATAAAATATTTTTTAAAAAAAAGGTGGGCTATAGTATTGTTAAGTACTCTGCCCAGGGTCACACAGGTAATAAATAGAAAATCAGGATTCAAATCCAATTTTATTTGACTGTGAAGTCTATTCCACTGCTCTTTTTCTCCAACTAGAAAAGTAGAACATATCTGAGAACAAGTAGCCAAAGTAACCTTAATCTCTCAAGTCCATGAGGGTGCCTGAAATCCTCTTCAGACATTTAACACTTTATATTATTAAACAAGCTTTTCTTAGCTAGTACAGATTCTTGACAACACAAACTATTTCTATGAGAAATGAGTCATGCGTTACAATCCACCAATCTAAAAGCAAACTTTTAAAATACAACCAACATGTAAGCCAAGACATCTTTTCAGAGTTCTATTTGAGGAAGGGATGCATGTTGCTCTCTCTTGATTTAAATCTCCTTATGATTAAAAAAGGGTGCTTCCTAGTTATCTCAAGTTCTAGTCTCAAAAAGCAACTTACTAGTACAGGAATAGGCAAACCATAGAATGTAAGACAAATCCAGCCTGCTGCTGTTACTGAAAATAGTTTTATTGTAATATAGTCACGCCATTCACTTACATATTATCTGGCCCTTTACAGAAAAAGAATTTATATTAGTAAATATAAACCAAATATTTTCGTTTTGTCAATGATCACAGCTATTTGACTATGGGAAATAACATTTTGATTTCAAAGATTACTAAGATGACAAAAACAAAATACAACAGAATAAACACAAGTAAAATAAATCAAAGTAAGTGAGAAATCAAGGTGGAATGAGTCTGGGGAATAATATTAGCATACATACAAGGGAGTAATGCCTAATTGTTCAATTTGGACACAAATGTTGCTTTAACCTTACCAGCAGCTCAAGTAAAGGAGACAGAACCAATTCCACCTGTTTGCTATGTCCAAAAAGTTAAATCCTAGCATTTGCTCATGAAAAAAACAAATTTTAGTTCTTATAAAAGGGACGGGGGTACAAAGGAAAAAATATCCTCCCCAATATGGTGAGTTAGTCAATACCAAAGCAAGTTTCATACAGTTCTGCTACATGAAGTGCTTGTTAATACTTAGTATTTGGTAAATAAAATAAAGCACCTATATATCCAACCAAGCGCCAAAGAAATGTAGGCTAATGTGCCCTTTTCTTTTGGATTCTGGCATAATATTTAGGTGTATGCAGCAATGTGGTAACGTACAAGGAAATTCATCGTCTTCTACAGGTGCTTACATGTTGAAGCCACCGACTTCTTCCTAAGGGCACCTGGGTGCAAAGGCACTTGGGTCTCCTTTACACTAGTGAATGTACAAAACCAACCTATGAAAGCTTATATTTAGGACTTTTCATTCAGAGATAATGCACTAACATCATCAAAGTTAATTGGACAGTCAGTCAAACATGGAAATAGACACTGTAAGTGTACTCACGATTACTATTAAAATTATACTCTATCCAAAGCAATATTAAAAGCTTTTATTGAGCCCTGGCCGGCTTGGCTCAGTGGATAGAGCGTTGGCCTGCGGACTGAAGGGTCCCAGGTTTGATTCCAGCCAAGGGCACATGCCTGGGCTGCGGGCTCGATCCCCAGTAGGGGGCATGCAGGAGGCAGCCGATCAGTGATTCTCTCTTATCATTGATGTTTCTCTCTCTCCCCTCACCCTTCCTCTCTGAAATCAATAAAGAAATATATTTTTTAAAAAAAAGCTTTTATTGTGCTAAAGTCATCCTACTTTAAAAAGGAAGTTGGGAGACCAAGACAGACCTGATCATCTACTTATACAAGCTTTGCCTGATGACTGTATAAAGAGAAAGGGCATAATATGAACCATTCTAATCCTATTACATAGTAAATGAGTCAATTAATTTGAGATTTTTTTTCCCCTAATTATTCCCTCCCTATTCATGGAACACAGAGGGGCCAATACATATCTTTCAATGTTGTTATGAGCGTCTCTTTTAATACATCGTAACAGGGGAAAAAAGTCTAAATATTACCTTCTGTAGAAGCTGCATCAATCATTACTCTTTGCATGAGTACTGGTTCCAATCCAAAGTCGAAAACTATGGTTTGGCGAAAAGTTCCAAATATTTCTGTGTTAAATGCTATCCCGACTTTATACACGTAATGATCTAATCCATTTTGGGCCATCTTTCCTCCTATCCATTCTTGACAGTTTTCTGGGACTTCTTGTGATACCTGGGTAGTACTATCTCCGGCAGATATGGCAATGATACTAAAATGAGGACGATGAGCATCATAAAGCAATGCTACACGATACAGCATTCTTGCAGGCTACAAGGAAGTTAAAATAATTCATTGAGTACAAGGGGGTGAAAAATCCAATTGTAATTGGGCTCTTCAACGAAAATATTTCCATAAGGGAATTTTACTTTCCCATGCTCCTAAGATAATATTTTAAAAATACAAATTGTGCTCATAAGCCATTTAAGAAAAAAAATCATGACTTTAAAAAATATGTTGTTAAAAAATAATATATTTATGTCAATTATACTTCAATAAAGCTGAAATTTTTTAAAAATGATATATTTATGCTACATCACTAGCTCCCCTGCTCTTTTCTGTGATATGTTCACCTTTCACTGTGGCAAAGGCTATCACTCTATATGACCATCGACCTCCAACTTTCCATGCCCTTGGCCTAAAGAAGTTTTACCTATCCTCAAGCAGGAAGTCTTCACAGGAGGGCAGTTACCCCTGAAAGTACTGGATTGGGTTCAAGGCTGAAGCTACATGTTCCCAGATTTTTCATCCCAAGATGCACATGGTACAGTGGAAGAAATGCCACCAAAAAGTACACAAACTTTTCCACTGCATATACTTACAGAAATTTTTACTTTGCTTCATTCTTAAAGTCTGAATATTTTACTTCAAGATGGGATGTACTGTGAAATGTCTCATTTTAAAACCCCATTATTATAGAATTTGTGATTTCATCAAATCAAATGTAAAAATAAGTTGTCATTATTTTAAGATCTTAGAACTGCCAGATTAAACAACTTGATTTTTAAATAGTTAATTATAAGCCATGAACCCCATCCCATGTTCCAAGTTTGGAAGACAACAAATCGAAGACCTCTTTACCAAATCAATAAATAAATGAGCAAGCATCAAACATCTAGAAAGATTTTATCTCAAAATCTAAAACAAAAATTGTACCTTTAACGATCAAAATACAGAAATACACATTAGAATAACATAGAACCTACATTAAAATGTACTTAGATTAAAACATTTTCAATGCTCTTTTAACACAGAGATTTAAAGGTTTTAAGAAAATTGGAAAAAATTTACATTATTTGAGTAGCACAAAATTCATACCTTACAGGTGAGAGCAAAAGTCCATGTCTGGTGAGACTTTTTGGTGTTGACAGTAACCGTCAGATCAGGATTATGCTCTACCTTTACTCCTTCAACACATTCACTAAGCTGAAAACAGAGAGCAACTAATGTTACATTTCCATTCCTAAAAGCTCATAAAAAACTTCTGGCATACTAAATACATTAAATGTCAATAGTAAGATGTGATGGAACTGTTTACAAAGCAAAGTGTCTTATACATTAATTTTCAGTTTTTTTGTTCTTACAAAATATAATAAAGCTAAAATAAGAGACATAGAAAACAAACAAAAAATGGCAGTAAAAACTCCCTGAATGAAAATAAATATAATACCTACAAAATCTCCAAACGGCTTAGTTTTTACTCTTTATTTTTTAGCAAATAGCTCTACTTTTACTACTAAAAACGCTTTATCAAGAATCAAGCTCTTCATATAGAGGATAATGAAATAAACCAAAATATAGCACAAAATAAAGTCAAGACTCAAACAAAATCATTATTTAAAACAAACAAACAAAAAATGCAGTTTATTTTCCTCACCACTTTCTCAGGAGATAATGAATTCATCCACTTTTCTATCAAGGTTTCCATGTAACTGCCTGAGAACTGTTTATTCTCATTTTGCTGTTTCAATTTTATCAACCGTGAAGCATATCTTTTCTGCCATTCTGCTAGTTCTTCCTGGGAATGTGCTGAAGTACACTGGGCACCATACCTACAGATTCCTTGCTCTAAAAATCTAAGTAGAATAGGAAAGACTGTTTTATCATATACTTTGTTGGACCATTTAAAAGATCAACTTTCAGCATTTTCCCTCCAACTCTTCAATAACAAAAACAAAACTTAGTCTCCTGAAAGGCCATATTTATCACAGTGTCTTGCACAGAGGAGGAAGGAGAGGTTTAGAGAACATTTACAATAGTTCGTCAAAACAGCAACTCCCCATATTAACTGACCTTCTCCTTGAGAGTAAGGGGGTGCTAAAGCAGAGCATAATCATAACCACCCCACCCACAAAAACCACCACCGAAAAGGTAGCTTCCTTCGTGATATAACAACTCTATCAGTTCCTCTTAGAGCAGCATTTGTTACAGCAACACTGACATCAAGTGGATTAGCTCGTCAAACACAGGTATGCCCTACTCCCCAAAATGATACGACCTAAAGAAAAGAATTTCATTCTGGAAAAACTTTACTATATCAGTAACTTATCATTTTAAGGCTTCTACTTTTTACTTTTACTCTTTTCTCTATTACTATTACCAATATTTCACTGAAAATATTGGACTATATTAATTTGCTTGAAGTTTTAAAGATTAAAAGTTTTATATTAGAATCACAATTCAAGAGATTAAATTCTTTAATAGCTAAATTCATAAATGTTCATTTTAAAGGTTATAGAACTAATAGTCTCTCAGTGTTTATAACTCAGAAAATTAAATTGACAATTCAGTCAAAAACTGATAAAAATGCAAGATGTTGATCAATCATTTTTTTTAAGGTTTAAATACCTTGCAGAATTATGGGTCCAGCCAATTTTTAAATGATTGAAGCATAATAAAGCATCTTACTTATGGTAAGAAAATTAAACTATAAATAGCAAAATGAAGACAAGAGTGATATTATATCATAGTTTTTCAACTGGTAAAATATGGATAGTAAGAAATACAAAATGAAACACAGCACAATTTAAATTATCAAACAGCTCACTTTATTTGAAAAGACAAGTATATATAAAGCTTTTCTTGATGATATACAAAGCACTTGAACTTAAATTGTACTACTTATGAACTTCTCTTATGCATCATAAAACATCTTTAAAACCATGCATTTATTTCTCTTAAGTATGTCTTAGTGAGCCAAATATTTCAACTTTCTATTGCTGTATTTTAAATTATTTCCCTAGAAACTGAAGATTGGATATTCTCATTTGGACTATAAATTTTCTTACATTTCCTTTGCATAACTGGATTGTTATCTAACTCTCCTACAACAGGATGCCACCAGGATTTTCAAAATTCACTACTTTATTTCTACTATAAAGTCAAATCTGATGTCTTAACTATTCAATCATCAACATTACATATCAAATTTTCTTCATTATCAAAAGCATTCTAGAGTAATGAGATTTTATATCTAAAATCCCACTAGTTGCTAGTGCTTATAAAAAGAACTGAAGGGTTCACCTTTCTAAATGTGACTAATAATTCTTTCCACTCAATACATAATTAAGTTCTGAAAGGTTAGCCCTTCAAATATAAATTACTCAAATTCTTTATAAGGATTACATGAAGATAGTATATTTTTAAAAAGGTTATTAAAATAATTTAACAATTCTTCATCTATTTTATCTTCTATTTCAGTTTATATAATTTCAATGACCATAACAGATAAATTTCACATAAGCAAGAGACCAGCAATTAAATTCAGTCATATTAATCCAACTGGTATTATAAGAGACTTCTAAACAATCTCCATTTATATCATTGTTTTTGTAATTAACAGAAGACTCATCAATATGGCTTTGATTTTTATTTTTTAATGATAATGACCATTATGGCTTCTGTTTCAAACTGAAAATAAACCATTTTACTCAATCATTATACTTCTTCCTTCACATATTTTCTTTAAAAAAGTGAAGGAAAATTAACTATCCTTTGAATAAAAACATGTCATGGGTTTAAAAAAAAAATTCACGTTACCTTTTACACAAAGTATATTCCTCGCTGCTTGTGATTCCCCTAGGTGGTGGGCGGAAATGCCAACCATTACAAGATCCTAGAGAGTAATCAGGATATAGTCTTATCATTTGAGGCTTGCTAATAATTCTGATATTTTAATGTGTAAAAAATTCTATAAACCCTCCACACACATCATCCCAGATGATGTAAAAAGAACATGATATACTTGCCTCTACCAAAAAAGTAACTGACCAATCAAGTGAGTTAAATCAACCATATGAAACTTAAAAATCACTGAAAAAGCAGTTACCAAGCAGCTAAGTCAAATCTATGACCCTGACTCTATCCTAGCAACTGGTGGGCATATTTCCAGTGCAGTCTCTTTCAAACAACTAACGGGGGGAATGTTGGCATGTTTATCATTTTTCAAGTATGAGATGTATCTCTATTAGGAATACTTCAGGAGTGAGAAAATTATGTATCCTGGGAGGAAATTCTAGAAAACAAATTCCAGTACTGCATACTGAGTGAGAAGTTCCACGTCACTACCCATGTTCCTCGGGATCTGTCTGACATGTCATTGCATAAAGTAATCCTTTTTCACAACTGAAATAAAGTTCAAAAAGTTGAATTCTAAGGTAGGAGCTAAAAAAAATAACATGTTTACTTCTAAATACAATGAGCTTTTATTTGTTTAGAATATACTAAGCCAGGGAAAACAGGGCTTCAGCGAGAAAAGACTAGAGTTACAGAGGCTGAGCAGGACAAGTTTCCAAGGACCTCAGAGCCATGACCTATACCTTACCCCTCATGAGTCACTGTGCCTTCCTGCCCCATCAAAAAATATTCAGCCAGGTTGAATTTAAAGCTGGGTTTCATCCCTTACTAGCTGTGTGACTGAGGAAATTGCTGGACCTTGGTAAATATCAGTTTCATCACCTCTCAAAAAAATGGGGAAGGGCTCTAAGAAGTCATTACACATTTGGCGAAAGCCACTACAGCCGTCCACAGTATCCAGCAAGCACTCAGTGAAGGCTGGTCTCTCTTCCCCTTCCTCTGGCAAGAGGAGATTTTAGTGGTGGCAGGAACAACTCAGTTTACAGATTAGAACTTCCAAAAAGTAGTAATTGTACTGGCCTGAGAGAGAGAGAGGAGAAAAGACTCCCCCCTCTAAGAACTGCTAAGAATGAGTTTTAAACTATGTGGAGGCAAGAAAATGAAATAGATAACCTTTAGAGCTACCTTGTACCACCATTACTTCATTATTCTAAGGAAAGGGGCCAGTGAAAAGAATTGCTTTCATCCACACATTTTTTAGAATTAAATTTTTTTATTTTTATATTCTCTCCTACAACTCCACTTCCATGTATTGTAACTCAATAAATTTCCTCCCAATAATCAATTAAAAAGCAATGTCCAGATCACAGTTACTAGAAGTTATGCAGAGTTTGGTACTTACCCTCTTCTAAATCTTCCACGTGATATCCAGAGAGGACGTTACTAGTTGCTGTCTGCAATTTTTGAAATGAAAGATATTTTTATAATAAGAAATATCCAATTGATGTCGAATTAAACTTGGACATTTTCAATATTTTTTAAAGCCTGAGTCTGAATACTTAGAAAAATTTAACATTAATATCTCAGACATGTTTTGCTCTATGTTAAACTATATTTAAACACAGAAAAGAGTAATTGTGTGGCCCTCATTAAGAACACTGATAAGATTTCCTACATAAAAATTACCTGGTAGCAAAAGAACAAAGGTCTAAGTCCCCAATCCGGAACCCACAGAGTAGCGCCTTCCATCCACTTACTCTTTTCGCTCTCCTCTTCCAAACACCCAGAGAATGACCAACCAGCCTTTTCTCCTCTATCAAGCGGAGCGCCACTTGGAGGCCTCGGAGCACATCGCACTAAGTCCCCCTCACTAGGGGATGAGCCCTTCTCCACAATGGAGACCACAGAGGGGACCCACTCACTCTGACCTGCTGGTTTTCTTGACTTCCTTGGTGCAGATAAATCCTCAATCTGTCCCTTTGACTCTAAGTTTACTCTAAGCTCCACACCCACAATTCCAACTGAGTGCCACCCATAGCACTTTCTATTAACTATTCTACAACATTTTACATGCTGATCGCTGCCAGCCATGTACAGATCATTGTCAAAAGCCTGCAACTGCCCCTTTACGTTCCCGCCCCTCACAGGGGATCTGGCACATACTGGGTACTCAGTAAATGGTGGATGAATGGCTGGATGCACTTCGAACACAAATGTCCAAAACAAAATTCATCAACTTTACTGCAAATCTCTTCCTCTTTCTCTGCTCCTTATTTCAAGTTCATACACTCAAATTCCCCAAAGAGAGGACTGAAATTAAGAAAACCATCTTGAACTCTTCCTCTTCTGTCCTGCTCTGAGTATTCTCCAAATCCTGCCCAACCAGGTGTAGAATGTCTCTTATACTCTCTACTCCCACTGCCACGTCCTAGGTAAGGCCCTCGTTACTACCCGTCTCATCTATCCTTGAACCAACTGACTGCCAATCTTACCCTGCGCCAAGTCACCTCTGGGTCTTCACTTAGCTCCCTCCGTCCTTGGACCTCCGTCCCCACATTCCTGCCTCCCTGGTTTCCCCAGAGTGTTCCCCTCTTCTTTCCCTGCCTGTACTTCCATTATTCAGCACTTACTACCCACAAGCTGCCCTCTGGGTACAGTAGCTTATGCATCTTAGACTGGTCCATCAGATGGTTTTTCATTAATACCTCAGCTTTCAAAACCCACAGAACCTTGAACAGCATAGGCACACAGTAAATGCTGAACTGAATCAGGAGGAGGAAATGATATCCCAAGGTGAAATTTGGAATGTCTTGTACCATAGAAAGAATGTCATAAATGCTAATTGGGTATAACTGAAACAATAATATCACTATAATTCACATGTTGTTAATTAAATTGGACTTTCTAGGTTGGGCTGGAACTGAATCACTATAATAACTCTACTGGAAAATGCCTTCTTATTCTCAACACTGCTTACTAATAAGTTTTTAAAGACAACCCATTCTTTTTGTAAAATGCGGACTGTATATAAGAATGCATAAGCTAACAAATCAGTTGTAATTGCTCACATTATAAGGATTCTATTCTCACAAGAAAAGATACATTAAAAGATCTCTTCAAATTTTATGAGCAAGTTCTAAATGCCATAGTCCCACACCTGCCCTTAAAAAAGTGATTCCATCTACACAGAATCTATAATAATAAAAGCATAATATGCTAATTAGACCAAATGTCCTTCTGGACGACCTTCTGGACGAAGCCGGGACTGCAAGGGAAGCCCGGGTCCCAGGTGCCTGCTGGCGAATGCAGGGAAGCCCGGGTCCCGGGTGCCTGCCAGCAGTGAAGCCCAGGGTACTGGAGGGAAGCCAGTGCCGGCAGCCGGGAAAGGAAGGCCTACCCTTGCATGAATTTCATGCATCGGGCCTCTAGTGTATAAATATAAAAACTAAAACTTGCCTTCAAGTATGAATTTAAAGGATCCCCTCTAAAATATTTATCAAAATAAATTTATCAAATATGCAAAAAAGATGGGCATAAAATGTTTTGGTCATAAAATGAAGGCTAAAACATTTATGATTGTTAATTGTTAGAAGGGAAAAACACACGGTGTGTTTCCCGCATCAGCATCTGCAATGGTCTTCGAAGGGGCAGAGGAAGCCTGAGCTGACACTACAACTTGCAGGCTGGGAGGGTCTCAAACACACAACCTCAGAGCCGGTTAAGAGAGAGAGAGAGAGAGAGAGAGAGAGAGAGAGAGAAACTTGGCCTTGATGAGTATTTGGTCACCATGGCTTTTAGGTTCCAAAGTACTGTGTTTGGTTGTGTGTTTTTTTTATGTGCTCAATCCCAAGACAGAAGGGCAATATGCATTAGCTTATGATCTTCAGTCTTCATTGATGCCTTCAGGGAAAGCAGCCAAATTTCATACTGCTAGAATTCCTATAAATTCACCATCAAATCTATTGATTTGATATTTTAAATTTTACTAATATGTATTGTTTTTGTTCCCATTAGCTAGCCCTCAGTTCCATGTCTTTATCCTCATCCACTAGCATTTACAAGTTAAATACCAGCTCAGCCCAATCCTATATAATAAAGATGTAATATGCAAATGGTCCTTACACCATGAAGCCTAATAGCCTAACAACCGACCGCGTCACAACCAGATCAGCAGAAGGGTGGGGCAGCAAGCTACAAGTGGGCTGCAGAGAGCTACAGGAGGGGGCAGGGCAGCAAGCTATGAGGGGGGGCGGGGGGGGCGGGGGGAGCTACAGGAGGGCGTGGCAGCGAGCGGAGAGCTACGGGAGGGCAGCAGCAAGCTACTGGCGGACCGATTCATGTGCAGGGCTACTAGTCTTTAAATAAAAATTGTAGCTATTTTTAAATGTCATGTGCAATAATAAGTAAGGGAAGCATTGTTTATTAACTTTTTCTAGATGGATTTTTAAAAATAATTTCAGTTCACTAACCAAAAGAATACTACTTTGGTTACATAAAAAAGAAATTATAAACAAAACTGCCCTAGCCAGTTTGGCTCAGGGAATAGATCGTCGGCCAACGGACTGAAGGGTCCCAGGTTCAATTCCTGGTCAAAGGCACATGCTTGGATTGTGGGCTCGGTCCCCAGTGGGGGGCATGCAGCAGGCAACCGATCAATGATTCTCTCTCATCATTGATGTTCCTATCTCTCTCTCCCTCTCCTTTCCTCTCTGAAATCAATATATATATTTTTTAAAAAGAAATTATATACAAAACTAAATCATTTCCAAAAGTACAGTCACAAAATAAGAGTCAAGTGATATTTGTGACCTTAAATGTCACAGTATTATAAATATTAAAAATAAAATTTTACTAATATCTACATTTGCATATGACTCGCAAGCTGGGTTATAAAAGGGTCAGAAGGTTCCACTACCCCACCTTTACAGCCTTGCTGTCTTAGCCAATGCCCAATGATTTTCCAAAATTTAATACAAAACACTTACTAGCCAGACTGAGTTAAACTTTCCAAAGAAATCCACCGAAATAGTCTTACCTCTGTTTCTGTGAGAAGTGTTTTTAGTCTTGTTAAATCTTTTGTTACCATCCCATTCTGAAAAGGTAAATAAAAAAGGGGAAAACCGATTAGTATATTAGTTCTTGACTATGGGGACTTAATTCCTCAACTGTTTCTAAGTTTTATTTGTAAAGAAAACAATGCTACTCCTCACCTCCCATCCCCTGTCATTAATCATGATAATCAAGTTAACCATCTATAAGGAAAGTTAAAAAGGTTAATTTAACAGAATAAAATATATAGTGTACCCTAAAACACTGTATTCACCTTCCATAAGAGCTTAAAATCAATTCAATAAAATATTCACAATGGGTATCACCAAAGAGCAAGATAGGATAAATGAAAAGAAAAATAAGCCTAAACTTTTTAAAAACTTTTTTCCCTAAAACTAATGAGCTTATATTTGCAAAGTGGTGAATTCAATCAGTTACCCATGAATCAGATTCACATAAAATAATGATGGCACTTTAAAGTTGGCTCATTAACAAACCTGATAAAGGAAAATATACAAAATATTCTCTCATCTGAAATTCAAATTTCACTTGAGATTTAAAGGCAAATTACTTCTTCCTAGTTTAAAAACTTAATAGGTAAAACTGTGCAATATGCTAAACTTATATTAAAAGGTTCCTTAAAGATAGAATTTTCTTAATAACAGAGGTATATTATTACTTACTTAGAACTAAAGAGCTGTAACATTTTGCTATATTAATACATTTAACCTCTAATGTGAATTTGGTGAAATCAAAAAACAATGGTAAATCAATTAACAATATACTACACAATAATTCCTTAGAAATAAACTGTTCTCTGAGATGAGTCATTACATTACACTCAGCAGTATACCAAGTACTCTCCTAAATTCTTTTTTGTCACCAAATATATTTATTTCCATTAAAAACACAACTTTATGCCTGATTTTCATAATTTCTATCAATTCAAAATAAGGGAATAAAATAAGGGATTCATGCTATATAGCACAGTATACATATACTTTCTTGCTTTCACTGTTTTTCATTATGATTCCTGAAAAATATCAGAGAATTTTATAGCAGTTACCAACTGGTGAGAAAAAGAGTTATACTATCTTCTTATCTTCCAATTCCTACAGATTGCCAACTCTCAAGTTCCAAAAAATAGTTTTTCAATTATGTCAACCAAAAACAAACTCTAGAAAATTAAATGCTACATAAAAAAAAAATTAATCCCAAAGTCTGAGTAGAATTAAATAGCTCCATTAGAGTAGTCATGAATATCAACTTACACCCATACCTTCTTCAAATATAAAAGTAATTATTATATAGTTTAGATAAATGTAAACATTTTATGAAATAAGTGGCCGAATTTAAGGACCCCGTAAAATCATATATCCACAGGAGAATTTTAAAACGTAACAGAACCAAAAATATTTTCAAGTTCTGAATTATTTAGCTATCCTACACTTTCAAAGTTTCAAAAAGCACCTGCAATTCATATATATATATTATCACAAACTACAAGAATCCAATGGTTAAATACCAGTTTGTTGAGGAGAAATGTACCTATGAACCTCATTTCTGGTAGGAGAAAATAAGAAAGAAAATGCACACTAACTGTTTTTCCCCACAATATTCCTAAGGAGTCAAATACATGAATCTCTTTTCAGACACTCAAAATTAGAATTCATTACCATATGATTTCACTCACAACGTGGAATATAAAACTGAAAGCAACAAATGAACAAATGGGATGATCAAACAAACAAAAACTCATAGACACAAACAGTATGACGGTTACCAGAGGGAAAGGGTGTGGAGGGGGTAGTGTAGTAAAGGGTAAAGGGGGTCAGATATATGGCGACGAAGGAGATTTGACTTTGGGTGGTAAACACACGGTTCAATATATAGATGACAAATCATAGAATTATACACTTGAAAACTATGTAATTTTGTTAACCAGCCACCCCAATAAATTTATTTCTTTTTAAAGCACTGAAAAAAAATTAGAGTTCATCAACGTACCAGGGACTCTCCTGTCAGTGACTTGGCAAGAATGTTGGATACAAGTTGAAGCTTTCCTTTCAGCTGCATGCAGCAAAGCACTGCCTGAAAAGCACCATCGCCCTTGGCCAGTCCTTCTCCCAGCACTGTCAGAAAAGAACAGCCATGGTTAATCACATGACATGTAATACACATTTTCCCTGATTTTAATATTGGCACACTATCACAAGCATGACTTCTTATACACTAAAAGAAAAATTTCAAGTACTAAAGGAAAGGGTGATGTTTCAGTTCTGTCCAAGACATGCATAAAGACAAGAAAATAAAACTCTGGCCAATGTGGCTCAGTTGGTTGGGTGTCATATGGTATACCAAAAAGGTGCTGGTTTGATTCCTGGTCAGGGCACATGCAGGAGTTATGGGCTTGATCCCCAGTAGTAGGCGTACATGAGGCAACCGATCAATCAAAGTTGCGCTTTCTCATCAATGTTTCTCTCTCTCTTTCTCTCTCTCCCTTCCTCCCTCCTCCCCTCCCTCCCTTCTCTCTCTCTCTTTCTCTTTCTCCCTCGCCCCCCATAGCCCAAAGTATTTTTCCCAAATTTTTCAAAAGGAAAATTTTAATGACCATAAAAACTAAACCCTTTGGTCATTAATAAAGTAAAATCATTCACTGCTTGGATATAATTACATTCACTGAACCAACACTTCAAAAATAAAAAAAGATTATTTTTAAGAGAATATAAATTTATAATTTATAAATTCCTGTCCTAAATATCAGCCATTTAATGTTTGGCAATAAACCTCATTTTCCAAAAATATATTTGGGGGTGGGAGTAGTAGTATATATAAGCAGACTCCAAACATTGGGAGGCCTACCAGGTGTACCAGTTAATAATGCAGATTTTTTCCAATGGATGGAGTTACACATACGTTGATATATATGCGATTTGATATGTATGCTATTTTGTTGTATTGACAGCAAGCTTCAAAACCTCATATGTCAAATTTTCTGAAAGTGTTAACATCATAGATATCTTTACGCTTAAAAATGTCGAATTTCGCCCTAACTGGTTTAGCTCAGTGGATAGAGCGTCGGCCTGCAGACTGAAAGGTCCCAGGTTCGATTCTGGTCAAGGGCATGTACCTTGGTTGCGGGCACATCCCCAGTAAGAGGTATGCAGGAGGCAGCTGATCGATATTTCTCTCTCATCGATGCTTCTAACTCTATCCCTCTCCCTTCATCTCTGTAAAAAATCAATAAAATATTTCTTTTTAAATGTCGAATTTCGTGCCAAAAAAGAGCATTTGTGGGAAGTTTTAATTCATTACTTTATTTTGAAGAAAAGTGTTGCTGAAAGTTATCGTATACTTCGGGAAGCATATGCTCCATCTCAAGATACTTGTGAATGCTGGTTTAAATGCTTTAAAAGTGATGATATCGATGTGAAAGAGAAAGAACATCCAGGTCAACTGAAAAAGTTTGAAGACCAACAATTACAAGCATTATTGGATGAAGATGCGTGTTAAACTAAAAAACAACTTGCAGAAAGATTAAACGTTGCTCAGCAAGCAATTTCCGATCATTTACAAGCAATGGGAAAGATTTTAAAGGAAGGAAAATGGGTGCCACATCAACTGAACGAAAGACAAATGGAAAACCGAAAAGTCATCAGTAAAATGTTGCTTCAACAGCACAAAAGAAAGTCTTTTTTGCACTGAATTGTGACTGGCAATGAAAAGTGGATTTATTTTGAGAATTCCAAATGCTCAAAATCATGGGTTGATCCAAGTCAACCATCAACATCGACTGCAAGGCCAAATCGCTTCAGAAAGAAGACAATGCTCTGCGTTGGGTGGGATCAGGAAGGTGTGGTGTATTATGAGCTATTAAAAACAGGTGAAACCATTAATACTGATCGTTACTAACAACAAATAATCAATTTGAACCACTCTGATCGTGAAACGACCAGAATGGGCCAGAAGACACGGCAAAGTAATTTTGCTTCATGATGACGCACCATCACACACTTCAAAACCAGTTAAAGACACATTAAAAGATCTTGCCTGGGAAGTATTAACCCACCCGCCGTATTCACCAGACCTTGCTCCTCCAGTTTACCACTTGTTCCAATCGATGGCACACGCACTTTCTGAGCAGCACTGCAAAAACGTACGAAGAAGTGGAAAATTGGGTCTCTGAATGATTTGCCTCAAAACAAGAAAAGTTCTATTGGGACAGTATCCACAAATTACCTGAAGGATGGGGGAAATGTATAGCTAGCAATGTTTTGAGGCAAACCATTCAGAGACCCAATTTTCCACTTCTTCGTATGTTTTACTTTGAATAGAAAGCACTTTTGATGTTTACCTTGAAATTATCGTGTTTTCTTTGATTACAAAATCCGCATTATTAACCGGTACACCTGGTAAATCTAAGTATTAACTAGAGAGTAAAATGTCCATATCTTATAAGTATCAAAAAGTATAACATCACCCAGAGTAAGAACACTGTGGGCAAATCTCTGACCAGTATCCCTTTGGCCAAATCTGGGTTTTCCCCCAATATTCTTCTTCTCTGCCTCGATCCTTTTCCCTTGCCCTCACTTTTCTTCCAATTATCTATATACATAAAAAGCCAGTGTCCAGGATGACCAAACAACCGGTCACCATAAGGTGGCACTGACCACCTCTTGGTCCCTCCCACCCCCTCGCCCGCAAGCGGGGTCGGGTGGGACTGGGGACTGGTGATCGGGCTGAATGGCTGACCTCTTGGTCCCTGCCCCTGGCCCGCAGGCTCCGATGGATCAGCGATGGTGAACAGGGGAATAGGGGTGGGTGGTGGGAGGACTGGGCTTGGCTGTCAGACCGTTGGGATCACCAGCTCATCCCCGGCTGCTTGGGGGCTCAGGCCTGTGGGGAAGCAGGCGCCAGTAACTTCACCTCCATACGCGTGCACCGGGCCGGCCACTGATGGAACAAGCTGCCCGCTCCGGGCTGCTCACGGCGGGGCAGGTAGGTCGAGGGTGCGCCACGCAGCATCCATCAGCGCCTCAAGCCCCAACAGCAGCGGCAGCAGTGGCGGCGCCCGCGTGAGTGGCTCCAAGCGGGCAGCGAGTTCCATCAGCAGCCGGCCCAGCGCACAAGCATAGAGGTGAAGTCGCTGGCACCTGCTTTCCCGCAGGCCTGAGCCCCAGAGCAGCCGGGAATGAGCTGGTGATACCAACGGCCTGACAGGCCTGTAGCGGAGGCAGCAGAGGACTGGGGACTGGCGAACGGGCAGAAGATGGCCCTGATCACAAGAGGCTATGCCTAAGGACCCTACCCGCACAATTTCATGCACTGGGCCTCTAGTAATAAATAAACACTTTGGACATGTGGGCTGCAGCTGTTGTGGCATATTGTGTCCTTCCTACCAAAGACTTTTATAGATAAAATGTTTCCTTTATAAAATGCTTTTGGAAAATGAAAAGCCTTAACACTATTCAATGCTATCTATACCTAGAACCTTCTGAATATTTCAGCTTTAAATACTGTAATACTCTTTTCTTTTTAATCCCTGCTACCTTGCTCCTTTCATTATTAGGTCCTTAATCCGGTCACACAAATCATTGTGATCTCCTTAGGTTTGCAATGAGCATTAAAGTTAAGCTCTTATTGCATACTAGAGGCCCAATGCACGAATTCGTGTACTCATGGCGGGCGGGAGGGGGGGGGGGGGTCCCTCAGTCCGGATTGCAAGAGGGCACAGACCAGGCCAAGGGACCCCACTGGTGCATGATCGGGGCTGAGGAGGGATGTGGGAGGGCTGCAGGCCATGTCCAGCCCGTCTTGTTCAGTCCTGATTGGCCGGACCCCAGCAGCAAACTAATCTACCGGTCAGAGCATCTGCCCCATGGTGGTCAGTACACGTCATAGCGAGGGGTTGAGCAGTCTTAGCATATCATTAGCATATTATGCTTTTAATGGTTGAATGGCCAACCGGATGACCAGACACTTAGCATATTAGGCTTTTATTATATAGGATTTTTGGAAGGACTCCTTCCTTCAACTGCAGTTTATTGTAAAGAGGCTTGGACTCCTTCCTTCTCAATATTTTCATACTTCAGATACATAGGTCATTTCTCCTGGTTTATTTTCAATATTCCAGTTTAAATTTGAGAGATAATTCATTTATGTCCCTCAACTTCCTCATTACTATACAAATCCTATATAATAAAACCCTAATATGCAAACTGACTAAACGGCGGAACGACCGGTGGAACCACCAGTCACTCTGATGCACACTGACAACCGGGGACAGATGCTTAACTCAGGAGTTGTGCCTGACTGGGGGCAGCTCCTGAGTTAGTTGTCTGCCCCCGAGAGGGAGGCGACTGGTGGCGGTGATCCGGGGACAGAGCCGGCCAGCAGGCGGTGCCAAGCCGCCAGCCAAGGTGGGTGCCAGCAGCCCCCCCCCCCCTGCCATCACCCCACCTGCCGGTCACTCCACAGATGGCCCTGATTGCCGGCCAGGTCTAGGGACCCTACCCTATATATTGGGAACAGTCTCTTAAATTTAAAAATTAAAACCTGGCAAGGCTACTCTAACACTGAAAAAACGGGATGATGCAGCTATGACATGCATGGACTCTGGCTTGCACATTTTGTGGTCAGCCCTGATTCTGACACTTATAACTGTGTGACAAAGCCATTTACTTAACTTCTCTCTGCTTCAGTTTTTCCACCCATAAGATGGGGAAAATGGTACTACTGCCTCAGAAGGATCATGTTATGTACTACTTTTATAATCAGGGCAAAAAAATGTAGCTGCCCATACAACGGAAAAAGCATCAAAAAGCTAGAATTCTAGTCAGTCTCTTCTCTCTAAGGGATATCTTCTAATGAAGGGGAAAAGCCTTTTAGAAGGGATAGGCCCAGCCTTTCAATTTATCCAAGCTTAACATTTTAATCAATGTTTGTTACAGTTCTTAAAATTTGGCTCCTATTGCCTGAAAATACTCACACAAACTTTAAAGGACACTATCAATGTTCCCAAGGGCAAGACCAGAATGTCAACACTCATGAGTGACTAGGAACAATGTTCGTGTGTACACACATCACAGCAGAAAAGTTGTCATCCATGTCAGTCACTAGTCACCACAGTAAGGTGGGTTTTTTAAATTGTATAATCACTTTTGAAATTAGCATAGCGAAAAAAATATATCTTAAACACTGCTCAAATTATTCAAAATCTTCAAATCAAAGAAGAGTCCCATTTTCACACATACCATGCCTACAATCTTCATCAGCTTGTCCATACTTTTTCTGCAAAATAAAAGATATGAGATGAATATCATTAAGTAGTTCAAGGGCTGCTTACAATAAAGATTTTATCAAAAAAAAAAAAAAAAAAAGCTTGGCTTTGTTTCAAAGTTTAAGCATTAATGTTGCAAATTTAATATTCACAGAGCAAAGCTAACTCATGTGCTCTCTGAGGATTACACAATACTCTACAAATAAATACCACAATATACTTCCCTAGTCCATTTACTTACACTCCTGCTTCTTACTTTCTCTAACCTCAAATCACCAGAACCTCCTGAGCACCTCATTCTTATTCTCAGCTAGTGACTTTACTGAGAAAACCATAGGAACGAGAAGAAAATTTCCGCAGACTATCAATACCACATCTACCCATGTCCTAGCACACTCCATCTTCCACCTGTTACCAGACGAACCCCCCCGCCATGCTCCTTTCTAGAGGCCATCCTACCACCCATGGAGATGTGATCTCTGGCCCAGTGAAGAATATCACTCCAGCAAGCCTCCTCTATTTCTCCTATGTCACTAATTTTTTGCTTTCTACTGATTCAGTCCTATAAACAAACATACTGTTATTTCTTCCATCTAAAAAGAAAAATCATTCTCTTGACTTCACTTCTCCCACCAGCTACCATTCCATTTTTGTGTGCCTCTCTGGGGCAAAATGCCTCAAAAATTGTCTATAATTATGTATTTAAATTCCTTCCCTCTGACTCTCTCATAAATGCTCTTTAATCAGACACTCATCCACTGCTCTATGGAACAGCAATGGACCCTGATGAACATTCCCTTGTTTGGATACACTTTCTTTACTTAGCTACCAGGACACCATACTTCTCCTAGGTTTCATTTACCTCAACGTTGCCCTTCAAGCCGCTTTGCTTGTTCCTCTTCTTCTCAACCTCTCAACACTGTGGAGCCACAAGACTAAGTCCTTGGTATTCTCCTCTTCTCTATCAATACTCATTCCCTTGGTGATGTGACCCAGGCTCAAGACTTTATATATCATGCATAGGCCACAACTCTTCAATTACTATCTTTAGCCCAGACTTCCCTCCCAAACTCCATACCTGCATATTTGGCTACTTGTTCAACATCTCCAGCTGGATATCTAAACAACATCTCAAACTCAGTATGTTCACAATGAATTCTTCCCTCACAGAACCTGCTCCCCACCTATAGCCTTTTCATCTCAGTTGAAGGAAAATCCATTCTTCCAATTGCTCAAACAAAAAATGTCATGGTAAGTAATCTGTGACTATTCTGTATGCCTGACATTCAATATATTAGGAAATTTTATTGGTTCTAGCTTCAAATTGTAACCAGAACAAAATCACTTCTCACTATCTCCACTGCTACCATTTTGGTCTCAGCCATTGTAATCTCTGGTCTGGATTATTCCAATACCCTCCAAACTAGTATCCCTGCATCTACTCTTCCCCGTTTATAGTCTACTAGAGGCCCAGGGCACGACATTCACGCACTGGTGGGGTCCCTCAGCCCGGCCTGCGCCCTCTTGCAGTCCGGGACCCTTCAGGGAATGTCCGCCTGCCGGCTTAGGCCCGATCCCCAGGGGGATCGGGCCTAAGCCAGGAGTCAGACATCCCACTTCCAGTCCAGGGCTCTCGCAGTCCGTGACCCCTAGCTCCTTACTGCCCACCTGCAGCAGAGGCAGGAGAGGCTCTCGCCACCAACACTGCGCTCACCAGCTGTGAGCCCAGCTTCTAGCTGAGCAGTGCTCCTGCTGTGGGAGCACACTAACCACCAGGGGGCAGCTCCTGCATTGAGAGTCTACCCCCTGGTGGTCAGTGCACATCATAGCAACTGGTCGTTCTGCTGTTTGGTCAATTTGCATATTAGTGTTTTATTATATAGGCCTCGAGGCCCGGTGCACAAATTCATGCATGGTTGGGGTCCCTCAACCTGGCTGGCGAAAGAGGCCTATTGGGGGGTCAGCCAGCCGTGGGGAGAGACCCCGGGAGGTTGGCCGTCCAGCCCCCCACTCAAGGCCTATGGGGGGGTGGATGGTACGGGGGAGGGACCGTGGGAGGTTGGCTGTGGGAGCGCACTGACGCTCCTGCGTTGAGTATCTGCCCCATGGTGGTCAGTGCACATTATAGCAACTAGTCGACCGGTCATTCGGTCATAACGGTTGCTTAGGCTTTTATATATATAGACTCTCAACACAAAAGCCAGATAATTCCTGTTAAATCAGATCATGCCACCCCTCTGATCAAAATCCCACAATAGCTTCCCATCTCAAATATAATACAAACTAGTCCTAGAGGGTCCCAGAGGATCTAGCCCTCTTACCCCCTTCCCCCAATGTACTTTACTCCAGCACAATGGCCTCCTAGCTGTTCCTCAAAGATGGCAGGCAAGCTTATGCCTCAGGGTCTCTGTGCTGACTGTCCCTCTGCCTATAATGATCTTCATCCAGATTCCAATATGGCTCACTCCCTTACCTCCTTCATATCACCTTATTAATGAGCACTACCTGACCACCCAATTTAAAACTTCAACCTTAGCCCTGACCGGTGTGGCTCAATTGGTTGGAGAGTCTTCCCATACACTGAAAGGTCAGTACAATTCCTGGTCAGGGCACAAACCCAGGTTGCAGGTTCAATCCCCAGTCGGGGTGTGTGAGGGAGGCAATCAATTGGTGTTTCTCTTTCACATTGATGTTTCTCTCTCTCTCCCTCTTTCCCTCTCTAAAATCAGTGAGAGCATGTCCTCAGGTGAGGATTACAAAATGATAATAAATATAAAAACTGCAACCTTATCCCTAACCCTAGTGGCCCCAATATTCCTTGCCCTGTTCTACTATTTTTCATGCAGACTGTTACTTTCTTAAAATCTAAAGTGTTTACTTAGTTATAATGTCTCTAGCATTTATTGTCTGTCCCCCTACTAGAAAAAGTACCATGAAGAAGGGATCTTTCTTTATATTTTTTACCAATGTATACCAAGCACTTAGAACAGTGTCTGACACATAGTATGTCCTCAATAAATATTTGTTAAATGAATGAATACTCGAAAGTGCTAAGTACAAGTTTCAAGATTTAAAAATACAGTTGCTTGCCATCAAAGATATCCAGCAATCACTAGCCACTTCAATCACCTCCTCAGCCCACATTTAAGTGACTTGTAGAGGGAGTGACCAGCAACAGTGCCCCCTCAATGAAAAGGGCCATTTTACATGGTTTGGCACTGACTTATCAACACTGTTTACTTACCAGTTGCAAAAATGAGGCAATTCTGTAAAGAAGACTCTCAATTTTGATGCTTTCTATTTCCAGTGAACACGGCCCTATGAAGTCAGCCATGGAGTACTGGCCAAGAGAAAGAAGGGCCTCTGTGCAGTGCTTGAGGGCCATTTCATAGTCCTGCCTCTTGAGTGATTCACACGCTTGTTCACATGACTTCTCAGCTCTTCTGTCTTCCATGACTCAGGGACAAAAATCCTAAAGACAGGGAAAAAACAAGAGAAGGTTTTAAAAACTTATTAATTATAGCCCTAACCGGTTTGGCTCAGTGGATAGAGAGTCAGCCTGCGGACTCAAGGGTCCCAGGTTAGATTCCAGTCAACGGCATGTACCTTGGGTGCGGGCACATCCCCAGTAGGGAGTGTGTAGGAGGCAGGTGATCGATGTTTCTCTCTCATCAATGTTTCTAACTCTCTATCCCTCTCCCTTCCTCTCTGTAAAAAAATCAATAAAATATATTTAAAAAAACAAAAACAAAAAACTTATTAATTATAAATTCTAATACCATTCCTGGCTCAGCTGGTTTAATTATCTATCTGAATAGTTATTCTCAACCAGCCTTTTGCTCAAGGTCACAGCTGAGCAGCTGTTAATGCTACAAAATCTATACTTCTCTTTTATATTTTATGAAGTCTTTAATAAGATCCAAGCAAAATATCAACCATAAATCAGGATCATACCAACAATACATCCAATTTATAAATGAGACAAATTTATAAATGAAACATGACTTTGAATATTGCAAAGTGCAACAAACCATAAAGGCTTTCCTCTTTTTAATCAGAAGGTGCAGGAATGTTTCATATCCAAACCTTCCAATTTCAGTTTTGTAATTCTGTGACTGTGTTTACAGAGAATAAAAATCTACACCATGTAGAATTTTTCCCACCAATATTAAAAAACTGGATAAAATGCAAATCTGAACTGCCTATTCAATTCAGCAAACATTTCCTGAGGCTAGGCCCTGTGCTAGCAGCACTGAATTCAAAGACAGAGCATGTCATCACTACTTTTAAGAAACTCAGATTCAAAACAGACATATAGATCAAAGGAACATAATAGAGAGCCCAGAAAAAAACCTACGCCTTTTATGGTCAATTAATATTTGACAATGGAGGCAAGGACATACAATGGGGTAAAGACAATCTATTCAAAAAATGATGTTGGGAAAATTGGACAGAAAAATGAAACTAGACCACCTTCTTACACCATACACAAGAATAAACTAAAAATGGATTAATGACTTACTTTTAGACTCACAACTATAAAAATCCTAGAAGAAAACACAGGCAGTAAAATCTCCAACATTTCTGGCAGCAGTATTTCTTCTGATATACTGCCTCAGGCAAGAGAAATGAAAGAAAAAATAAACAAGTAGGACTACACCAAACTAAAAAGTTTTTGTACAGCAAAGGAGACCATCAACAAAATGAAAAGACAACCCACTATATGGGAGAATATATTCACCAATGATACATCTGATAAGGAGTTAATATCCAAATTTTACAAGGAACTTATAAAACTCAACACCAAAAAAAAAATCCAATTTGAAAATGGGCAAAGGACCTAAATACACGTTTCTCCAAAGAGAACCAACAGACATATGAAAGTTGCTCAATGTCACTAATCATCAGAGAAATGCAAATTAAAACCACCTCACACCTGTCAGAATGGCTACCATCAATAAATCAACAAACAGCAACTCTGGCCAGTATGGCTCAGTAGGTTAGGTGTCATCCCCTACACAGAAGGGTGGCTGGTTTGATTCCCATTCAGGGTACATATCTAGGTTTCAGGTTCAAACCCCAGTCAGGGTGCATACCAGACACAATCCATCAATCCAATCGATGTTTCTCTCTCACATCGATGTTTCTCTCTCTCTCTCCATTCCTCTTTCTCTAAAATCTATATATATAAAAATATAAAAATCCATCCATCCATCCATCCTCAGGTGAGGATTTTTTTAAGTCAACTTTATGAGAACATTCCTATCACTAACTTACTTCTCACTACTTTTATAAAATAGAAACCTGTTTTAAAATCTATCCATCTTAGTACAATCCAAAAACAAAAATTGATAAATTTGACTTAAACGTTTTCACTCTTTGAAAGATACTGTTACAAGAATGAAAAGACCAAGCTCAAGACAGAGGAAACTTTTTGCAAATCGCATACCTGAAAAAAGATTTGTATCTGAATATATAACAAAATCTCAGAACCCAACAAAACGAAAACAACCCAACTGAAAGCTGGGCAATAGACACCGCACAAAGAGGATGTAATGATGGCCAACTCTGCACACGAAAAGATGTTTAATAGCATTAGTCAGCAGAGAAATTCACTTTAAAACCATGATTAGCCATTACTACATACCTATTAGAATAGCTACATTTAAAATACAGTGGGGCCTTGACTTACGAGTGTCCCGACTAACGAGTTTTTTGAGAGACGAGCGTCTCTCGGCCGATTTTTTGCTTTGAGTTGCGAGCTAAAATTCGGGTTACAAGCCAGCTTCAGATACCCCACCGCTAGTTGGCGCAGCGAACGTCACAGTGAACGCCACAACATCAGCCCAGCATCACCTGTCTCACTCGTTCACTTCTTGATTTGACATACGAGTAATTTGAGTTAGGAGTTCCGTCACGGAATGAATTAAACTCGTAAGTCAAGGCCCCACTGAATTGATAATATCAGAGTTGTGGAATAACTGGAACTCATATAGGTTGCTATTGGAAATATAGATTATACAGCCACTCTGAAAGAAAAGTTGACAGTTTCTAATAAAGTTAAAAATATACTTACTAAATATTTTTAACTTTATTAGAAACTGCCAACCTTAATCAATAAAGAAAAAAATAATAAAAAATGTAAATCATCGCCGAAACCGGTTTGGCTCAGTGGATAGAGCGTCAGCCTGCGGACTGAAAGGTCCCCGGTTAGATTCCGGTCAAGGGCATGTACCTGGGTTGCGGGTACATCCCCAGTAGGAGATGTGCAGGAGGCAGCTGATCGATGTTTCTCTCTCATCGATGTTTCTAACTCTCTATCTCTCTCCCTTCCTCTCTGTAAAAAATCAATAAAATATCTATTTTTAAAAAATGTAAATCATTAATTGATGATAGCCATTCTGACAGTTGTTGGGAGGTATCTCATTGTGGTTTTAATTTGCACTTCTCTTATAATTAGGGATGTTGAGCATCTTTTCATATGTCTATTGGCCATACTACTTGGGTATAAAAAAGAAAGAAATCTTACTTTTTTCCACAGCATGGATAGACTTGGAGAGTATTATGCTAAATGAAATAAGCCAGTCAGAGAAAGACAAATACCATAGGATTTCAATTGTGTGTATAATCTAATGAATAAAATAAATGAACAAACAAAATAGAAACAGACTCATAGATACAGAGAACAGACTGACAGCTGTCAGAGAAAAAGGTGAAGGGATTAAGGAAAAAAAATTTTTTTTAAATACTCATAGTCTCAGGCAACAGTATGGTGATTATCAGAAAGAAAGGGGGGTGATGGGAGGTAGAAGAGGGTAAAGGGGAGATAAATGGTGACGAAGTTTTAACTTTGGGTGGTGAGCACACAATACAATAAACTGATGGTGTATTATAGAATTGTACACTTGAAACAAATTATATATACTAATATATAATTTTATTAACCAAAGTCACACCAATAAATTCAATAAAAATTTTAAAACAATGTAAAAAAAAAAAAAATATATATATATATATATATATATATATATATGCGTGACTATATGTCCCAGCAATGCCCTCCCCCCACAGACAACTACCCTAGAGAAATGAAAACATGTTCACACAAAAATCTGTACCCAAATGTTTTTATTTTTAGCAGCTCTATTCATAACTGCTAAAAACTGGAAACAACCAAAATGTCTTTTAATGAATGACAATGGAAAAGTACTCAATAATAAAAAGGAATAAACTTTCAATACATGCAATAACTTAGATGAATCTCAAAGACAAAGTAAAAGAACTCAGTCTCAAAAGCTTAAATACTGCATGATTCCATTTATATGATATTCTGAAAAATGACAAAGCCATAGGAATGAAGAAACGGTCAGTGGTTGCAGGGGTTATGGGATGGAGATGGGTAACTATAAAAGGATAGCATGAAGGGGTTTTAGGGTGATGATACTATTCTGTATCCTTATTGTGGTGATGGATACACACACTACACATATGTTCAATTAATAGAACTGTATACCAAAAATTTTAAAGTCAGTTTTACTGTATGATAATTTTTAAAATAAAAATTTTTCAATTATTTTAAAAATATGAATCTCGCCCTGACCGGTTTGGCTCAGTGGATAGAGCGTCGGCTTGCGGACTCAAGGGTCCCGGGTTCGATTCCAGTCAAGGGCATGTGCCTTGGTTGAGGGCACATCCCCGGTGGGGGGTGGGCAGGAGGCAGCTGATCGATGTTTCTCTCTCATCGATGTTTCTAACTCTCTCTCTCTCTCTCCCTTTCTCTCTGTAAAAAATCAATAAAATATATTTTTTTAAAAATAGTACACTAAAGAGACTTGACTTGGGGTGGCAAACACACAATATAATATACAGATGATGTATTATAGAATTGTACACCTGAAACCTATATAACTTTATTAACCAATGTCACCCCAATAAATTCAATTTAAATTTTTTTAAATAAATAAAAATGTTTACAAAAATGGTGCGCCACAGAGGGGGTAGGCAGACTGGCCTGGACTAAGACAGTTTCAGTAACAGATTGTAAGAAAAGAGCATCATTCTCCTCCCACTATGACTTCTTTCTATAACAACATGAAAATAACCACCAGACCACCTTGAAATCAAGTCATGAGATGAACTTTTATTTTTTAAAAATCAGTTATCTTCCTTAACTTTTCTTGTTAATGTAGTCATGGTCCTCTTTTATTTCAAAAGACCTAAACCTTATTTAATTAAGACAGACTTCAAAGAACAAAAATAAATTGTGAGCAAACAGCAGGAGCAAATAGTAGCAACTAAAATTTCAATCCAAAATGACAATGATTTCTGTATCTCTGTCTTGTACATCTGTCTCCACTTAAAATAAATATTATCTATCTCAGAATTAACTTGGGTGGAATGAATCTGTCAAGGTTTCAGAAGAAAGATAAGTTATACTAAAAACATTACCACTATATACATTAACAGAAATTA